CCCAGGCCCCTGTGGACTGGGAGACTGTGAGAGTCACTGCAGGAGCTGACTCCAGGGCTGGAGATCTGGTCGCCACCAGTGGTGTTGTTCCTCCTGGTGTCACTCTGTGCCTGGGACAGAGCGGGCTGCCAGGGGACAGGGGCCTCATGGGGTAAACAGCTCCCACTGAGCCATGCACCTGGCAGGGGGCCGGGCAGCTCCCTCAGGTGCACACACCTGAGCTTCAGCACAGCAGGCCCCTCCCCCAGAAGACCAGATGGAAGGACAGGGGAAGAGCAAGTTCTTGACTGAGCAGCGCTGGAAAGTTCCAGGGGAAGTCAAGGGAATTACAGTATATAGAACCAAAGGGTACCCCTCCTTTTTTTTTTCTTTTTTTTTCTTCTTTTTTCCAGTACAACTTGTTTTTAGCCACTGTGCACTGAGCAAAATGACGAGAAAGAACTCACCACAAAAGTAAGAATCAGAAACAGTCCTCTCTGACACAGAGTTACAGATTTTAGATTACAATTCGATGTCAGAAAGCCAATTCAGAAGCACAATTATAAAGGCTACTAGTGGCTCTGGAAAAAAGCATAAAGGATTCAAGAGACTTCATGAGTGCAGAATGTAGATCTAATCAGGCCAAAATTAAAAATCAACTACATGAGATGCAATCCAAACTGGATGTCCTAATGACGAGGGTTAATGAGGTAGAAGAAAGAGTGAGTGACATAGAAGACAAGTTGATGGCAAGGAAGAAAGCTGAGGAAAAAAGAGAAAAACAAAAGACCATGAGGAAAGGTTAAGGGAAATAAATGACAGCTTCAGAAGGAAAAATCTGTTTAATTGGGGCTCCAGAGGGTGCCGAGAGGGACAGAGGACCAGAAAGCATATTTGAACAAATCACAGCTGAGAGCTTCCCTAATTTGGGGAGGGAAGCAGACGTTCAGATCCAGGAGATAGAGAGGTCCCCCCCTAAAATCAATAAGAACCATTCAACAGCTTGACATTTAATAGTGAAATTTGCAAATTCCAAAGATAAAGAGAAGATCCTTAAAGCAGCAAGAGACAAGAGATCCCTAACTTACATGGGGAGAAATATTAGATTAACAGCAGACCTCTCCACAGAGACCTGGCAGGCCAGAAAGGGCTGGCAGGATATATTCAGGGTCCTAGATGAGAAGAACATGCAGCCAAGAATACTCTATCCAGCAAGGCTCTCATTCAGAATAGGAGAGATAAAGAGCTTCCAAGACAGTCAGGAACTGAAAGAATATGTGACCACCAAACCAGCTCTGCAAGAAATATTAAGGGGGACTCTGTAAAAGAAAGAGGAAGCCCAAAGAAATAACCCACAAAAACAGAGACTGAATAGGTATTATGATGACACTTAATTCATATCTTTCAATAGTAACTCTGAACGTGAATGGGCTTGATGATCACATCAAAAGACACAGGGGTTCAGACTGGATAAAAAAGCAAGACCCATCTATTTGCTGTTTACAAGAGACTCATTTTAGATCTAAGGACACCTACAGCCTGAAAATGAAAGGTTAAAGAACCATTTACCATTCAAATTGTCCTCAAAAGAAAGCAGGGGTAGCAATCCTCATATCAGTTAAATTAAAGTTTATCCCAAAGACTGTAGTAAGAGATGAAGAGGGACACTATATCATACTTAAAGGATCTACCCAACAAGAGGACCTAACAATCATGAATATTTATGCCCCTAATGTGGGAGCTGCCAAGTATATCAATCAATTAATAACCAAAGTACGGACATACTTAGATAATAATACACTAACACTGGGAGACTTCAGCACTGCACTTTCTGCAAATGACAGATTTTCTAAGCACTACATCTCCAAAGAAACAAGAGCTTTAAATAATACGCTGGACCAGATGGATTTCACAGATATTTACAGAACTTTACATCCAAACACAACTGAATACACATTCTTCTCAAGTGCACATGGAACTTTCTCCAAAATAGACCACATACTGGGTCACAAATCAGGTCTCAACCGATACCAAAAGATTGGGATTGTCCCCTGCATATTTTCAGACCACAATGCTTTGAAACTTGAACTCAATCACAAGAAGAAATTTGGAAGAAACTCAAACACGTGGAGGTTAAGGACCATCCTGCTAAAAGATGAAAAGATCAACCAGGAAATTAGAGAAGAGTTAAAAATATTCATGGAAACTAATGAGAATGAAGATACAACCGTTCAAAATCTTTGGGATACAGCAAAAGCAGTCCTAAGAGGGAAATACATTGCAATACAAGCATCCCTCAAAAAATTGGAAAAAACTCAAATACACAAGCTAACCTTGCACCTAAAGGAACTGGAGAAAAAACAGCAAATAAAACCTACACCAAGCAGAAGAAGAGAGTTAATAAAGATTCAAGCAGAACTCAATGAAATACAGACCAGAACTATAGAACAGATCAACAAAACCAGGAGTTGGTTCTTTGAAAGAATTACTAAGATAGATAAACTATTAGCCAGCCTTATTAAAAACAAAAGCGAAAAGACTCTAATTAATAAAATCACAAATGAAAAAGGAGAGATCACAACCAATACCAAGGAAATTTAAATATTTTAAAAACATATTATGATCAGCAATATGCCAATTAATTAGGCAATCTAGAAAAAAAAATGGATGCATTTCTGGAAAACCACAAACTACCAAAACTGGAACAGGAAAGAAATATTTTCAATGTTTGCATGTGTATGTATACACACACACATACAACAGGATGATCAATGAAAGATTCAGGCATAAAAGCAGGTTAAAACCTATGGCATTGTGGAATAGAAATACAAGCTCAAAGAGATAAAGGAATGATGGTTGAATGTCAGAATTAGCAAACCGAACAAACACACCCACTCTTCAACCCGTCCTGGAGACAACCTGTTCAATCTGTAGACATCCCAGACTGTGAGGAAGCTCTTTCTTATAAAAACAACTCAATGGCTGCTCCCCGGTCCTGATTTATTTACTCTGACAGTACAGAATGGATTCTAATGGCATTCGGATCCCAACTTACTAGCTTCTAAAATTTCATATATCTGAAACACAACTCTTGAATTCCCTCCAGAAGCTCTCTTCTCTTCTCTTCTCTTCTCATGTGGTAATGATACTTCCATCTACTTAGTATTTCAGGTCACAAAGTGTACAAGGCATCACGCTCCCACAGCCCATCATTTACTATTCAGGGTTCAATCAGAGACATGAGGCCACCAAAGATTCATATACTCAAGGATTTGGGGTATTTTTTCATTAAGATTTTAATTATTTATTCATGAGAGACACACACAGAGAGAGAGAGAGGCAGAGGGAGACTCAGGCTCCATGCAGGATGCCCGCTGTGGGACTCAATCCCAGGACCCCGAAATCACATCCTGAGCTGAAGGCTGACACTCAACTGCTGAGTCATCCAGGTGTCCCTAGTCAAGTATGTGTTACAGGGATTTGATGCGACACTATGTGGGAGCTGATTGCACGATTTCTAGAAACAGTGTGATGCTGGAGCTTAAGGACAGGAAGGTGTGTCTTCAGAAAGCATGGGTGGGTGTGAAGTGGGGGAGAGCAAGGACAAGCTGGGACCCACAAGGATGAGCTAAAACCCATGAGAAGGGACTAGAACCCTGAAGTTGTGCTCAATGCCTCCAACCTTGATGATGTGAGTGTCCTGTAGGAGAAGCAGGTGCTCTTCCTCTCAGAGCTAAACACACCTGTCCCGGGTGTGGGAAAAGCTGAAGGAGGAGCCAGCAAAGGGCAGAGCAGTTGAAGGTCCAAATGCTATTTCAGGCAAGTGAATTGAGCCTGCAGATAGGGGACGATGTGTCTAAGCCAACTAAATCATCTGTCCTGAGCATCTGCGTGTAAGAAAACACTAATGGCTGTGCTTCACTTCTACACTATCATTTCAAAAATGATATGACAAAAATACCTGAGACCTACCCTAATCAGAAACATCCAGATTGTTTGATCTTTTGAAAGCAACTTGTTGAATTAACTTAAAAGGTAACATGGGCATGCATTTGGCCAAACAACCCCTACTCCCAAGGACATTCAGCCTACAGAGAGAAGAGCACGAATGCGGAAATGTGAGAATCTAAAGCAATTATTTAAGTAGATCTAGTGAAGTCTTGCTTATAAAGCACATAGTGGGAAAAAGCTTTAAAAATCTATCATTATGGCTTAGTTGAAAGAACTATGGTGCATCCAAGTAAAGAATTTTATGGAACTATTATAAAGAATGTGACGGGGGCCTGGATCTCTGGGTCAGTTAATTTTATGCCTTGGGCTCATGTCATAATCCCAGGGTCCTGGGATGTAGCCCTGCAGTGGGCTTTCTGCTCAGCAAGGAGCCTGCTTCACCCTCTCCTTCTGCTGCCCTCTCCTGGTACTTATTCTCTCTCTCTCTCTCTCTCTCTCTCTCTCTCTCTCTGACTCAAGTAAATAAATAAAATCTGAAAAAAAAAGGCCACAGATTTTTATGGATTGACTAAAAAGATGTTCATTATTTATAAGTAAGTGAAAAAAGCAAGGTAAAGAACATTAAGCACAATCAATTACTAGATTTTATTTTAATAAAACATGTGAGAGAATATACATTAGATGTATGCATATAGAAAAAATAATTTCAGAAAAATGGGAGAACTACCATACGAAACTTCTAAGGGCCTTTTCCTAAAAGGATGGCATTAGTTTTTTTAAAAGGTGAAATTTCAGTTTTAGTGTGTTTTTCAGTAATTTCCAAAGGATAGTACTACAAAACCAGCCTAGAAATTATATACGATTATATCAATTGTGTACATATACGTATCAAACAGAGCAGCTTTATAATTTGCTACAGCATGAATCAATGAATTGGCACAAAAGAATTCTTTCTACCAGGAAAAATTTCCAAATGTGAGAAATGTAAAAGTCAAATCTGGAGTTTAGTAGGAATGTTTTTTTTTTCATTTCCTCTGTGTGTGTGTGTGTCCAAAGCCAGGTTATTTCTACTAGGCAAAAAAGAGGTAACTTACCTTTGGCAATGGCTTTCCCTCCTGGCAGTTGATGCCTCCAATGAAGACCATGTTGGGCATCACAGGTTTGGGATAGTCAAAAACAAAGTCAGTTCTTAACAGACAAATCGACATATGGCTGTAGAGATCATAAGGTGTGACAGCCTTTTGGAGAATCTCAGATGCAACTTCCAAAGCAGTTTTTAAAAAATAGTGGCAATATAAATGTTCCTCCAGGTGGAAGATATGATTCCTCACTCTCTCTCTGAAACTCATGACATCTGACAATATGGAGAAAGGTCTAGGAACATAAGAAGGAGAACTGGGGCACTGTGTGGCTTCTTCAAGATAATGGCAATACAATCTCCTTGTGAAGCCCACAGATGGGAGTGAAAAATACTTGGCTACAATTAAGCCACACACATCAAAAGGATCCAGAAACACTGCATCAAAAGAACTCTCCTTTATGTATTCTACTAATTTTGGATCACTAAACAAATTCTTACAATGTAAAAAAAGGTGTTGAAGACTGTCTTTTAATGAACTTAAGACGAAAAAAAGTGAGCTTCGCTGCGGAGTTTTCCACTGAGAATAAGAGAAAGTCTTGAACATCTGATTCAACTCCTCCAGATTGTAAGTTGTGGAATAAATCTTCACCGTAAAATTGGAGGATTTTCCCAGTTGCCAACTCACCTCTGGTATGATTAAAACCACCTCATGCCCTCTTTGGATGAGTTGCTCCACAACCAAACGCATGGTAAACCAGTGGCTCCCATCCATGGGTACTACCAGCAGCTTGCCTGCCTCAGCAAAGCCAGATGTCAGCAGGAGACACACACACAACAGAGGAAAGCCGGTCAAAATTGTGGCAGCCATTGGAAAACTGCAGCCCAGGGCAATCCAGCTGCTTGGGTTCTGAGCTGGTGTAATAGAGTCAGTCCGTGGAAGATGTACAGGCACAAAGCCCGCCCCAGCAGAGGGCGTGTATTTACACAGTCATGAAAAAACAAAACAAAACAAAACTACACTCATTGCCAGTGATGCACTCCTAAGAACAATCATGAATGAGTAGCATTTGCTGACAAACATGTAAACTTTCCAGACAGCAATACCATTTGATCTTTGCCTTGGACAAAGATCATGCACTGTATGGCATGACAATGCTCTTTTGGAAACAGAATTATTAGGCAATGTTTTGAGAACTCAGAGTGATAAAAAGGAAAATAAATATCAATTAAAGTGATTTTTTCCAATTTGTTCCAAGGAAAGCTTGGGTTATCCTCAGGATACATAAGACAATTTTGCCAGCAAGAGATTGGCATCCCAGTTTCCAAGGAGGACATGAAGTCACTTACCACTAGCTTCCTCATGGACAATGGAACTGTATTCACAAGAGCCTCTAAAGAGCCTGGCATTGCCACCGGTTTTTCCACTTCCAAATCCTTTGTGGGCTACAAAAGGTTAAGAGTGCCAAATCCTGCCTCAATGGACCATACTAGGGATTGACAGATGGAATAGGACTGTCCTCTATATTCAGTCACTTTCCCTACACACATCACAGGCAGTGGATGGTCACTTGTCTGAAGCTTGCCAGAAGCACTCTGCTAGGCATCCTCTCTCTTTCCTCTGGGCTTCTGCATTCCTCTGTCTAGACCTCTCTGCTGTGGGCTCACCTCAGTGGGCCTGCTACCCACCTTCAGAAATCTCTTTATCTGTCTCCCAAACTCTACCACGCACTTGTTGAGGCCAGAAGATATATTTTCTCCATAGTTTCACTTTCCTTCTACAGGATCCATGCTATGCCTCACACAGAGAAAGCACACAAGGACCCTTTGATGCATTGGACTGAATTGCACTACACAAGTTTTATTGACGCCTTTATGGGTGAGCTCAGTTGTGCAGTCAGATAACACCTAAGAAACATTTAGTGAGGGATTCTATAGCCACCTTGGGGCATAATCTTTGTTAGGAACCTACATGGCTCCTTCTGAGACATCTGAACTATTACTAGACATTTGCATCATCATCATTTACCTCAGTGACTGAGAGATATTCAGATGAATGTGTAAAAAATAAAATGGTGGCAAATGATCTACCTTTCCAGGAGGATCCTTCAGAATAGATATCAATAAAATAGAAAGTAAAAGAACAATAGAGAAAATCAATGAACCCAAAAGCTGGTTCCTTGAAAAGATTAATTAACCTTATAAACTCTAACCAATCTGATCAGAAAAAAAAAAAAAAAACAGAGAGAGAGAGAAAGAGAAGAGGGGACCTGGGTGGCTCAATGGTTGAGCATCTGCCTTTGGCTCAGGTCATAATCCCAGGGTCCTGGGATCAAGTGCCACATCAGGCTCCCTGTGGGAAGCTGGCTTCTCCCTATGCCTACGTCTCTGCCTCTCTCTCTGGGTCTATTATGAATAAATAAATAAAATATTTTTAAAAAAGAGAGAGAGACAAGAAAAAAATACCAATGTCAGGAATAAGAAAGGTGGCATCACTACAGACTCCACAGATGATAAAGGGATAATAAAGAATATCAAGAACGAATGTATGCCAATATATTCTACAACTTAGATGAAATGGACAAATTCCTCAAAAGATGCAGACTACTAGAGTGTAACAGTAAAGAAATATACATTGAATAAAAATACCTTGTATGTTTTAAGTTGAATGAAGTTTGAATTCAGCTTTCTCACAAACAAAACTTTAAACCCAGATGACGTCACTGATACAAGCTACCAAACATTGGAGGAAATAAAACCAATTATTATTCCAGTATATATCCTGAAACGAGGAAATGTCATTTCCAGAGAACAGAATAACAGAGAAATTCCTAATCTTCCAATGAGACCACTGAATTTGTCTATGAGACCAGCATTGCCACATACCGAAACTAGATAAAGACATCATAAGAGAGAAAGAAAAATTTATAGACCAATACCCCCCATAAATATAATGCAAAAATTCTATATAGAATTTTAGCAAATCAAATTCAGTAATATAAATGTATGTAAAAATATAAAAGGTATATAATAATAATAATAATCATAATAATCAAAAAGATAGTGGAACTTATCCCACAAATACAAGGATGATTTAATATTAGAAAATCAATCAAGGGATCCCTGGGTGGCGCAGTGGTTTAGCGCCTGCCTTTGGCCCGGGGCGCGATCCTGAAGACCCGGGATCGAATCCCACGTCGGGCTCACGGTGCATGGAGCCTGCTTCTCCCCCTGCCTGTGTCTCTGCTTCTCTCTCTCTCTCTGTGACTATCATAAATAAATAAATAAAAATTTTAAAAAAACATTAAAAAAAAGAAAAGAAAATAAAATCAATCAAGGGCATTCACCATAAAAATAAACTGAAAAAGTACAACCCTATAATCATCTCCATAGGCAAAAAAAGTATTTCACAAAATCCAACATCCATTCCTGATCAAAATTGTCAGAAAACAAGGTAAGAAGGGAACACTCTCTACCTAATAAAAGTATCTATGAAAACCCATAACTAACAACATACTTAACGAGGAATGACTGAATGCCTTACTCCTAATCACATACAAGTCAAGGATGACCATCCTACCACTTCTATTCATAGAAGTTCTGGAAATTCTAACCAATGCAGTCAGTCAGAAAAAATAAAAGGCATCCAGTTTGGAAAGAAAACTCTAACTGCCTTATTCATAAATAACGTGATCATCTCTGTAGAAACCCCAATGAAAGAAAGAAAGAAAGAAAGAAAGAAAGAAAGAAAGAAAGAGAAAGAAGAATGTACAGACTGGGAGGAAATATTTCTGCAGCATATACCTGATAAAGAACTTATGCACAGAATATTTAAAGAACTCTTGAATCTCAATAATAAGGGAAAAAAATTCTTAAGTACTAAAGACTTGAACAGACATTTCACCTCAAGATAAGAGAGATGGGAAACAGGCACATGGAAAGGTGCAAGGTGCTCCACATCATTGCTCCATAGAGATGTCAAGTTAAAACCACAATTTAATTAGCACACATCTTAGAATGGCTGATTGTGAAAGACAGACCACACCCATTGTGGGTGACTCTCTGGAAGGGCTGGGCACTCATTTGCTGCTGGTGAGACCCTACAGTCGTTTGGCAGTTCCTTACAAACATAAACCTACACCTGCCATACAGCCCAAGGCTTCCCATTCCTAGGTATTCACCCAGGAGAAAAGAAACTGTACTTCCTCACTTTCTGGTGAGGTTTTTACTGCTTACATCTATTACTGCATCTGTGAAGTCTCTGGCTCATGTCGCCCCCTGAGTGTGGGGTCATCAACAGGTGTCATTCTGCATGACAGGAGGCCCTCCTGAAGAGTCCCTGTGGGCAGCACCCAAAAGGAAGAGAAACATCCACCCAAACACAGAATCAGGAATCTTGGGGTTGGACAGTAAATCAATCAAACTATTTCACAGTTCCCCGATCTGTGAAATAAAAATTAGAAATGGGCCCCTGCCTGTCCCTTCCCTAACAACACCAGTTAAGGATCAGAACTATCACCATATAAGTAGGTTCTATGCAAAAGCCCTGGGTACGACCATCTATCCAGCATTGTCTTCTAGATATACAACAGGAGTTACATACATAGTTTAAAATTTTTTAGCAGCCACATGTAAAAAACAAAAGAAACAGGTATAATTAACTTAATAGTATATTTTATTTAACCCAATCTATGCAATACGTGATCATTTCAACATGAGATCAAATAGAAATGGGATGTTTCACGTTCCTTTTTTCATACTAAGTCTTCCAAACGCGGTCTGAATTTTACACTACAGTGCATCTCAGGACGAGCCACATTTCAAGTGCCCATAACCACAAGCACCTACCCAGTGGCTGCTGCCCTGGAGAAAGCACAGGCCCAGCGCATGGCAACTCAGAGGGCTCCTGAGACTGGCAGTGTAGGCATAACCTGAGGTTTTGTCAGGAATGCAAAATGTAGAGTCCCAGACCAAACCCCCTGATTCAGAGTCTGCATGAGAATAAGCTCCCCAGGTGATGCATTGATGTGTGAGAGGTCTGTGCCCCTCTCCCCCAGACTGAGCCTCTGGGAGCAGCAGCAAGGAGTGATCAGTCCTAAGTGGATGGATTTTCATTTCCCAATCTCCCGTTTGCTCTCTTCTAGAACCCATGGCCTGAGAAAGCATTTGAGGGGAAGTGTCCCCTTGCCCAATCCAATTGCCCTTCCTCCCACTTTACCAAAGACAAGCATCTCTCTCTCTTTTTTATTCTAGGGCATGCATGGAAACATAAAACCCTTTCAATGAATCACAATCTGAGTCAAGGTACCCACTATTCACCTTACTCATTAAAAGTTGCAGTTGCAATAAAAATGTTTAATAATTATATATCAAAATTTGAGATGTATTAACATATATTTATTTTTTCAATGCTTGCATATGTATGTACACACAGAGCAGAGTGAACTGAAATTTAGTATATCTGAAACGCAACTCTTGATTTGCCTCCAGGGTTCTTCTTTCTCTTCCAGGCTCTCCATCTCAGTAATGATATTTCCATCCACCTAGCATTTCAAATCAAGGAGTGTACAAGGCATCACTCTCCCACAGCCCCACCACTCACCATTCAGGGTTCAATCAGAGACGTGAAGCCACCAAAGGTTCATATAGTCAAGGAGTTGTTACTGGGATTTGATCCAACACTATGTGGGAACCAATTGCAGGATTTCTGTATCACTCTGATGCTGGAGCTTAAGGACAGCAAGGTGTGTCTCCAGAAAGCATGGGTGGGTGTGAAGTGGGGGAGAGCAAGGACAAGCTGGGACCCACAAGGATGAGCTAAAACCCATGAGAAGGGACTAGAACCCTGCAGTGTGCTCAGTGCCTCCAACCTTGATGATGTGAGTGTCCTGCAGGAGAAGCTGGTGCTCTTCCTCTCAGAGCTAAACACACCTGTCGCAGGTGTGGAAAAAGCAAAAGGAGGAGCCAGGGAAGGGCAGAGCAGTTGAAGGTCCAGATGTTCCTTCAGCAAATGAAGTGAGCCCGCAGATAGATGGCAAGCTGTGAGAGCCACTAAAGCATTTGTCCTGAGCATCTGCATGTAGGAAAACGCTAAAGGCTTGTGCTTCACTTCTACGCTGTATATACGTATATATATAAGTCTGTACATCCTACAGGCCAACAGATTCCTTGGTTCTCATTTGCTTGCAGTCATGCTAAATAAACCCATCATTATCATCTTAAATTTCATATTTAGGTGTGTGTATGTACTTAACCTGAGCACAATTTCCTCAGCTATGTGAAGATCCTGGTGCCTGTAGTAGGTGAGACAGGTCAGCAGAGATCCCTTACAAAATGCTGTCCTCGCTACACATGGTTCAGGCTGTGAGTAGCCTGAGTTATATAAGCAGCATGTCCACAACACAGACTTCTCGAGGGAGTGATCCATTCCTAGCCACTCCTTAGTTCAAAGGGGAAAATCGGGAGTCCCACGATATGATAAGACTTAACAAAATGTACTGAGCCTTGTAAGCAGCCAGATCAGTAGATAAAATATATAATTTATCCCTAATAAAATAATATTTAACTGAAACATGCCACCAGGTGCGTCACCCGGATTTAGATGCAAGGTATTCACCAGAAATTTACTCTTGAATTTTTCAAGACCTCATCAATTGCAGTGACTGAACCTCAAATCAAACGGGCCGGACGAACTATTTAACATTATTCAGAACTATTGAATAATTGTTTTGAACTAATTGTTCAACAACGCTTTGAAGGTACATGCTCCAATAACTCAAAATAAGAAGCGAGGATTCAGGGAAGGATTACTACCGGCAGATGATATTCTATACCAAAGAGTCTTACAAATTAATAAGAGAAATTTGGAATATGGCCAAATAGAATATAAATGTGCAAAAACCACAGGTATATATTAATTACTAAAAATCACTTCAGAATACCAATGAAAAATACTCTGTTCACAATAGTTTCAAAAGTAATGATATGCGTAGGAATAAATTTTAATAAGAAAAGTGAAAGATATATGAAGCAAAATGCAAATGTTAATCAAAGGACATAAAGTAAAATTTGAATAAAGAAAGAGAAATATTACACCCTAAATGGGAAAACTTCAAAGCAATCTTTCTCAAATTAATAAAAGTATTTTATGTCATATAACAGAACCCTAATATTTTATTTTTACTTTTGGAAATAGACAAAACATTTTTCAATTTTGTGAAGGAGGGTAAATTACAAAAGTCACCAAGAAAACTTAGAAAAATAGTGAGTAAGACGCTTACCTTACTACATATTAAAACTTGCACTAAAGCTACTACAACCAAAATATGATACTGGCACATGAGTAAATAAATAAATTGATGGAACAAAACTGAGAGTTCAAAGTAGGTGCAAACATATGAAAATTTAAAATACAATAAAGACGCATTTCAATTCCACACATAAAGAATGGATATTTTTATTACATGATATTGGGACAATGACTAACCATTTAGAAAAGTAACAAAGTTAGATCATTACACCATGTAAATTCTTCACTGTAAAAAAGTATAACTCTTAACAATGGAGGAATTAAAAATACTAAGAAATAGCATGGAAAAAATATTTGTATATTTCTGGCTTGGAAAGACCTGAACAAGTTGAAACCCAGAAACCACCAGGAAAAACATTAACAAGTTTGACTAACCAAAAATGAAAACCATATATGACAAAATATGAAAAAGAGCCAATGAGAAAATATTTACACTTCATAAAGAGTGTAATATTAATAGCCCTACTACTCAAGAGACTTAAAATCATCAGCTGTAAAAAAGACAAATGGCCCTGGAAAAACAATTAAGGATGTGAATACATAATTCCCAAAAGTTGAAATTAAGTGGACAATCTTTGAAAATTGAAGCAGCTATATAGAATTCTTTTTGCCAAAGAATTTTAAAAATCTGACACCATCTGAAGCTGGAGAGGGTATGGAAAAACTAGAGCCTCAGTTATAGTTGACCAAAGTGTCAGATTGTTCAATCTTTTGAAAGCAATTTGTCGAAGTAATTAAAAGGTAATATGCGTGTACCATTTGGCCCAGCAACCCCTACGCCTAAGGACATTCAGCCTACAGAGAGAAGAGCAAGAATGCGGAAATGTGAGAATGCAAACAAATTATTTAAGAATGTTTAGTGCAGTCTTGCTCATAAAGGACACAGTGGGGAAAAAGCTTCAATGTCAGTATGGCTTGGTTGAGTGAATTGTGTTGCATCCCAAGTAAAGAATTTATGCGCTATTAGAAAGAATGCGAAAGGGTCGCCTGGATGTCTCAGTCAGTTAAGTGTCTGTCTTGGGCTCAGGTCATGATCCCAGGGTCCTGGGATCTAGCCCTGCATTGAGCTCCCTGCTGAGTGAAGAGTCTTCTCACTCTCCCTCTGCTGTGCCCCCTGCTTGTGCTTCCACGCGCTCTCTCTCTCTCGAATGAATGAATGAAAAATGAATGAAAATAAATAAATAAATAAATAAATAAATAAATAAATAAATAAATAAATAAAATCTTCAATAAAAGGAATGCGACAGATTTCTATGGATTGACTTTAAAGATGTTCATAATTTTTTAGTAAGTGGAAAACCCAAGATAAAGAACAATAGGTCCAATCCATTATTAGATTTTATTTTAATAAAACAGGCATGAGACTTTGCATTAGATATATGCTTATATATAAAATAATTTCAGAAAAATGGGACAAGTACCCTACTAAACTTCTAAGGGCATTTTCCTACAAAGGATGGCATTAGATTAACAAAGAGGGAAATTTCATTTCTTACTGTGTTCTTTGGTAGTTTCACAAGGATAGTACTACAAAACGTAGGCTGGAAATTATGCGCAATTATACAATTGTTTACATGTGCATATCAAAGAGCACAGCTTTATAAGATTTGTTGACACATGATGCTATTAATTGGCAAAAATAATTCATTTACCTAGAGAAAGATTTCCAAATGTGATGATTGTAAATGACAAAAGACAGTTCAATAAGGAATCTTTTTTTTTAATGTCCAAAGCCAGATTATTCTTACTACACAAGAGAGGAGGTAGCTTACCTTTGGCAATGGCTTTCCCTCCTGGCAGTTGATGCCTCCAATGAAGACCATGTTGGGCATCACAGGTTTGGGATAGTCCAAAACAAAGTCAGTTCTTAACAACCAAATTGACGTATGGCTGTAGAGATCATAAGGTGTGACAGCCGTTTGGAGAATCTCAGATGCAACTTCCAAAGGAGTTTTTAAAAAATAGTGGCAAAATAAATGTTCCTCCAAGTGGGAGATGTGATTCCACACTCTCTCTCTGAAATTCATGGCATCTGGAAACCCTAAAAAAATTCTGGGAACATAAGAAGGAGGACTGGGGCACTGTGTGCTTTCTTCAAGAAAATGGCAAAATAATCCCCTGGTGAAGACCACAGATGGGAGTGAAAAATACTTGGCTACAATTAAGCCACACACATCAAAAGGATCCAGAAACACTGCATCAAAAGAACTCTCCTTTATGTATTCTACTAATTTTGGATCACTAAACAAATTCTTACAATGTAAAAACAGGTGTTCAAAAATATCACTGGATGAATCTAAGAGCATAGAAAGTATACTTTGTGGTCGAACATTCCACTGAGAATCGGAGAAAGTCTTGAACTTCTGATTCAACTCCTCCAGATTGTAAGTTGTGGAATAAGTCTTCACCGTAAAATTGGAGGATTTTCCCAGTTGCCAACTCACCTCTGGTATGATTAAAACCACCTCATGCCCTCTTTGGATGAGTTGCTCCACAACCAAACGCATGGTAAACCAGTGGCTCCCATCCATGGGTACTACCAGCAGCTTGCCTGCCTCGCCAAAGCCAGATGTCAGCAGGAGACACACACACAACAGAGGAAAGCCGGTCAAAATTGTGGCAGCCATTGGAAAACTGCAGCCCAGGGCAATCCAGCTGCTTGGGTTCTGAGCTGGTGTAATAGAGTCAGTCCGTGGAAGAAGTACAGGCACAAAGCCCGCCCCAGCAGAGGGCGTGTATTTACACAGTCAAGGAAAAAAAAAACTACACTTATTGCCAGTGATGCACTCCTAAGAACAATCATGAATGAATAGCATTTGCTGACACACGTGCTTATACATTTTCCAGATAGCAATACCATTTGACCTTTGCCTTGGACAAAGATCATACACTGTGTGGCACGCAATGTTCATTTGGAAGCGGAATTGGTAAGCAATGTTTTTGAGTACTCAGAGTAATAAAAAGGAAAGTAATCATCAATAAAAGTGATATTTTTGCAATTTATTCCTAGGTATCCTTTCTCTTTCCTCTGGGCTTCTGCATTCCTCTGTCTAGACCTCTCTGCTGTGGGCTTACCCCAGTCAGCCTCCTACCCACCTTCAGGAATCTTTGTATCTGCTTCCCACCCTTTACCTAGCACTTGTTGAGGCCAAGGGATATATCTTCTTCATATTTGCACCCTCTTCTCACAGGATCCATGCAACGCCTGACACAAAGAAAGCCCACAAAGACCCTTTGTTGCCTTGGACTGAATTGCAGTATGTGAGTTTTCTAGACACCTTTATGGGTGACTTAGGTGGTGTATGTCAGATAAGACCCTGAGAAACATTTACTGAGGGATTCTAGAGCTAACCTGGGGGCATAATCTTTGTTCAGAACCAACATGGCTCCTTCTGAGATGCCCGAACTATTACTAAACACTTGCTTAGTCTTCATTTACCTTGGTTACTGAAGGACTCTCAGGTGAACGTCTGAAAAATAAAAATTGTGTCAAATGATCTACCTTCCCAGGAGGCTTACTTCAGAGTTGATATCAATAAATTAGAAAATAGAACAATAGAGAAAATCAATGAACCCAAAAGCTGGTTCTTTGAGAAGATGAATTAACCTGATGAAGCTCTAGCCAAACTGATCAGAAAAAAAGAGAGAAGAAAAAATTACCAGTATCAGGAATAAGAAAGGTGGCATCACTACAGATTCCCCAGATATTACAAGGATAATAAGAAAGAATATCAAGAACAAATTTATGCCAATATATTCTACAATTTAGATTAAATGGACAAATTCCTCCAAAGATACAAACAACTAGAGTTTAACAGAGAAATAATACATAAGTTGAGTAAAAATAACTTGCATGTTTTAAGTGGAATTAAGTTTGAATTCACGGAGAGGAGGGGCAAGATGGGGGAAGAGCAGGGTCCCCAAATCACCTGTCCCCACCAAATTACCTAGATAACCTTCAAACCATCCTGAAAGTCTACGAATTCGGCCTGAGATGTAAAGAGAGACCAGCTGGAACGCTACAGTGAGAAGAGTTCGCGCTTCTATCAAGGTAGGAAGACGGGGAAAAAGAAATAAAGGAACAAAAGGCCTCCGAGGGGGAGGGGCCCCGCGAGGAGCCGGGCTGAGGCCGGGGCGAGCGTCCCCAGGACAGGAGAGCCCCGTCCCGGAGGAGCAGGAGCTGCACCAACCTTCCCGGGCGGAAAGGGGCCCGCAGGGAGTTAGAGCAGGACCCAGGAGGGTGAGGATGCCCTCGGGCTCCCGGGGACACTAACAGACACCTGCGCCCCGGGGGTGCGCCCCGGGGGAGCGCCCCGAGCTCCCTAAGGGCTGCAGCGCACACGGCGGGGCCCGGAGCAGCTCGGAGGGGCTCGGGCGGCGGCTCCGCGGAGGGGGCTGCGGGGCGGGAGCGCGAATCCACCAGCGCAGGCCCCGGAGCACAGGGCGCTGGGACACAGCCCAGGATCCAGCCTCACCCGGGGACAGGCAGAGGCCGGGAGGGCCCAGGACAGCAAGGACGCTCCTGCCCCGAGCTGAGCAGATCAGCGGCCCCGCCCCGGAGCCTCCAGGCCCTGCGGACGGAGAGCTCCGGAGTTACTGCGGGGCTGACTCCAGGGCTCCAGAGCTGCCGCTGCCACTGGGGCTGTTCCTCCTGGGGCCTCACGGGGTAAACAACCCCCACTGAGCCCTGCAGCAGGCAGGGGCAGAGCAGCTCCCCCAAGTGCTAACACCTGAAAATCAGCACAGCAGGCCCCTCCCCCAGAAGACCAGCTGGACGGACCAGTTCCAGGGGAAGTCAAGGGACTTAAAGTACACAGAATCAGAAGATGCTCCCCCGGGTTTTTGTTTTTTTTCTTTGTTTGTTTATTTCTTTTTGATTTCTGATTGCTTCCCCCACCCCCTTTTTTTTGACCTTTCTTTCTTTTTCTTTCTCTTTTTCTTCTCTTTTTTTCTTCCTTTTTTCTTTTTCTCTTTTCTTTCCTTCTCTCTCTCTCTTTTTCTCCTTTTCCCAATACAACTTGTTTTTGGCCACTCTGCACTGAGCAAAATGACTAGAAGGAAAACCTCACCTCAAAAGAAAGAATCAGAAACAGCCCTCTCTCCCACAGAGTTACAAAATCTGGATTACAATTCAATGTCAGAAAGCCAATTCAGAAGCACTATTATACAGCTACTGGTGGCTCTAGAAAAAAGCATAAAGGACTCACGAGACTTCATGACTGCAGAATTTAGATCTAATCAGGCAGAAATTAAAAATCAATTGAATGAGATGCAATCCAAACTAGAAGTCCTAACGACGAGGGTTAACGAGGTGGAAGAACGAGTGAGTGACATAGAAAACAAATTGATGGCAAAGAGGGAAACTGAGGAAAAAAGAGACAGACAATTAAAAGACCATGAAGACAGATTAAGGGAAATAAAAGACAGCCTGAGGAAGAAAAACCTACGTTTAATTGGGGTTCCCGAGGGCGCCGAAAGGGACAGAGGGCCAGAATATGTATTTGAACAAATCCTAGCTGAAAACTTTCCTAATCTGGGAAGGGACACAGGCATTCAGATCCAGGAAATAGAGAGATCCCCCCTAAAATCAATAAAAACCGTTCAACACCTCGACATTTAATAGTGAAGCTTGCAAATTCCAAAGATAAAGAGAAGATCCTTAAAGCAGCAAGAGACAAGAAGTCCCTGACTTTTATGGGGAGGAATATTAGGGTAACAGCAGACCTCTCCACAGAGACCTGGCAGGCCAGAAAGGGCTGGCAGGATATATTCAGGGTCCTAGATGAGAAGAACATGCAACCAAGAATACTTTATCCAGCAAGGCTCTCATTCAAAATGGAAGGAGAGATAAAGAGCTTCCAAGACAGTCAGGAACTGAAAGAATATGTGACCTCCAAACCAGCTCTGCAAGAAATTTTAAGGGGGACTCTTAAAATTCCCCTTTAAGAAGAATTTCAGTGGAACAATCCACAAAAACAAGGACTGAATAGATATCATGATGACACTAAACTCATATCTGTCAATAGTAACTCTGAACGTGAACGGGCTTAATGACCCCATCAAAAGGCGCAGGGTTTCAGACTGGATAAAAAAGCAGGACCCATCTATTTGCTGTCTACAAGAGACTCATTTTAGACAGAAGGACACCTACAACCTGAAAATAAATGGTTGGAGAACCATTTACCTTTCAAATGGTTCTCAAAAGAAAGCAGGGGTAGCCATCCTTATATCAGATAAACTAAAATTTACCCTGAAGACAGTAGTGAGAGACGAAGAGGGACACTATATCATACTTAAAGGATCTATCCAACAAGAGGACTTAACAATCCTCAATATATATGCCCCGAATGTGGGAGCTGCCAAATATTTAAACCAATTAATAACCAAAGTGAAGAAATACTTAGATAATAATACACTTATACTTGGTGACTTCAATCTAGCTCTTTCTACCCTCGATAGGTCTTCTAAGCACAACATCTCCAAAGAAACGAGAGCTTTAAATGATACACTGGACCAGATGGATTTCACAGATATCTACAGAACTTTACATCCAAACTCAACTGAATACACATTCTTCTCAAGTGCACATGGAACTTTCTCCAGAATAGACCACATACTGGGTCACAAATCGGGTCTGAACCGATACCAAAAGATTGGGATCATCCCCTGCATATTCTCAGACCATAATGCCTTGAAATTAGAACTAAATCACAACAGAAGTTTGGAAGGACCTCAAACACGTGGAGGTTAAGGACCATCCTGCTAAAAGATGAAAAGGGTCAACCAGGAAATTAAGGAAGAATTAAAAAGATTCATGGAAACTAATGAGAATGAAGATACAACCGTTCAAAATCTTTGGGATGCAGCAAAAGCAGTCCTGAGGGGGATATACATCGCAATACAAGCATCCATTCAAAAACTGGAAAGAATTCAAATACAAAAGCTAACCTTACACATAAAGGAGCTAGAGAAAAAGCAGCAGATGGACCCTACGCCCAGCAGAAGAAGAGAGTTAATTAAAATTCGAGCAGAACTCAACGAAATCGAGACCAGAAGAACTGTGGAACAGATCAACAGAACCAGGAGTTGGTTCTTTGAAAGAATTAATAAGATAGATAAACCATTAGCCAACCTTATTAAAAAGAAGAGAGAGAAGACTCAAATTAATAAAATCATGAATGAGAAAGGAGAGATCACTACCAACACCAAGGAAATACAAACGATTTTAAAAACATATTATGAACAGCTCTACGCCAATAAATTAGGCAATCTAGAAGAAATGGACGCATTCCTGGAAAGCCACAAACTACCAAAACTGGAACAGGAAGAAATAGAAAACCTGAACAGGCCAATAACCAGGGAGGAAATTGAAGCAGTCATCAAAAACCTCCCAAGACACAAGAGTCCAGGGCCAGATGGCTTCCCAGGGGAATTCTATCAAACGTTTAAAGAAGAAATCATACCTATTCTACTAAAGCTGTTTGGAAAGATAGAAAGAGATGGAGTACTTCCAAATTCATTCTATGAGGCCAGCATCACCTTAATTCCAAAACCAGACAAAGACCCCACCAAAAAGGAGAATTACAGACCAATATCCCTGATGAACATGGATGCAAAAATTCTCAACAAGATACTAGCCAATAGGATCCAACAACACATTAAGAAAATTATTCACCATGACCAAGTAGGATTTATCCCCGGGACACAAGGCTGGTTCAACACTCGTAAAACAATCAATGTGATTCATCATATCAGCAAGAGAAAAACCAAGAACCATATGATCCTCTCATTAGATGCAGAGAAAGCATTTGACAAAATACAGCATCCATTCCTGATCAAAACTCTTCAGAGTGTAGGGATAGAGGGAACTTTCCTCGACATCTTAAAAGCCATCTACGAAAAGCCCACAGCAAATATCATTCTCAATGGGGAAGCACTGGGAGCCTTTCCCCTAAGATCAGGAACAAGACAGGGATGTCCACTCTCACCACTGCTATTCAACATAGTATTGGAAGTCCTAGCCTCAGCAATCAGACAACAAAAAGACATTAAAGGCATTCAAATTGGCAAAGAAGAAGTCAAACTCTCCCTCTTCGCCGATGACATGATACTCTACATAGAAAACCCAAAAGCCTCCACCCCAAGATTGCTAGAACTCATACAGCAATTTGGTAGCGTGGCAGGATACAAAATCAATGCCCAGAAGTCAGTGGCATTTCTATACACTAACAATGAGACTGAAGAAAGAGAAATTAAGGAGTCAATCCCATTTACAATTGCACCCAAAAGCATAAGATACCTAGGAATAAACCTAACCAAAGAGGTAAAGGATCTATACCCTAAAAACTATAGAACACTTCTGAAAGAAATTGAGGAAGACACAAAGAGATGGAAAAATATTCCATGCTCATGGATTGGCAGAATTAATATTGTGAAAATGTCAATGTTACCCAGGGCAATTTACACGTTTAATGCAATCCCTATCAAAATACCATGGACTTTCTTCAGAGAGTTAGAACAAATTATTTTAAGATTTGTGTGGAATCAGAAAAGACCCCGAATAGCCAGGGGAATTTTAAAAAAGAAAACCATATCTGGGGGCATCACAATGCCAGATTTCAGGTTGTACTACAAAGCTGTGGTCATCAAGACAGTGTGGTACTGGCACAAAAACAGACACATAGATCAATGGAACAGAATAGAGAACCCAGAAGTGGACCCTGAACTTTATGGTCAACTAATATTCGATAAAGGAGGAAAGACTATCCACTGGAAGAAAGACAGTCTCTTCAATAAATGGTGCTGGGAAAATTGGACATCCACATGCAGAAGAATGAAACTAGACCACTCTCTTGCACCATACACAAAGATAAACTCAAAATGGATGAAAGATCTAAATGTGAGACAAGATTCCATCAAAATCCTAGAGGAGAACACAGGCAACACCCTTTTTGAACTTGGCCACAGTAACTTCTTGCAAGATACATCCACGAAGGCAAAAGAAACAAAAGCAAAAATGAACTATTGGGACTTCATCAAGATAAGAAGCTTTTGCACAGCAAAGGATACAGTCAACAAAACTCAAAGACAACCTACAGAATGGGAGAAGATATTTGCAAATGACGTATCAGATAAAGGGCTAGTTTCCAAGATCTATAAAGAACTTATTAAACTCAACACCAAAGAAACAAACAATCCAATCATGAAATGGGCAAAAGACATGAACAGAAATCTCACAGAGGAAGACATAGACATGGCCAACATGCACATGAGAAAATGCTCTGCATCACTTGCCATCAGGGAAATACAAATCAAAACCACAATGAGATACCACCTCACACCAGTGAGAATGGGGAAAATTAACAAGGCAGGAAACCACAAATGTTGGAGAGGATGCGGAGAAAAGGGAACCCTCTTGCACTGTTGGTGGGAATGTGAACTGGTGCAGCCACTCTGGAAAACTGTGTGGAGGTTCCTCAAAGAGTTAAAAATAGACCTGCCCTACGACCCAGCAATTGCACTGTTAGGGATTTACCCCGAAGATTCAGATGCAATGAAACGCCGGGACACCTGCACCCCGATGTTTCTAGCAGCCATGTCCACAATAGCCAAACTGTGGAAGGAGCCTCGGTGCCCATCGAAAGATGAATGGATAAAGAAGATGTGGTTTATGTATACAATGGAATATTCCTCAGCCATTAGAAACGACAAATACCCACCATTTGCTTCAACGTGGATGGAACTGGAGGGTATTATGCTGAGTGAAGTAAGTCAATCGGAGAAGGACAAACTGTGTATGTCCTCATTCATTTGGGGAATATGAATAATAGTGAAAGGGAATATAAGGGAAGGGAGAAGAAATGTGTGGGAAATATCAGAAAGGGACACAGAACATAAAGACTTCTAACTCTGGGAAATGAACTAGGGGTGGTGGAAGGGGAGGAGGGCGGGGGGTGGGGGTGAATGGGTGACGGGCACTGAGGGGGACACTTGACGGGATGAGCACTGGGTGTTATTCTGTATGTTGGTAAATTGAACACCAATAAAAATTATTTATTAAATAATAATAAATAATAAATAAATAATAAAAATAAATAAAAATAAAAAATAAAAATAAAATAAAATAAAATAAAATAAATAAAATAAAATAAAATAAAATAAAATAAAAATAAATAAAATAAAAATAAAATAAATAAATAATATGTAAAATAAAATGAATAAATAAAATAAATAAATAAAATAAAATAAAATAATAAATAAAATATGAATGCGTGTGTCGCCGGCTGTCCGGGGGACCCGCACCGAGCCCTCCCTTCCCTGGACTCCTGAACTCTGCGGGCGAAAGAACTACATTTCCCATAAGGCCCCGCGCGGCGGGCCGGCGCTCCCGCCGGGCATCCTGGGAAACGTAGTGCGCGCCTTCCATAAATGGCCCCCGCCGGCATGGCTGCGCCCAGTTGGGGCGCGTTTGTTTGTTTCGAACGTGGGGTTGGGCCGGCTCGTGGGGCTGGGCTGGAGGCAGTAAGTGGGGCTCGGCAGTCGGGGCTCTCGGGGTGGGGCCGCGGGAGGCGCGGGGGCGCGGGGGGCGGCACGCCTGAGGACGGCGGGGCGAGGGGCTGCCTCGGGGGGTCGGGTCAGCTGTCCCCGGCCCGCGGACCCTGCGCCTCCTCGCGCCCCTGGGCCCCGTGGCGGCCTGCAGGGCTGCGGGGCTGGAGGGCCTGGGACGGGGGGAAACCGCAATCCAGACCACGAACTCGAGGCCGGACTTCCAACCAACTTCCATTTTTTGTGCCTCCCCCCCTCCCCCGAGGAACGGGTTGCAAAGGAATATATTGCATTTCAGCATTCCTGTCCCTTAGGACCTGTGCAGGGCGCTTTGCATTTGCCATCTCCCCGTGGCCCTCCTGCACACGGGAGGGGGGCGTGAGCGGGCGCCGTTGGCATCACCCCAGGCGTCACCCCAGGCCAGGCGGAGGCCCTTGAGGCTCCTGGGTTGTCACGGCATCCCCCCACCACCCCCACCACCACCCCGGGAACTTCTCCTTAGGGCTCTCCAGCTTCGGGATGCCGTACTCAGCTGCTGTAAAGATGAGTTTGTTCCATTTCATCCCTTTGAGTGCCATAATCTGGTGCAAGAAGTGAGAAGCTGAGATTTCAGGATCTGATTGATGGTCCCCAAGCCCTTGTCAGCAACCCTCAAGAGTCTAGGGTTTGGCTTTGCCACCCCGGCGGGACAGGACAGGAGGTGTAAAGAGGGGTTTTTCTTTCTTTTTTTTTTTCACCAGGGATATATATCAATAAGCCTTTTTTTTTTTTTTTTGTTGTAAAAGCAGCTGTTTATTATTATTATTATTGTGAGCCAAACCCTGCGCGCCAAGTGCCTTTCTTAAAAAAAAAAAAAAAAAAGTCTCTTGTTGGGTTTAAATGACCCTGCATGGTAGGTCATTTAAACCCATTTGACCTATAAGAACAAAGGTTTAAGTGACTTGCCTGAGGTCACGCAGGGAGTGTGGAGCACAGATGAGAAAAATCGAGGTCTTGCGGTGTCCAAAGCCCAGACCTGATGAACTTTCTAACGGATGCTCCCAAATATAAGATCAGGAGATGTGTGGAATGTTTGTAGGATGAGTGGATAGAGAAGATGTGGTCTATGTACACAGTGGAACCTGACGCAGCCATTAGAAACGACAAATACCCACCATTTGCTTCGACGTGGGTGGAACTTGAGAGTATGATGCTGAGTGAGATAAGTCAGTCAGAGAAGGATAAATGTTATATGGTCTCATTTGGGGAATATAAAATAGTGAAAGGGGGGCAGGCTGGGTGGCTCAGCGGTTTAGCGCCACCTTCAACCCAGGGCGTGATCCTGGAGACTTGGGATTGAGTCCCACGTCGGCCTCCCTGCATGGATCCTGCCTCTCCCTCTGCCTCTGTCTTTGCCTCTCTCTCTGTGTGTCTCTCATGAATAAATAAATAAATAAAAATGTTTTAAAAAAATAGTGAAAGGGAATAAAGGGAAAGGAGAGAAAATGAGTGAAAATATCAGAAAGGGAGACAGAACATGAGAGACACCTAACTCTGGGAAACGAACAAGGGGTGATGGAAGGGGAGGTGGGCGGGGGGGTGGAGTGACTGGGTGACCGGCACTGAGGGGGCACTTGATGGGATGAGCATTGGGTGTTATGCTAAATGTTGGCAAATTGAACTCCAATAAAAAAAATTTTTTTAAGCATTTAAATAACATGCCCTATTTTTTTTTTAAGGGCACTGCTTAGTGTCACAATGTTTGGGGATCTGTTTGAAGAAGATTATTCCACTGTGTCAGATTATCAGTATGGAAGGGAGAAGAAATTAAAGACCAAAGGGCTGGAGCCACCGGCTCCTAGAGAATTCACCAATTTAAGCGGAATTAGGAATCAGGGTGGAACCTGTTACCTTAATTCCCTTCTTCAGACTCTTCATTTCACACCTGAATTCAGAGGTATGCTGTGTTACATGCTTTTGATTAGTAATATGTACCCTTCTCTCTCCAAGTAATCAATTATGCAAAGTTATAAATTATGTTAAAGGTGTGTCCCACGGTATGTGTTCATTGTTGATAATGTAAGAAATAAATTGGTAATTCTCTCTGTAAGGGAATGTGAAGCTTACATTACCTTAAATATATTTTGTGCAATCACAGTAATTTGTAGTAACAAATAAGGCAATGGATTTCTAATGCCTATAATTTCACAAACAGCATAAAGAGTTTTGCCTGCCTTCGTTATCGTTACGCTATTTGTATTTCTGAGTTTTAAAATTTCTCTAAAGTAGTAAACGCTCCAGCCGGAGTTACCCAAAAGAATTCTATCCCGCCTTTTGGAGTGGGGATGGGGTGTCATCATTGATCTGCAATTCTGAAATCCAGGCATTGCAACATCCTGATCTGAACTTGTTTGGTGTTGGAACCTGACCTGATGTGAGGTTGTTTATCTCACTTAGGTGGATATTCATATGTTTATAATAGGGATATTAACTCTTTGATTAATGGATACTGTTTATCCCAGTCTCTGCTAGGATGTAATGTTAACCTGTATGACCCCTTCTTCATATTACCTTTCTAAAATCTTGAAATTCCAGGGACCAAGATGTTAGATGAGGGACTGTGCATAAGGAACAGAAACACACTCATATTAGCTCAATTGAAAGGGGGATTTACTGTAAGAATATAGGGCAATCTCCTTGAAATCACCTATAGGAAGCCAGCCTGACCTCATGGGACCCTTGATTTCTTGCCCCTGTTTTTCTCTATATGTTTGTCTAATGCCCATCTCTGCAGACTAGCTTCCTCCACAAGGATCTTAGTCTCCGTGAGCCCTTGATTTCACTGTGAACATTATCTGCATATGGCCCTGACTGGGGCCTTCAGCCACTAAGCTGCATGACTGGCTCAGCTCTCCACAGCGTCTCCATATACTAAGGACAGACAATCTGGCTCATCCTGCATCAGTATCTCATCCCTCTTCCCATCACTACCAAATTCAGCAAGTTTTTTGACATTTTCTTTTGCTTCTAAGGTTAGAAAGACTTCTTGCCTCCAGAGATTTAGTAAATATTTACCATTGTCTCCTTCCCAGGGCCAATCTAATGGATTAAACTGCATGTGGGATTTCATAATGGTGCTATTTGTCTAGGACCTCATCCTCTCTGTAAAAATACTCAGTTATTCCACCATTAGAAATTTTCAACATAAATTTCAAAAGATTCCTAGGGAGTGTAAAAGTTGTCCAAGTTTTCATATAGTAGAAAAGTAGCCTTAAAAAGAGACTGAGAGGGGTACCTGGGTGGGTCAGTCGGTTAAGCATCTGCCTTTCGGCTCAGGTCATGATCCCCATGTCCTGGGATTAAGCCCCAAGTCGGGCTCTCTGCTCCGTGGGAAGCCTGCTTCTCCCTCTCCCTCTCCCTGCCGCTTTGTCTACTTGTGCTCTCTCTCCTGCTTTTTGTCTCTCTGTCAAATAAGTAAATAAAATTTTTAAAAAGAGTAAAGAGAGACTGAGAAAGGTGTTTGGTGGACAAGCAGTTCAGGTCACAGAGAGGGCCACTGAGTGAGGATAGGGCTGAGTAGAGAGGTCACTGAGCAAGAGCCCAGGCCGTCTTACTCTCAGCAAAGGAGATCGTTGGCCAGACATACGGGCTTGTATCTTAGTGTGGCCTGTGCATTCCATGTGAGGCTACACATGAATCCTGATGCTTACTAAAGTGGAGATATAATTTAGAAAGGGTAAAAATTAGCAGATACTGGTGGGAAGAATCCTGGAACTTTTTTGGAAGGTATCTTGAGTTGGTAGGGCTGGATTGGGTTCCCCTGTACTGGTTCAGGATGGGTAAGAGTAGTGGGAAATGATTATAAAAGTCCTTGTATGGTTTTATGCTTTAACCTTTATGTTTGTAGCTCATTTCTTCCCGGTTCCTGCCAGGAGCTCTAGGAGGAATATAACATTTACAGCAGTAATCATCAGGGTAGCAGTGGTTTTCAAAGGGAGACAGTACCCATCCCATCCCTTCTCTCCCTGGAGTAGGTCAAAGTTTCCTAGTAGGAGTTCCCATCTAGTTTGAGTACAAACTTCCCATAAGATTCACATATGTCCCAGTGGGCAGCATGCTCAGATTTGGAAGTATAAAACAATTGTGGAGACTGGCCCTGGGTTACCAACTTATTTTTCCAGGTAAGGTCACTACCATCTGTTATTACCTTAACACAGAAATTCTTTTACCAAAAAAAAGGAAGGACGTGGGCTCAGGTTAAAGATGACCTTTTCTCTTGAAAGGAGGGTTGGAAACCTCACATGTGGCTTATAAATGATCACATGTAATACTGTTATATATTGTGTATTTCCTCGTGTGGCTTTTGGGACCCACTGCCATAGACAATGGGAAGCCATCAAAGATTTCTGATGTTTTTATTTTTATAAGCATAGTTTTCCATTTATAGATCTTTGCTGAAAACTTAGCGTGCTACATTATGGATTCAGTGGTTAAAAGTAATGTTATCAGGAAGTAAAATGTGTAGAGTAACTGTTTACTGCCACAATCATACTTCTGAATATTTAACAGATTTTATTTACTGGAGGCTTTGGCTTTCTAGAACAGTTTTTAAAAATGAAATAACGTTATTTATATCTCTGATTCTATGTTTTGTTTAGAAGCTTTATTTTCCCTTGGCCCAGAAGAGCTTGGTTCATTCGAGGATAAGGATAAACCTGATGCAAAGGTATTAAATCTATGATTCACAAGGTCTTTTTTGGGGGGTATTAAAGAAATGTGTTTTTTTTTAAGGAAGGAATTAAGTTCCTTAATCATAGAAATTCATAATTTTATCATAATTTTAGTAATTACCAAATATTAATCTTTATTTTCAAAAAGTCACGTGGCCTGTATACCTGACTAGTAATGGAATCTTCCTTCCAAAAAAGAATTACTTCAAGTATAGTGCTGCTGCTGCTTTATGGACCTACGTTGGTCAAGAAGATATTTGCAACTGACCCAACACTAGCCTACCAGAAAATCTTCATGCACGTATTTGTAACCAGAAAAAGTAGAAACTAGTGTTTGGTATTCTGGAAATAAGCTGAGTGAGCAATTCATATTATAAGAACATCTCTAATCTTGTTCCTCCTGGCTTTGAATACCGTTAAGTTTATTGCTTTCAGGCTAAAATCTGCACTTCTTAATAGAAGTCTTCTGTAGTCCGGCCCAGCTCTTCTCAAACCACGTGTGTTGCAAAGAGCCAGTTTTTGAGTATTTCCTTTTGTTCCCAATCTCTTGCAGATCATACTCTGCAAGATACGATAAAGAATGTGGTGGCAATGTCAAATTGCCGTAAAAGTATCTAAAGTCTTATTCTCACTTTAGCTACAAAAGTCCAGTCTGCCCACCAGGCTCTGAGCATCCTTCTCTGCCTGCCCTAACCCTGCCCCTCCCCACATCAAGTAAGGCAGGAAGATGGTGAGGCAGGTGCAGCCAGCCCCGTCGCCCTGTGAGGTATCCAGACTCCACAGTGAGTGGAAGTCGTGACCAGGAGATTCCTCACGGGGGTGTGTCTCTGAGAAGTTTCAGAGGAGAAGTGAACTGGGAGAGACTGAAATGACTGGCAGTAATGGATCATGGAGTCTCTTAGGGCCTGTGTGGGTGCTCATATTGATCTGTACTGTGTCAAGGCAGAAAAATCCAGATCACTAAAGCTTTTTTAGATTGAATTAGAATTTTTAAAAGAAAAGTGAGTCTTACTTCACCCTGTGTAATAGTTACAAACCGTTTCCTGATTGAACTGAATGAAGAGAAGAGAAAACTCTCTTGCAGTTCTTTTGAAACATCCCAGGCAACACCAACATTTCATATAGAAATGCATTTACCTTTTGTTCAGGTTCGGATCATACCTTTACAGTTACAACGGTTGTTTGCCCAGCTTCTGCTCTTAGACCAGGATGCAGCATCCACAGCCGACCTCACAGACAGCTTCGGGTGGACCAGCAATGAGGTATGAAGGTCGGCTTCTCCAAGGAGCAAAGTTCTCAGCAATAGAGAGTAAACACTGGCTTAATAACATTATCTAACCTCCTTTAATTTTTGTCTTAGGATCTCAAGAAATAGTTGAAATAGTTACTTCCCATGTTAAGTAACTACAAGCCAGAACTTGCTCTGTGCAGGATTTTATGGACGGGTATGATTTGGCATGGGAGAGAGGGTTGTGGGTGCAGGGAGAAGTAACAAGAGCTGACTTTTACAGCTTCAGCCCTTGATAAAGCCTAGTTGGGATACAACATCTGCTACAGAGAAACTGGAATGTATATAACAAACTGCTAATCAGCTCAAAAAGCTGACCGGCAATAATTCTGTCTGCCTTTATGACGTGCTTTTGTGTTTGTGTCTGGGTATCCTCACTGGAACACTCGCTTCAAGCGAAAGGTGCAAACGTTCTTGGCAGGTCTTTTCATTTTCCCTGTCCTGCTCCTCTCTGGACTCTCTTCACTTTCTTCCTGTATCCTCCTGTGTATGGATGCTCTCTCATTTTCCATTGGATGTTTATAAAGGGTGCTTCACTCTATGCAAACACTGAACATGTCAGCAGTGAGTAAAGGTGCTTGTCAATACTGATAGGCTGCGATTTTTTTCATGGAACCGATGTGTTCTTGCAAAAGAGAGGTGTGGGAGACTGTCACAGATTTTAAAGAGGCAATGGCAAGAATAAATGTTATATTGCCTTCAAAAATAAAGTTTACACTCCGGTCTCCCTGCAGGGAAGACTCCTAAACCAGATGATGCTGTGGGCTTTGAAGAAAATGGGGTATCACACAGTTAAGTTTCTGGTGTGGAGGTGCTAAGGGTTAATTCTTCCCTTTAAAACAAGAAAGTGTTAAAAATGGCCACTCTGTTGAGATATGATTCACATACAAGAAGATTCACCCTTCAGGTTATAAGTCAGCAGTTTGGTATATTCACAGAGTTGTTACAACCACCACAGAAATCGATTTTAGAACATTTCACACACCCCTCGAAAGAAGCCCCATACTCTTGGTAGTCACCGACCCCCAGACTCTGGCAACCACTCACCCCCTTTCTACCTTGACGGGTTTGCCTGTTCTGGACATTTCGCAGAAATGGAATCATGGGATATGAGATCTTTTGAAACTGACTTCTTTCACTTGAAATCCTGTTTTCACGATTCAAGCCCCTTATATAGTATATGTCAGACTCCATTTTATTGTCAAGTAGTATCTTACTGGAGTGATGGCCACATTGTTTTTTTTAATCTTGTCATCAGCAGAAGGATTTGCCTTTTTGATCCTGAGCTTCCTTTGAGTCACTCATTTCATACTCTTAGAGCAGTGAAAACCTTACTTATTTATTAATTCCTAAATAAAATCTCTCCAGAAACCTGCTAGGACTGGTAGAGAGGGACTCAGAAGCACCTTTTCCAAACTTAGAATTGTTCAGAAACAGCTTGAAAACTTGCACAAGTTCCCTCCAGAGCCAGTTATATTGGAGAAATTCACATCTTCCAGTGACTTGTATGTTAACAAACAAGATCCTGAGGCCCACTTTTGCTCCAGATGTCATCCACTTCATCAGCTATTTTTTCTGTGAAAGTTTTCATTAAAATTGTCCTCCCTCGTGGTCTGTACTTCACCTTTCATTGCTACTCTACCTCTTTTCTACCTTTCCTGTCAGAGTTACTCATGACCACATTCCGGGTTCCTAGAGACACCTCTCTGCTCACCATGGGCTCTCAGGAGCACTCATCCCCCACTCAAAGCAGCAGCTCCCACCAGTTCCCATGACCTCGTCTCCTGGTTCCCCCCCTCTCCCTCCCACTGCTCTCCTAGCTCAGCTCTGCTTCTGAGTGTTGGTGGCCTCCCCCGGCTCCCATTTATCTGTCGTTCTGAAGGCGATCAGTCTCTTCTTCACACATAGTTGTGTGACTCATGATGGAGTGAAGCAGGTGCCATCAGAATTTTTCTCAGCTTTCTGTTAGTGGGTCTTTAATGTGCAAGCAAAATTCTGGTTCTTCTCAAATGCTGCTCATTCAGATCCCCTGATGTGAGACTTCACCTACGCTGCCAGCTCTTAGAGACTACTCTGTGCCCATCCCCCGTCCCCTGTGGCATGGCCACGTGCGTGGTGTCCCACATGCATAAAAGCACTTTCCTGTTTTCAGGCGAGTTCAGTTATATGTACACCCTGAATGCCACCTATTCATATTTTCATTTTGGAGTGAAAATCAGAGTGGCAGTGATCTCTTAACATGGTCTCAGTTCATGTAGCTTAGTCATCCTTATTATTTGATCGAAGCTTGACCTTTGGATTTCTAGATAAGTCTTGTGTTGTTTTGTTTTTTGTTTTTTTTTAACTAATACCACTTTAAAAATCTGTTTTTAAAAATCTGAAGCACCAAATTACATTTAAAAGTTACCTGTTTTATAGGAAATGAGGCAACATGATGTGCAGGAACTGAATCGAATTCTCTTTAGTGCTTTGGAAACCTCTTTAGTCGGGACCTCCGGCCATGACCTCATCAATCGTCTGTATCATGGAACCGTTGTTAACCAGGTTGTTTGTAAAGAGTGTAAGAATGTCAGTGAAAAGCAGGTGAATATGCAAGCGTGTTGTAGTAATAAGTTTTATTGTAAGTTGTAACACACGTACTTAAACCTTTGATCTGTAATACCACATAAGGAGCGAAGTGTTTGTTACTAGAAATAACCTTTTTAAGTTTTTTTATTTTACTGTAATTACACCTCAATCTTCACCTTACAGTCCAGCTTTCTTCATATAAACTGAAAGAAGCAAAGTACTCTGATATTAGAAAATATATTTGGGGCACGTTTATAGGTAGAGATCTATGCCCACATGAGAAAAGCCAAGATCATAGTTGGTGGGGTATTATAACAAAAGTTAATTAAGGAAGTAATAGAGAATACTAAGGGATGTAAACGTCTATAATTAAATATTGGGTTTCATTAATTAACATCCCTCAGAAAGTTTATCTGTACGTATGAGTTTATGTTGTCCATTTAATCTCATCGGAAATTAGATATTGGAAATTTGCTCATGACCTAAAATAATCTCTGCTTGCTCTATAAATCTTGTACAGCGTCTGTTTGCATCACTTAACAGTTGTCCCTCAATAAAAATCTCTGTTTGTTATGGCAAGAGTTAGAGAAAATTGCTGTGTTTGACTGAGTAAAAACTTATATGCCATTTTCTAAATTTTGCATTAATTGCTTTTTTGAGTATGTATACTTTTTCTATTTTCTATGAAAGATTTGGGGATAAAAAATGCTTTCTGGTCCTTTTTGGTCCTTTTTGCCTATTCTACTAGAAGGTTTGGTCAGCCTAGTTTGGAAATATTAAGATGTGTGTTTTTGGGTTACCACATGATTGACTTAACTATAATAATTAACAAAGAAACTTCAAGAAATCATGTATATGAAGACACATATTTTCAACATTAATTTTTCATACATGCATATTATACATTACATATAAGTGTTGCTTGTATTACTTTAGATTTTCACCATGAACTAGATAGAGTTTTATTATTTTACAATCCCTGTAATAACCCCTTAGGAGGAATGCTAAGCACACACATAAAACTGTGAATGATTTAAGCTTGTCAGATTTTAAGTGTGTATTACTATAAGTAAGCTGTAATTCAAATGTAGTTATAGTAGTGTCGCTAGACTCCTGTTTACAAAATACTCTCCTCTTAATTTTCATAAAAATACCTTTTTATCCTGGCTCAGAATAATTTTTTTCTTAGAACTTCCTTGGTATATCTTAAACCAGCTCTAGCAGAAGAGGAGGAAGTGGGGTTTACATTAATCCGCCCTGCCCATGCTGCTCTAGTCTAGAGACAACTAATAAGCACTGCACACTTGGGTCAGATGTGTGCCCAGTGGTTTGTTTTATTTCCCACTAAAATAGCTTTTATTATAGCTACAGTGAACTTAGGAACTAGTTCCTGACCTATTTTAAGCCAAATTGTAATTAGATTTAAGGTAATTTTGTGTGATGAATTTCGCAGTATCTTTATCTTTAAACATACAGTGTTTTATGGAAAAGTTATCCGTTATTCCCAATATATGTAGGAGTTGGTGATATGTTTGTGAACTGCTATGAGATTGCTTTTCCAATATTATATTCATTTGTATTTCAGGAAGACTTCCTAGATCTAACCGTAGCAGTCAAAAATGTGTCAAGTTTGGAAGATGCCCTCTGGAACATGTATGTAGAAGAGGAAGTTTTTGACTGTGACAACTTATACCACTGTGGGACTTGTGACAAGCTGGTTAAAGCTGCAAAGGTAAGGATAGATACCTGCCGCCTTTCAGGGGGCGCACACAGTCCTTGGTAGCATGAAGTGTTGTCTCGTGAAGTCAGCTTGTATGAAAAAGTCTGGAAGATACACATGAAGCTCTTAATTGCAACTAAGGATTGAAAAGACATTTACATAGTACATATCTGTATTTTAATTTTGTACTATCAAGAATTCTTTTAAGCTTTCAATCTAATAATTCTCTCAACTTATTTTTCTCCAGGAAAAATTTATTTGTACCTCAGTGTTTCTTAAATATAGCTTTTTAAAATAAACTCCCCGTATCCTTGCTTTTGGCAAAGTACCATTAGGAAGAAGGCGATACGTTTTTATTTCTCCCAAGAAACTCGTTGAGCTTTCCTTTCTTTGCTTACTACTGCAAAAAAAATGGCTTCATTTTCTGCACATGAGATTATTTTACAATATTGATAGATACACCCTCCCTGACTTGCAAATCTAATATGCCCCAATCCCTTCCCCTAGTGGGAAATGCTCATCTTGCCAGTTAAAGGGCTAGACAGGGTACCTCTGGGTTTCTTACCATAAGGATGAAAGGAGGACAAGCCTTACTATTTCACTGCTGCCAGATGATGTGATGGGCTTTCTAGTCAGTGGTTATTGGGCACTGGCATATAGAGCTATCACAAAAGATGGGTTTTTGCACTTACCTGCATGGCAGAGAGCACCATTCCTAGAGCTGACACTTACTGAATTTTCCGTGAAACAAAATGAGGACTGATTCAGATAACACACAATATTGATTTAGATCCTGGAGGTTGTGAGAATGTTTAAAAAAAAAAAAAAAAAAAAAAAAAAAATCCCTCCATGCCGGTAGCTTTCCCAATAGGATTTGAAACCACAGGGTAAATTTTACATTGTTTAATATGTATTTCCATTCAGCCTTTGCCTATTTGTGACACACAAATAAAGAAGTTTATTTTTTGCTTATTTATTTTGTATTTCACCTTTGGTGTTACAATTGTGATCTAACAAATCTAAAACTCAGCAGATGAAAATTCTTGGAAGGATACTTAAACACGTTCTTAGTTTTATTGAACTTAATTTGCACATTAGTAAAACAACCTTTAGCTCAACAAAAGCAGTTCTTGCATGTACTTTTTATGTTTTGGTTTAATTTAATTCTTTTTCAGTGGAAATTTTTTCATCTCAGTACTTTTAAAATTGCACTCTAAATTTACATATGGTTGTGCTACCTAAATTAACATAGATTTTCTTATTCTGAGCAGTCTTTTCTCAGCCATAGTATAGATGAGATACTCAGAATTTTTAGATGTATTTTTTTTTAACTTGTTGGAAAATCTGCCTTGTTATAATAGCTGTTTTTTCACTTAACTTTTTTTAACCCCCAATTTGTGGAATCATTTTAAATACATTTTTATGAACATTAGATATATATATGTAAAGATAATATAATTCAGGACAACTTTACAGATGGAAAGGATTTTTTTGGCCACCCCTCCTACCCAGCATACCATTAGTGCTAAGAAGTTGGGGAAAGCTGATGACTTTTGAATAAAAAGCAGCTTAATTTAGTGTTTTATTTTAAAGGAAGGAAATAAAAAATAACTTTTACTTGCTTTTAAGGACAGTCATTGTAAAACCCCAATCAATGGATCTTAACGTTTGGGGAGTGAGAGCCCTTTGAAAGTCTAATGAAAGCTGTGGATCTTCTCCCCACAAAAACACATTTGTACAGACCATATAATATCAAAGGTTCAGATCAGCTGAAACCAGTCCATAGGTCCCAGGTGAAGAGCTGCAGTCCTTTGTGAATAAAGGGCATGCTGGGCAAAGTGGAGGCACCATGGAGGTAGGTGAAAGGCCAGAACTCACAGGGAAGGAGCTGTGTTAGCAGAGCGAGCACCGGTGACACATGCTCATCGGACACCTTTGATTTTAGGGTATTAACACTACAAACATAAATTTGGGTTGTAAGTTTTTAGTTGTTAACATAAATGAGCAGTATCACCCTTAGTCCCATGAAATAGATGAATTCATATTAAGAGCTGACTTCAGTCCAAGGAGATGAATTTATATGATTGAAGGACACATTTCTCTTAAAACTGCATCACAGGTTGCTTTTTCATATCTTAAGAGCATTATGTATTCTTTTCTCTAACTCTGCTTTTAAAAAAAAAACTTTAAAATTTTTTCTTTCAACAGTCGGCCAAATTACGTAAGCTGCCTCCCTTTCTTACTGTTTCATTATTAAGATTTAATTTTGATTTTGTGAAGCGTGAACGATACAAGGAAACTAGCTGTTACACATTCCCTCTCCGGATCAATTTCAAGCCTTTCTGTGAACAGGTTTGAACAATTTTATTGTGAAATTCTTTCTTTTCTCCTCTCAAGATTGAATCTTTAATTGACCTGGTTTCTGGTTGACTTATTGCAGAATATTTCCACCTGGCACTGTTAATATTTTGAGTTGGGTAATTCTTTGCTGTGGGGGCTGTATTCCATACATTGTAGGATTTTAAGCTACATTCCTGGCCTCTGCCCACTGAATGACAGTAGCATCCCACCCTGCCACACCACCCTCAGTAGTAACAAAAATATCCAGACCATGCCAAATGTCCATGTCTCCTGGGGGAGGATATGGGTAAAAATCAGTGTCGGCTGAGAACTACTGGTTTATTACAGTCCTTTTGAATTTCCAAAGTATGAATTTTTTTCAGTTCTTTTTATTAAGCTCCCCTTGAAAAAAATCTTTGAAAGGAAAAATTAAGAACAAAATAAGAAATAACCCTACATTAAGGAAAAATTACCATTAATTACTTTGCTATTTGGATTTAGATTACATGAGATGCAATAATGAATTACACATCTAGAAAGTGAATAGATCATTGGAATTTCACTAGAATTTATAATCCTTGAATCACAGGAAAGTTTTGAAAACAAATTAATGATACAATCAACATATGATTTTAAAATATTTAAAATGCCATTTTAAAGTATTTTCTATATAATTGCAATAAATGCCAAGATCAGAGCCATGAGACTGTTGTATTTATTATAAATCATTATTTATGTTTATCAAGACCAGAAAGAATATTTATTAACTAGCTATTGAGTTTCTGTGTATAAAAGTTATATTTCCTTTATTCTTAAATGGATGGGCCTTCCTCTTCTTCAAGCCTGATATCTGAGCTTTTTGGAGTTTTATTGGCACATACAGAATGAACAGTTTTTCCAGAGCAAGTTATTATACTTGCCTCACCTACTTTTACTGCCTGAATAAAACAGTTTTGGGGGGCACCTGGGTGGCTCGGTTGGTTAAACATCTGACTCTTGATCTCAGCTCAGCCTTAATCTCAGGGTCATGAGTTTAAGCCCCATGTTGGGCTCCATGCTGGGCATGAAGCCTACTTAAAAGTAATAATAATAATTTTTCAGGATAATTGAATTAATTCTTTTATAATTTTCCAATTTTATTATGAAATAATTGACATCACTGAGTACATTTAAGGTAGACGGGATGATGGTTTGACTTACATGTATTACAAAATGACCACACTATATTTAGTTAACATTGCATCATCTCATATAGAAAAAATTTAGCCCTTTTAAAACAGTTTGTCACATTATTTTAACAAACTTGGAGATTACAAAATTGAAATAGGTAAAACATTGAGTACTAGCTAAGAAATTGACCATAATTTTACATTTTGATTTCTGTATCAATGAAAAAAATTGCCACTTTACATCGTTGTTTATATCTCTCATCTTTTGCCTGAACCAGACATTGAAAAAATTAGTTTGCTTTACAATGTTTCAAGCAAATAAGTTTCTCAGATAACTGGCACCCCTTCAAGTAGCATATTCACATGCAAAGGATCTTTTAACCTAAAGTAGATTTTTTTTTTTAATGTCAGTGTAAGTGTTCACTGATCAAGTCAGTCATAATTATAGAGCACATTAATTATAAAAAAGATGGATCATAAAAGAAAGAACCCTTTCCTCCTACTAAACTGCCTCTGAACAAACAGCTAGTATTGATAATTGCTTAATTTCCTGTGGTGCAGAGGGTGATCATAGGTATGGCTCTGATTCGGAGGTGCATGACCATCTAGTTGGGTTACAGTACCAATTCCACAGCTGCAGAACACATTTCTAAAGCAACATACTGTAGATATGACACAAAAATAGTGTTCTCTTGCTAAAACTATCACAGACACATAGGGGAGCATTTTTTTTTTAAAGATTTATTTATTTATTATTTATTTATTTATTTATTTATTTATTTTATTTGATAGACATAGAGAGAGGCAGAGACACAGGAGGAGGGAGAAGCAGACTCCATGCTGGGAACCCGATGTGGGACTCGATCCCGGGACTCCAGGATCGCGCCCTGGGCCAAAGGCAGGCACCAAACCGCTGAGCCACCCAGGGATCCCCCGGGAGCATGTTTTAATAGCATCTTGGTGCATGTGATCTTAGGCAAAGAACATAAAAATAATATTTTCTGTGTTTTTGTGCTTAAGAGACAGAATTTGCTTAGTTGTCATGTGAAGTGTTAGATGAATGATTGTTTTCAGTCTAAGAATTAAAAATTTTTAAATTTAAAGCCAATTGTTCAAATTAATACTAATTTACCCTTAAATAATAATAAACAAGTTTTTTATTTTAAGAGTGAATTCTTTCTTCTTTCTGGTAATGTATCTTCCCATTTTACTTAAACCATCACCGTTTATGCTCTTTTTTTCTCATAGAGTGACACGGATGACTTGGAGTATGTATATGAGCTCTTCTCAGTCATAATACACAAAGGTGGCTGCTACGGAGGACATTACCACGTGTATATTAAAGATGTCGATCATCTGGGAAACTGGCAATTTCAAGTAAGCAAAGGGATTAGTTCTAGTCTTACTATTTTGGTGAGGATTATCTTTTGTCATTTGTTATAGATATTTACCCTAGAAAATCTTCATAGGCATAGAAAGTAAATACAGCTAGAAGTTTTAGATTATTTCTGAATAGTTTCATATTTAAAACAACCAGCGTAGTAGAAACACCTTCTGTATATACTCTTCACCTGTGTCCTTCAGTTGTTAACAATTTGTGTAAACAGATACACACAGTTCACATTATCTTATGAGGGCTGAGCCATCTTAAGGCAAGCTGAAGACCCCAGGCTCCTTTCCTCCTAAATCCTTCAGCGTTTATCTCCTGAGAGCAAGGGTGTTCCCTTCCATAAGCATAGATCAAAATCAGAAACTTTAACGTTGAAATGATACTACTCTCTAATAGAGAGTTTATCTTCAGATTCTAACTGTTGACTCATCCAGATCCCTTACAGCATTTACATCCAGATCCTTTACAGCATTTTCTTCCCCGCTCTAGTGTCAAGTGCAGGGCCCTGCATTATATTGAGTTAGCATCTCTCTTAGGGCTCCTGTAATTAGTAACTGTTCCTCAGCCTCTCTTTGTCTTTCATGGCACCAGCCAAAGATGGTAACAATTTTCCTCCTATATGGTCTTCTAAAAGTTTTATAGTTTTGCCTTTTACATTAAAACTTCTCAGTCTTTCTGGAATGGTTTCCTATGAATGGTGTGTAATTTTTTTTTTAACTCGGTTGCCCATTACCATTTATTGAATAGTTCTTTCTTTCCCCACCAATCCACAGTGCCAGTTCTATCAGATGTTTATGTATGACTCTTTTTTCTATTCCTAGGCCAATACCACATTGTTAATCTCTTGAGGCATCGTAATAAGTCATGATACCTGTTAGGGCAAGTCTCCCTATATGGTGTTATTCTTCAGGAATGTCTTGGCCTTTTATTCTTCTGTGAACATTTCTAGAATTAGCTTGTCACACACACGCAACACCCATTCTCAGAAGTAGGAGAGTTTTGAACCTGCATATGTAAGCCAGATATATCTTTTCATATTTTAGAGCTTACTATAAAAAAAATTTTTGATATTTTTCTTAAGAATTTGCCGATGTTCTGAGGGAGAGTGTTACCTGGAAGTCTAGTTCCAGTTATTTGCAATGGGAAGAATCAAAGTGTGTCACTCAACAAATCCGAGCTCTCAGTCAGTTTTCTAACATGTAACTAAAACTCAGTGAAATGTCCCAGTGAAATGTACGTTATAAACCATTGTGGTAGGATGTAGAATTTACAACATCTTCCTGATTGTCAGACAGTTGGTATTGTTAATGAATAGTTGCACCACATGTAGTAATACAGCCTCTCTTGGTGCCAGCAGTGTTCTAGATGCACTTTCTCTTTGTTGGCATCATCTGCTTTTCAGAACATCTGTCTGCATTTCTGATGCTCCATCCATTGTACTTTGATATTAAAAAGCATTTGGATAATAAAGAAGTCAGACTTGGTTTGTATATGTGCTGCCGAAGCGAGCACAAAGTCAGACTTGGTTTGATATTTATCAGGGAGATGTTGACCAGGGAGATGTTCTGTGGGGTTGTGTCTGAACTTTGTATTTTTTGGGCTATTTGTGGCTAGTCTATGAAATGTAGTTACCACTAGTTTATTGATTTTTATCAACCAACCATCTTGCTAAACCCTCTTATGTTGCAGACATCTTTGGAGAAAGACTTGTTTCACTCTTTCCAACCCTTTACCTTCCATTTCGTTCAGCTGAGAATGCCATACAAGCAACACTTTCAGATGCTTGTGCCACGTTTGCCAAGACAGTAGTTTGTGGGACACATTCTCAGTCAGATAAAGGGAAGATCTGCCCGCAGGGTTTCTGTGCCTAGTTGGAGCTGATTCCTATCGTGCTGCCTTTCTTCGCTGCTTGCTTAGTTGCCAGGATCCTGTAGTAGAGAGCTCAGGTTCTCTAGAGCAGCCTCCTCGCCCCTCCTGCCCACCCTTAAACAATTATATTACTTTAATTTCATTCTTTATATGAGATGATGTTGAAGGCTTTTTTTAGATTCTGATATAAGCTTGTGAACAGGTCTAATAAATATTTATTATGTGGTCCATTCCTTTTCTTTACCTGGCCCACTATAGTCCTGGCTTCTTTTTTCCAGGTGTGCCTTCATCTGTGTAACCTTTCTTCCCAATGTTGCCCTGTCTCTTTAGTCTGGGAAAGTGCTCCCACTTTCTGCCCTGGTTTGCTTCCAGCTCGAGGAGTGTGCCTCTGCTCTCCTAAGCACTTGCTGCTTTTGTTCAGCCACTGTACGATTTCCAGCACTTTTATAGTTAGATTTATCGTCAGTCTTTGATGCATAAAATAGTTATTTGCAGTTTCATTTTCCAGGTTATCCAGGTTATCATGCACAGAGGAAGCCTTATACAGCAGTGAGGTCGTGTGTCTCAAGCGATGATCCTCCCTTCCGTGTCTTTGTTCTGGCTGGTGTTTCCTTGGACGTCTTTGCCCTTTCGTGTCCATTTCCTCAGAATCGATTCACTCTTTTCTGGCATCATCAGGCTCTTTTGGTTCTGGTATGTGACTCAGGAGGGCAAACAGGCACTCTTTCATTGGTTTTACTCTCCACACTGCTCTACTCTCGAAGCTCTGTTATATCAGCAAGGTCCTCCTCAGGGCTTAAATAATGATCAAAGGATAGCTTTCCATTGGTGTTTAGTATATTTTAATATTTTGCCTTCATGCCTTCTATGAAGCATCCTGTTTGTTACATTTTTTTTTCTGTTTGTTACATTTTTTTTTCCTTATTCTTCCACAATCACTACTTTTTCATCCAGAGTTCTATGGTGTTCAAATAATGAGTAGTGCTTTACAGATTTCAGCTTTAGTATGTATACCTGCTGGACCCTGCTTGTCTTTTTATTACCATTATCCTGAGAGATTTCTTGTGTCTAGAGACCTGGGATTCCAAATATTCTAAGCATAGCCAGATAGTGTTCTTTCTGCTTATAGTTTGGCAATTTCTTCTTCCCTTTCAAGGAGCTGTTCCCTGCATTCATGAAGTTCTTTAGTAGATACCATCTGCAAAGAAACAATTTTCGTGACCAATCAGGGATCATTTTCCCTGGTTTAAAGGCAGCGTTCCAGGGCACCTGGCTGGCTTAGTTGGTAGAACATGCAACTCTTGATCTCAGGGTCTAAGTTTGAGCCCCATGTTAGGGGTAGAGTTTACTTAATAAAGGCAACATTTCAGTCTCTCTTTGTCTAGAAGAAGATGCCTTTCTTCTAGTATGGTGGCCTTTAACTATTCAAAATGTGACTCTAAATCTGGCTGTGAAAAGGAGACTGATCTTTGCTTTCTGCTCCTGAGAACCCTTTTACTTCATTGATGGTTGGTATCACTTTGAACATTATCTTGCACATTTGAAGAAGTGGGTGAGAGAAGGCTCCACAGCAACTCACAATAGGCAGCCCGGAACTAGTTCCTACTCACCCAATAAAGCCAAGGTTGGGCACTGGCAGAGTGGAGGAGGACTGGGTCTAGCCTGTTTGTCTTCTGTACCAGCCTGTCAGATAAGGGGCAGTACTGGCATGCCTCTGCCCTTGTACCATTTTTTAAATCTCTTATTCCTTAGTCGTGTCTTTAAACATATTAAACATGCTATTTTATTAATCTTATAATCACAGTATCTGAAGACTTTATAGGTCTTATTTGGATATCTGTTGATTTTATTTCCTTGTGATTTTGTTATTTTAGACTATAGCCTTGGTTGGTTGGTTTTTGTTTTTTAAGATTCTGTTTAGGGGCACCTGGGTAGCTCAGTGGTTGAGCATCTGCCTTTGGCTCAGGTCATGATCCCGTGATCCTGGGATCAAGTTCCACATTGGGCTCCCCACAAGAAGCCTGCTTCTCTCTCTGCCTATGTCTCTGCCTCTCTCTGTGTGTCTCTCATGAATAAATTAAAGTCTTTTTTAAGAAAAATATTTTATTTATTTGACAGCACAAGCAAGGGGAGTTGCAGGCAGAAGGAGAGGGGGAAGCAGTCACCCTGCTGAGCAAGGATTCCAATGTGGGGCTTTATTCCAAGATCCTGAGTTCGAGACTTAAGCCGAAGGCAGATGCTTAACCAACTGAGCCACCCAGGCACCCCAGCTGGTTGGTTTTTTAAGAACATGATTTACTAGAGTAATTTGAGGGCTGAGTTGAAAGTGCCTTCCTCCAAGAAAGGCAAGTGTTTGTCTCTACCACATGCCTGGAGTCACTTCAGACCCTTAACTTGAAAATCAGATCTTAGGACTTAGTGGTTTTAGAGCCATGCATCTAGTATGAATTTGGACCACAAACACACATGGGCACACGAGGACCTACTTGTGAGTACAAATTATTAGAGATGGGTTTTTTTGGTTGTTTTTTTTTTTTCAATTATTGATTTATTCATGAGAGACACAGAGAGAGAGAGAGAGGCAGAGACACAGGCAGAGGGAGAAGCAGGCTCCATGCAGGGAGCCCGATGTGGGACTCGATCCTGGGTCTCCAGGATCATGCCCTGGGCTGAAGGCAGCGCTAAACCGCTGACCACGCGGGCTGCCCCAAGAGATGTTTTTCTACCTTCATCCAGTATCAAGGTCAAAGCAAGCCAGTTCCTCATTGTTCTTTATTGTGGCATAGATTTTTTTCTGTGTCGAGTTTATACAGATAGTATAGCTCATTCTTTCTAGTTGTCTGCTGAAGTCTATTTTTGTGGTATAATTAAAAAGTATATACTTAGCACCTGGATGGCTCAGTCAGTTAAGTGTCCAACTCATTATTTCAGCTCAAGCCATGATGTCATGAGTCATAATAGTGAGCCAGTCATTGGCCTCCACGCTCAGCAGGGAGTCTGCTTGAGATTCTCCCCCCCCCCCCTGCCACTCCTGACCCCACTCTCTCTCTCTCTCTCTAAAATAAATACATCTTAAAAAAAAAAAAAAGTAAATACTTGGTCTTTGTCCCAAGTTCCTGGAATAGAGGTCCTTGAGGTTTCGTAAGTGATAAGCATGTCTTTTGTTGTTCATAATGAACCCCTTTCAAGCATATTGAATTCATGCTAATGGATGACTTGATGGTGACCTAGATATCTTCAGAATGAGGGCTGGTCACCAAAGGAAACAACCATGTACAGAGGGTTGGTGATGTTAGCCCCAGCTCCTGACCTGAGGAAGGAAGAGGGGCTGATGATCGAATTTAGTTAATCAGTCATGCCTGCATGTTGAAACTTTGATTAAAACTCTGAAACGAAAAAAATAAAAATAAAAAAAAATAAAACTCTGAAACGAGGAGATTAAGGGAGTTTCTGGGCTGGCGAACACATCCACCTGCAGGGATGGTGGTCACCCTGGCTCCACAGGGACAGAGGCTCCTCTTGGGGCCTTTCTTGACCTCGGCCTATGTACGTCTTCATCTGGGTATTCATTTATATCCTTTGTGCTAAACTATAGACATGTATATAAATTCCTGAGTTCTCTAAGCATTACAGGAAATTACCAAACCTGAAATAGAGGTTGTAGGAACCATAAAATTTGTAACCACCCAGGCAGAAGTATAGATGGCTTGGGACCCCATTTGTGGCTGTTGTCTGAAGTGGGAGCAGTTTTGCAGGACTGTGTGAAGTTAGTATCAGAACTGAACCAAATTGTGACACCCAGATGGGTCAGAGGACTGGAGAACTGGTTGTTAGGAAAACCGATCATTTAACTCTATACTTTGGGATGTCCTTGGGTTTTTGTCTCCCAAAACTCATCCTGTATGACCATCAAAGTGGAAACTGTCAGCAGGTTTCGGTGTCAGCTGTGATAGCTGGTGGACTTAACTCTGGATTTTCTCCTTGAATTCCCATTTCCCTTGTTCTCTGAGGATTTCCCTGATACTCTCTTGCTAATTTAATGTGTATTTTAAAAAGATGCCTTTTTGTTTTGTTGTGTTTACTTTACCCAGCATTTTTGGTAATTGTTCAGTAGAATGGTTATATTTAGTCTACCATTTTCTTTTGCTATTTATTATTTTTGTCTTGTGTTATTAGGTCTATTGTATTTATGGCTGTAAGCCAAATTAAAACACGTTTGCAAGATGAGATGTAAAAAAAAAAATCAATAAAAATACCTTATTTTGACATGTTCCCAAGTAACTTCATACAGTAGGGTGCAGAGTTGGATGATAGGAAATAGAATCAAGCACTAAGCTGCACCTGCCAGGGACATATGTCAGAATTCGTAGGGTGCAGCGCAAGTAACACTTACCAGCAACCTGTCAGGACCTACTGTGTGTGTGTTGCCCTGGATGTTTATCTTACAGTCCCATTCACAGATAATGCCAAAGAAGTTAAATATTTTGTCCAGGATTAGTCGCAGAGCTGGAATTCAAACCTGGTCTGCTGGACTGCAAAGTATACATAACTTAATTACAATGTTTTCATCATTTCTCTATCTTGAAACTTCCATGGCACAAACATTTCTATTTTATTGATTACCTTTTAAGGAGTTAATGATAAAAACCTTTTATTGTTTTCCTTTCTAGGAGGAAAAAAGCAAACCAGGTATGAATTTAAAAGATCTCCAGAATGAAGAAGAGATTGATGATGATCCCTTGATAATTCTAAAAGCAATCTTACTACAGGTAAAGAAAGAGTTTATATTTATGTATGTTTGTTTCAGACATGCATGTAAAGTGTGAAAGTTCATTGATAGAACTGGGACTATTCATAGTCTTTTTTCTTTGGGACATTCTCTGTGTCTGTTTTTACATTTTGTTTATTGGAGACCTTCTGGTTATAAAAAGAATTCATATTTGTAGTAGGAAATTTTGAGAAAAAATTAGGAAATATATAAAAAATATAAAAGAATAAAAATATAAGTAAACCAAGTACCCAGTCACTGTTAACACTTTGATGTATATATAGTCTTTGCATTCTGTCTTTTGTTTATGTGCATATATTGGGATTGAGATATGGGGTTTTGGTATTACTATCCTTTTAAATAGAATTGGGATTTACCATACGTATTGTTTTGACATTTGCTATTTCCCCATGTTTTCCTTCTACTGTCTGCTGTTCCTGAAGTTATGTCCCCTTTTTCATTCCTTATATTCATGTACTGATAATGCCTCAAGTGTATGACTTTCAATGTTTGCTTAGTGCTGTGTTGTAAAGGTGGTAGGTCTCCTTTCATGTGTTTATCCATTCTTTTTTTTTTAATTTTTATTTATTTATGATATTCACACAGAGAGGGAGAGAGAGAGAGAGAGAGAGAGAGAGGCAGAGACACAGGCAGAGGGAGAAGCAGGCTCCATGCACCAGGAGCCCAACGTGGGATTCGATCCGGGGTCTCCAGGATCGCGCCCTGGGCCAAAGGCAGGCGCTAAATCGCTGCGCCACCCAGGGATCCCTGTTTATCCATTCTTACAAAGAATTTTTCTTAACTCTTTCTGATGAACCTAGCCTGGTCTGTGGCCACTGTATCTGTGTGCTGGGGCTGTTGTCACTAAGGACCAAAGACTGGGGGGCTTAAGCTACAGAAATTTATTTTCTCATAGTTGTGGAGGCTGGAAGTCGAAAATGAAGGTGCCAGCAGGTTTGTTCTCTCCTGAGGCCTCTCCTGGGCTGGCAGATGGCTACCTTCTCGCTTTGTGCTCATGTGGCCTTTCCTCTGTGCCTCTGCACCCCTTGCATCTGTGTGTCTATATTCCTAGTCTGTATAAGGACACCAGTCAAAATGGACTGGGACCCACCCTGATGACCTCATTTTTAATGTAATCAATTCTTTAAAGGCCCAATCCAAAATAGATTCAAAGTTGAAACCTTGAGGGTCAAAGAGTCAACATATAAATTTGGGGAGAGGGGGACAGACACATTTCAGCCCAAAACAGTCACTTCTTACTCCCTTTTAGAACTTGTTTACATTTAGAATCATTCAGAAGAGATATTGATAATCCTTTTTTTGTACTTAAATGTTTCTTGTAAAAATCCCACAAAATATTAGGAATTTACCAAACCTCAGAATACTCTTTGGGTATTGCTCTTTAAATGTTTAAACTTGAGGCGTTTAAGTGGCTCAGTAGTTGAATGTCCAACTTTTGATTTTGGCTCAGGTCATGAGATCAAGCCCTGCCTTAGGCGCACTCAGCGGGAGTCTGCTTGAGATTCTTTCTCTCCTTTTCCCTCTGCCCCTCCTGTTCATGCATGCACTCTCTAAAATAAATAAATAAATGTTTTAACTTTGGTACAGGAAAGCACAATTCAAGTTTAAATCTACCTTTTTAAAAAAAAAAAGATTTTATATTTATTTATCTATTTACTTAACACAGGGAAAGAGAGGGGAGGGGAGAACACAAGCAGTGGGGGCGGCAGGCAGGAGAGGGAGAAGCAGACTCCCCCTGAGCAGGGAGCCCGATGTGGGGCTTGATCCCAGGACCCTAAGATCATGACCTGTGCCGAAGGCAGATGCTCAACCCACTGAGCCACCTCTGCTCCCCTTAATCTACTTTTTTGAAATTTATCTTGAAACAATTATGGTTAATCCACTTGCATGAATGCTGTCTTAGGCACATTTAATTAGATGTAATTCTGTTGGTCCCTTGAACTCATAAATGTTATGGTTTCATCTCCTCTCATTTTCTTAAATGACTGTTTTGTTTTGTTTTTTTTTTTCACAAGGAGGAGAGTAATCTAATTCCTGTTGATCAGCTGGGCCAGAAACTCTTGAAAAAAATAGGAATGTCTTGGAACAAGAAGTACAGAAAACAGTATGGACCACTGAGAAAGGTAACGCATGACATCTGTATGGGAGCTCCTGTCCAGGAAATTTTATTATGTGATCCCTTTGCAACGAAAATTAAGGTGAAAATAAAATCAGTATTTTTATTTAATGGTTGAAGTTAAGTTACTTATTAAGTGTTATTAAATAACTTATCGTAGAATCAAGAAGTAAGCCTGAAAAGGAAAAAGACTTGTAATATAAAGCAAAAAATGTCAAGATGTTCATACTCTGAAGCTCATCATTTTACTTCAGAAATGCCTTAGGGTGTTCCCACAATTTTCCCATGGTCTTTCTTTTACACATAATCCTGTTAAACTTGGTGTTTCGGAGGCTGTGAAATTAGATGCAAAAACTGAACACAAGTCAATAACTTGACTGAAAAACACAGTAACACTTAGTAAATATTTTGGAGCTATTTCTTAGAGGAGCAAAGAGCTCACACACTTCATTAAGTGTTTAAGTGCATCTTTTAATTAGACCACACTTCAGAAATGAATGTTTGGCTTAATGATTCTGAGACCATAGGTTTTAAGGTTTCATTTAAAGTGATTGGGTCACTCTCTCTATATTGTACTCTTAAATGTGATATTAGTTATGCAGGTTTTTAAAAAATATATATATGCCTTTTATTATAAGTTTGAAGGAGTTAGCTTTTATTCATAGTTGATGGCTAGTTATCTTGAGTAGAGGTTGGGTTTTATCAAATGCTGACTGGTTTTTATTGTATACCTTTTATTATGTTAATGCAGTGAATTCCATTGACCTTTTCAATCTTGAGCAAATCTTAGACTTCTGAGACAAACTCCACTTGGTCAAGAAATTTTATGTATTGCTATATTCATTTGGCTCATATTTAGAATTTTTGTTTCTACATTTTTGAGAGGTCTTAGTCTGGCTCTTTTTTTGTGGTTGTCAGATTTTAGCATCCGGGTTTTATAGGACTCATAGGAGAAGTTGGGAAACACTCCCTTTTTTTATATCCTTGGGAAGAATTTAAGATTTTTTTTTCTTAAATGTTTGGTGAAGCTGTTGAGACTTGAAATTTTTTTTATTTTTAATTCCAGTGTAGTTAACATGCAGTGTTATTAGTTTCAGTTGTAAAATGTAGAGACTCAGCAGTTCTGTATATTACTCAGTGCTAAGTGTCCTCTTAATCCCCTTCACCTACCTTCCCCATTTCCGCCCCCCACCCCCAACCCCGTAACCATCAGTTTGTTCTCTCTTGTTAAGAGTATGTTACTTGGTCTGTCTCTTTTTTCCCCTTTGTTCATTTGTTTCTTTTTTAAATTCCACATATGAGTGAAATCACATGGTATTTGTGTTTCTCTGACTGGCTTATCCTAGCATAATACACTCCATCTCCATCCATGTTGTTGCAAATGGCAAGAGATCATTTTTGTTTTGTTTTGTTTTTTTATGGCTGAGTAATATCCATTATATATAAATACCATATCTTCTTTATTCATCTATCGAGGGACACTAGGGCTGCTTCCATGGTTGGGCTGTTATAAATAATGCTGCAATAAACACAGGGTTGCATGTATCCCTTCAAATTAGTGTTTTTGTATTCTTTGGATAAATTCGGTAGTGTGATTACTGGATCATAGGGTAGTTCTATTTTTAACTTTTTGAGGACCCTCCATACTGTTTTCCACAGTGGCTGAACTGCACCAACAGTACGAGGTTTCCTTTTTCTCCATCTTTGCCAACACTTGTTTCTTCTGTTTTTATTTTAGCCATTCTGACAGATTTGAGGTGATATTTTTTGAGGTTTTGATTTGCATTTCCCTGGTGCTGAGTGATGTTGAGCATCTTTTCATGAATCTCTTGGCCATCTGGGTGTCTTTTTGGGGGAAAATGTCTGTTCATGTCTTCTGTCCATTTTATAATTGGATTATTTTATTTTAGTGTTGCATTGTAGAGTTCTTTATATATTTTGGATACTAACCTTTTATTGGGTATATCATTTGCAAATATCTTCTCCCATTCAGTAGGTTGTCTTTTAGTTTTGTTGTTTCCTTCACTGGCCAGAAGTTTTTTATTTTTAGGTTCCCTTCCCTCAGGAGACATATCGAGAAGGATGTTGCTACAACTAGTGTCAGAGAAATTTCTGCCTGTGGTCTCTCTTCTAGGGTTTTTAAGATTTCAGGTCTCACATTTAGGTCTTTAATCCATTTTGAATTTATTTTTGTGGTATGGTGTAAGAAAGTGGCCCAGTTTACCTCCTTTTCATGTAGCTGTCCAGTTTTCTCAGTACCATTTATTGAAGAGACCCTCTTTATCCCATGGCATGTTCTTGCCTCCTTTGTCAAAGATTAGTTGATCGTGTAATTGTGGGTTTATTTCTGGGCTTTCTGTTCTATTGAGACCTGAAATTTTTTTGGAGTAAGGTTTTTTTAATTATAGTTTAAATTTCTTTGATTGTAGTATTATTTAGATTTTCTCTTCTTGGGTTATTTTGGAAAATTGTGGGTTTTTTAAAGGAATTTGTTATTTTCTCTGTGATGTCAAATTTATTGGCATAAAGTTATTCACAATACTCCATATTCTCTGGTGTCTATAGTACCTGAAGTTATTTCCTGTTTCATTCTTAGTAATTCGTATTTTCTCACTTTTTTTTTTTCATCAGTCTTTCTTGGTATTTATCAAGTTTATTAAGCTTTTAAAAAACAAACTTTTGCCTCTGTTGATTTTCTGTATTGCTCATCTATTTTCTTTTATTTTTATTTTTATTTTTATTTTACTTATTTATTTATTTATTTTTTTAATGATAGTCACACAGAGAGAGAGAGAGGCAGAGACACAGGCAGAGGGAGAAGCAGGCTCCATGCACCGGGAGCCCGACGTGGGATTCGATCCCGGGTCTCCAGGATCGTGCCCTGGGCCAAAGGCAGGCGCCAAACTGCTGCACCACCCAGGGATCCCTGTTTTCTATCTCACTGATTTTTGCTCTTGTTTTTAATTATTTCCTTCCTTTTTCTTTCAGGGATTTAATTTGATCAACTTTTTTCTAGCTTCCTGAGTTGATGTTTCAATTGTTTTTGAATCTTTTTTTTTTTTTTAAGATTTTATTTATTCATGAGAGACACAGAGAGAGACAGAGACACACGCAGAGGGAGAAGCAGGCCCCGTGCAGGGAGCCTGATGTGGGACTCAGTCCCAAGTCTCCAGGATCACGCGCTGGGCTGAAGGTGGCGCCAAACCGCTGAGCCACCTTGGCTGCCCTTGAACATTTTTACTTTTATTTTTATTTATTTTTTAAAGATTTTACTTATTTATTCATAGAGACAGAGAGAGAGGAAGAGACACAGGCAGAAGGAGAAGCAGGCATCATACAGAGAGCCTGACGTGGGACTCGATCCAAGGTCTCCAGGATCACGCTGAGCCACCTGGGCTGCCCTTGAACCTTTTTTTTTTTTTTTTTAAAGGAAATTGGGATTTCTTTCTTTCTTTCTTTTTTTTTTTTTTTTTTATGATAGTCACACAGGGAGAGAGAGAGAGAGGCAGAGACATAGGCAGAGGGAGAAGCAGGCTCCATGCACCGGGAGCCCGACGTGGAATTCGATCCCGGGTCTCCAGGATCGCGCCCTGGGCCAAAGGCAGGCGCCAAACCGCTGCGCCACCCAGGGATCCTGCCCTTGAACCTTTTTAATACGAGCTTTTAAAGCTATAAATTTCCTTCTAAGTACTAACTTAGCTGCAGCCCAATTTGGCATGTTTTCATTATCATTCCACTCAAAATATTTTGTAATTTCCTTTGTGATTTTTTTTTGGAATTGTGTTGCTTAATTTCCAAATATTTTAGGATTTCTTTTTCTCCTTTTTCTTATGTCTGTAAGTCGATCTCTAGTTAATTTCATTGTACTCTGAGAACATACTGTCTGTGATTTTAGTTCTTTTGAATTTATTGAGACTTATTTCACACTTCAGAATATGATCTGTGTGGCTGTGTATTGTGTATTCACTGGAAAACTTATTTTCTGCAGTTGTTGGGTATATTGCTTTGTAAATGTCAACTATGTCTAGTTGGTTAATGGTGTTTGTATTTCTTCTCTGTCCTTACTAATTTTTCTTTTTTTTTTTTGGCTTTATCAATTACTAGGAGAGTGGTTTAAATCTCCAACTATAATTGTGGATTTGTCCCTCCCTTTACTTTGGATAATTTTGCTTCATGTGCAAAAAAGTTATATTATTAGAAGTTATATTATTAGAATCATACACATTTTTTTATTTTTATGGCCTCCTGACATACAGTGCCCTCCTTTATCTCTGCTAGTATTCCTTGCCTTAAAAATTTACCTTGTCTGCTACTAATGTAACCCTGCAAGCTTTTGTATACAATTGTGTCTCTTGCAAACAGTATAGAGTTGGTTCTTAATTATTTTAGAAAATTGTGATTTTTAAGTAAATTGTTCTTTTATTTAAAGTAAAATTTGGGGCATCCCCGGTGGCTCAGTGGTTTAGTGCCGCCTTCAGCCCAGGGCCTGATCCTGGAGACCCAGGATTGAGTCCCACGTTGGGCTCCCTGCATGGAGCCTGCTTCTCCCTCTGCCTGTGTCTCTGCCTCTCTCTCTCTCTCTCTCTCTCTCTGTCATGAATAAATGAATAAAATCTCCAAAAAAAAAATAAAGTAAAATTTGTTAGCAGGGCAGCCCTGGTGGCGCAGCGGTTTAGCGCCGCCTGCAGCCTGGGGTGTGATCCTGGAGACCCGGGATCGAGTCCCACGTCGGGCTTCCTGCCTGGAGCCTGCTTCTCCCTCTGCCTGTGTCTCTGCCTCTCTTTCTGTGTCTCTATGAATAAACAAAATTAAAAAAAAAATTGTTAGCATATAGTTGTTTGAAATATCACCATATTACCATTATAAAGTCCATAGGAACAGATGTTATGTTCCTTCTTTCATTTTTGATATTGATCATTTATGTGTTTTAGCTTTCTTTTTCATCAGTCTTGCTAGAGGTTTATCACATCTATTAAACTCTTCAAAAAAGCAGCTTTGTATTTGTTGATTCTTCTCTACTGTTCATCTGTTTTCTGTGAGATAATAGTTTGATAGCTTCTTTAGGTTAAGATGTGTAGCCCACTTTTTTTTTTAAAGATTTTATTTATTAATGAGAGACCGAGAGAGAAAGAGGCAGAGACATAGGCAGAGAAAGAAGCAGGCTCCATGCAGGGAGCCCGATGTGGGACTCAATCCCAGGACACCAGGATCACGCTCTGGGCTGAAGGCAGGCTCTCAACCTCTGAGCCACCCAGGTGTCCCAGTCCATTTGTTTTTTTTTTTTTTTTTTAAAGATTTTATTTATTTATTCATGAGAAACACAGAGAGAGAGAGACAGACAGACAGACAGACACAGGCAGAGGGAGAAGCAGGCTCCGTGCAGGGAGCCCGACGTGGGACTTGATCCCGGGTCTCCAGGATCACACCCTGGGCCAAAGGCAGGCGCTTAACTGCTGAGCCACCCAGGGATTCCCTCCATTTGGTTTTAATGCAATAATTAATATGGTTGATTTTGTTTTTTTGTTTTTTTTTTTGTTTTTTTTTAATATTTTTAATTTTTTTTCAACTTATTTATTTATGGTAGTCACAGAGAGAGAGAGAGAGGCAGAGACACAGGCAGAGGGAGAAGCAGGCTCCATGCACCGGAAGCCCGATGTGGGATTCGATCCCAGGTCTCCAGGATCGCGCCCTGGGCCAATGGCAGGCGCCAAACCGCTGCGCCACCCAGGGATCCCAATATGGTTGATTTTGAATTTACTATTGAGGTATTTATTTTTTATTTGCCACCTGTTTTTTGCTCCTTCATTCTTCCTTGCCATTTTGACTAACCAAGTGAGTTTTAGTCTTTCATCTTAATCTCCTCTGTTGGCTAATATATTGCTATATTTCTTTAATATTTTTATTCCGGAAGTTATACTGTACATAAATCAATCTTACCACCTACAAATTAATAGTATACCACTTCCTGAATAGTGTAAGATGCTCACAGTGGTAGGACTACATTTTCCTACTCTCATCCTATCTGCTGTTGCCTTATATTGTTCCATTACATGTAAATTCCACTCTGTGTTATTTTTATTATTATTTTTTTTACTTTAAGCACTTCAGCAACTTTTAAAGAAATTAATGAAAAAATAATGTTTTCTATTTATATATTCTGGTATTCATTGCTGCTTCTCACACATTCACCTGTGCATCTAGTTGCATTTCCCTGCAGCCTAACAGAGCTTCAAGTCTTTACAGAATGACCATCTTAGAGTCTTGGTGAAAATATTCTCAGCTCTTGCTAGTTTGATTGAGATCTTTATTTTGGGGACTCCTGGGTGGCTCAGCGGTTGAGTGTCTGCCTTTGGCTCAGGTCATGATCCTGGGATCCTGGATCGAGTCCTACATCGGACTCCCTGCATGGAACATGCTTCTCCCTCTGCCTGTGTCTCTGCCTGTTTCTCATGAATAAATAAATTTAAAAATCTTTAAAATAAATAAATAAAAGTTTTTTTTAATAAATTAATTTTTATTGGTGTTCAATTTACCAACATACAGAATACATACAGAATAACACTTGCTCATCCCGTCAAGTGTCCCCCTCAGTGCCCGTCACCCATTCACCCCCACCCCCCGCCTTCCTCCCCCTCCACCACCCCCAGTTCATTTCCCAGGGTTAGGAGTCTTTATGTTCTGTCTCCCTTTCTGATATTTCCCACACATTTCTTCTCCCTTCCCTTGTATTCCCTTTCACTATTATAAATAAAAGTTTTTATTGTTTCCCTTTCAGCACCTTAAAGGTGTGTCCTTCCATTATGTTTTGTCTTACATTATTTTGTCTCAGAAGTGTAGTTTCACTTGTACATAATGTGTCTTTTTCTCTGCCTGCTTTTAAGATTTTTTCTTTTTCTTTGTTTTTTAACAGTTTTACAATAATACGTCTCAGTATGTGTTTATTTGCTTTGTATTTGCTAAGTTTTATATATTTATAGCTTGAAGTCTCTCTTCAGTTTTGACTATCATATTTTCAGTTTGGTTGTCTGACCCATTTTCTCTTTTCTTCTCTTTCTAGGACTACAGTTACATATAAATTAGACCATTCAGGATTTCCTCACAGATTATAAGTAACTGGGTTTTTTGTTTTGTTTTGTTTTTTGTTTTTGTTTTTTTCTGATTTTTCCCTCTCCTTCAACTTGGATAGTTTACTTTTTTTTTTTTTTTTTTTTTTTTAGTTTACATTCTTTATCTTCAAGTTCATTGGTTCTTTCTTTGGATATAGCCAATCTTCCATTAAGTCCTGCTATAACTTCTTGTTTAGATGCTGTAGTTTTTGGCTATAGATTTCCATTTAGCTCTAATTGAGAGTATCCATTTCTCTGCTGAAATTTCCTGTGTGAACCCACTGTGTTCATGAACTTTCCTGTAAATTAATTTTTGAAGATTAATTGCCTTTATTAAGTTATATAAATTAAATATTTTTAATAGCTGTTGACTATCATTTAGATTATTTCTGGGTCTCTTATTAACTCTTATTTCCTTTATGAATTGACTATATCCTTTTTTTATTATAAATCACACTGACCTGTTTGTGTGTCATTTAATTTTATATTGCCTACCAGACATTGTGGATTATATCATTGTTCTTTAAGGAGTTTTGCATTTTACTCTAACAGGATGTTGAATCTCCTTGATCCCACGGAAGCTTCATTTTGGGCTTTGTAGAGTGGGTCTGTTGTAGTAGCAAATGGTGGCCTGTGGGCAGAATATGGCCTGCTGCCTGTTTTTTTTTTTTTGTTTGTTTTGTTTTGTTTTGTTTTGTTTTACAGCCCTGAGCTCTAAGAACTGTCTTTACATTTTTAAATGGTTATCTTTTTAAAAGTTACATAGGCACCTACATAATATCCTCAAGTTTGCCTCTTAAACACACAAAGCCTAAAATAGTTACTGTCTGGCCCTTTATAAACTTGCCAGTGATGGCCCTTCTAGGATTTCAGTAGAAAGCCTGAAATGTTTATCTATGCCTCTGTCTTGTCAGGACTTCAATTCCAAGTTCTTTCTACCCAGAAATCTCTGCTCAAATCATGAATCTACCAGCTGTTTCTCTCCCTGGAGTTTCTTGGGTTTCGGGCTGTCCATGTACCCATCAGGAGTTAGCCAAGGATTTGAGGGTGATTTGATATAGATTCAGGGTTCCTTAATGTGGCTCTTTCAATTTCTAGTCTCGCTGGAATTTTCAAATTGTTTCCTCAGCTCAGTAAGACTACTGCCCTTTGGGGCGCCTGGGTGGTTCAGTTAAGCATCTACCTTCAGCTCAGGTCACGATCTCGGGGTCCTGGGATCAAGCCTCACATTGGGCTCTCTGCTCAGCGAGGAGTCTGTTTTCTCCCTCTCCCTCCGCAGCTCCTTCTGCACCTGCTGCCTCTAGCTTTCTCTCAAATAAATAAATAAAATCTTTAAAAAAAAATTTTTAAAAAGACTGCTGCCCTTTGCTTGAACTCTTCCACCATGCACCACTATAAAGTGGGAAGCAGTTTTAATGTAAAACTCACCTAGTTCACTTCCCTCTTGAAGGATTATATCCCCTCTGCCTTATGCCTGTTTTTGGTTATTCTCCAAACATTTGTTTTCATTATTTTGTCTAGAGTTTGTCATTTTTTATTAGAAAAGTTAGTACAATAAAAGTTCTCTGCCATTACTGGGACCAGGCTATGGTAAATTTTGAGACTGAAAATTAATACTCATTTCTCAAAGAACAGAAAAAAGGGCTAGTAGAGAGTTCATTAAAGTTTTCAAATCATTATTTGTACCTAAACAAATTAGCTATGAAACTGTTTTACCACCTTTTACACACAGTATTGTCTTTGAGGCATATACCTGTTTCCTGATACAGGTATAGGTGATAAAATAATAACTTTGATTAGAGAGTTGGTACTTTCCAAGTGAAAAATAAGAAAGTCACCTTTCCATATTGATTGATGGGCTAAGCAGATGTTGCATATGCCTCCCAAGTGATTTTCCAAATAAACTAAGTTTGTGCTGAGAGAAAAGTTGTTGCAGGGCCACTTAGCAATCAGAGAGTGAGAGGAACGTAGGGATGGAAAGGGAGGGTAGGCAGTGAGGAAGAATGCTTTTTTCTTCCCAATCCTTTAGCTAGAACTTAAGAAATCGTTTTTGGGATTAAGACATTAGCTTTCTGTGCTTTGATTTCCTGAGCTAACCTGCCAGCTTCCTGGACAGACAACATACGGTTTAGTTAATGTTACATGACATTGGAGGCTTATAATTATTACTTTATTCCAACAGAGTTTGTCTGAGTCACTAGTTTTAAAATTCTCTTATGTAGTGCTTCACTCTGTGACTGCTTTTGTTTTGTGCTCTGTATGTTTAGGTTGCTTAAACATCTTGGAAGTGTTTGTTCTAATCTGTTTTAGTAAAGTACTTTTTAAAAATGGTGTTAGTAGAGTATAATTAAAATATTCTTTAGACTGTGGCATGGCAGCTTTCTCCCTTGATCTGACTGTTACACTGTTAAACAGAAAGCACTGTTTTCATTAAATGTTTTATCATGACTCAAATGGATTTTTTTCCCCTCTTAGCTTGCTAGGCCAAAAATAAAGGTAAAGTACAAATATCTAGTCACAGAGAGGAAGGTCTAGTTTTTTTATTGTGTCCAATTAAAAAAAAAAGTTATTAACGTCGTATTTGTTCTTTGTTTCTGTATAGTTCTTACAGCTTCATTCCCAAATATTTCTACTCAGTCCAGATGAAAGTACAGTTAGTCTATTGAAGAACGGTTCTCTCCAGGCTGAGTCTCATTTCCCAAGGAGTGATCAACACATTTTCAAGACACTAACTTCAGAATCCCCAGGACTAAATGATGGAACCTCCTGTCCCCACTGGTTTGATATAAATGATTCCAAAGTCCAACCAATCAAGGAAAAGGATATTGAACGGCAGTTTCAGGGTAAAGAAAGTGCCTACATGTTGTTTTATCGGAAATCTCAGTTGCAGAGACCCGCTGAAGGTATGGAAAGAGAAATGTGCCTATTCATGATGTTAGAAGATAAATATTGAATACTATTTGAATTTTTGCCCTTTTAAAAGAAAGTTTACTCTTGGAACATTTTTAAGTATTTTCAGGCTAACAGTAAGAAATACATTATGCCAAAAGAAATCCAACAACCTGTTGTTTTATAATTATATATTTATTTTTTCCCTCTCTGATGATACGAGGCCATAGTTGGTGTTTCAGAATTGGTTTTTCTTGGATTGCATAATGGTTTCTTGTTGTGTGGACCAACTTGCATACAATTGCCCTGTGCTTGACTTGGCTCTACCATTTGGGCATGTACTTGTTGCCTTTGAATTGTAAGTGGCCTTGGTCTTGTTTTTGTATGTTTTCTTTTATTGCCCTCCTTTTTCCTTTCCCTCAAGATAATTAGTGTGTTTTATGAGCAATTGAAATATCTTCTTTGCTAAATCTTCTAAGATGGCTTATACTAAACACTGAGACAATGATTATTTTTTTTAATGAAACCACTAATATGAATCAGTATGTAAGACTTTGGCCACTCCCCAAAGTCCACTCAAATAAAAAAATCCTCGGAGACATATCTGTAGTTATAAACAAGGGTGCTGTTCTTAGGGAATGAGAATAGTAATCATTTTTATAAAGGATAAGAAGAGGAATACCTGGGTGGCTCAGTTACTAAGCATCTGCCTTGGGCTCAAGTCATGATCCTGGGATCCTGGGATTGAGTCCTGCATCAAGCTCCCCATAGGGAGCCTGCTTCTCCCTCTGCCTGTGTCTCTGCCTCTCCCTCTCTGTCTCTCATAAATAAATAAAATCTTTAAAAAAATAAAACCATAAGAAGAAAGCAGTTACTAATTTGCATGTGAGTCAAAGGAAATTAACTTTCTGGTTTTAAGACAGTTACATAATTACTCAGTTTAACCAGGAATTCTAGGCTTTATTTTTCTGAGGGGGAAGAAACATATAGTCATACAAATATTCTGAAGCAGAATGCACAGTTATAGAAATACATATCAACAAAAAAAGAATATGTTCAGATGGAGTCTTGCCTTTTTGTCTGAATTGGGATTTTAGTATGTGTATGACTTGACTATGTACTGAATGATAGTTTTCCGCTTAGTTTAGGATTGAATAAAAGTTGGCGGATAAAGAGATGGAACTGGCAAAATGATTCTAAAATTCATCTAGAGAGGTAAACATTAATGAAAAGTAGAAAAAGACTCACCGAACGGGATTCACTCCATCATTAAAAACCTATTTGTAGAATTCCAGCAGTTCAGACAGTGCAGTGTTTGTGCGGAGAGGTGGACAGGTCACTGGAGGAGAGCCAGCCCAGAAATCTGTCCAAGTATTTTTAAGATTTTAATCCATTGTAAGGTGACTTTTCAGATAAATGGGAGGAGAGTGACTTATTCAAATAGAGCTGGGAAGTTGGTTAGCTGCCAATCACTTGAATTAGCAGTGTAACTAAGTGACTATAATCATCACTTAAATGAAATTCTAGTTTCTTTAATATTTATGTTAAAAGAGAACCTTAAAATGTATAAAATATATTTTCTGATACTAAAGTAGAGTAGACTTCTTTAAGCTTAAATGCAAAGAAAGAAAAATTAAGGAAAAATGTTATAAACCTTAATATAAAAAGCAAATGACAAGTCTAATGGGAAACAGCAAAGTAGATGACAAATTTATTTCCCATCTACAGCGTGCTTTTACATATATTCCATTGTTCTTAGTAGAAAACTGGGAAAAGAACATAAATAGGCAATGTACAAAAGAAGAAATAGGAACAACCAGCAAACTAGGAAAAAAAAAAAATCAAGCGCACCTGTGTGGCTCAGTCAGTAAAGTATCTGCCTTCAACTCAAGTCATAATCCCGGGGGTCTTGGGATTGAGCCCTGTGTGGGGCTCCCTGCTGTCAGTGGGGGAGTCTGCTTGTTCTTCTTCCTCTGCTAGTTGCCCTGCTCATGCTCTTGTCTCAAAAAAAAAAAAAAAAAAAAACTTTATAAAAACAAAAAATTCAACCTAATTCATAATAAAAAAAAAATAGGAATTGAAACAGCAATGAGATGCCACTTTTTTTCCTACCAAGTTAAACGTCTCTGTTAATCTTGCTCTCAACAGTTGGCACCTCCTCTACAGTTGGTAGGTAAATGAAATCTTATAACCAGTTTGATTATATGTATTTAAAAACCCTAAACCAGTAATTCTACTTTTACAAATTTGTTTTGAAATAATCAGAGCTGTGTATAAATATTCATGTTCAAAGATGTTTTATATTATTTTTAATTAATTTTTATAATGACTAGAAATCACCTAAATACCTAACAGACACAGATTGGTTAGATTAATTATGCTGTTTATAAGAATGGGCTACTATGCAATCATTTAAAACTTTCACAAATATGAAATGAAAATCATGTTATGGATTTATTAAATAGAATCCCAGTTGCTTTAAATAAGTGTGCGTGTGTGTGTGTGCATGCATGTGCATGTGTGTGGGCACATGTGCATATACACATTGTGTAGGTATAGAGGAAAGACCAGAAGTACATATAACAGATTTGAGCTTGGGAATGGGATTACAGATAATAGCTATAAAAATATCTTCTATATTGTAAAAATAATTTCCAGAATTTTTATAGTGGCAATTACTGTATTTGTTACCAGGAAGAAAATAGTGGGTGTTCTTTTTAAAAAGTATATTTAAAGAAAATTAAAGAGATGGAATCCTTCTAGCTTGGCATAAAGAACTGTTTATCTTTCATTTGTTCTAATGTTCTCATTTTTCAAATGGGAAAATTGAGATGCTACAGGAAGTTAGCATACACAGATAGTAAAGGCTTCCTAGCTCCCAGCGCGTCCTTGCCAGATTCCCAGCAGCCAGATTCCATTTAGTCAGCCCAACTTAATGAAATGTTTTGTTCACAGCTCGAGCTAATCCAAGATACAGGGTTCCGTGTCATTTGCTGAATGAAATGGACGCAGCCAACATTGAACTGCAAACAAAAAGGTAATTTTAACTTACTTCTAGAGTTGGAATGGTTTTTTTCCGGAGAACAAGGATCTCATTTAGGTCTTAAGTATTCAGTCAGGAAAATTAAAAAGGAAAAAAGCCAATTAATCTATGCCAGTGTCTGTGTAGCTGCTGAATTTTTGTAGGGAGAGTATCTTACTTTGAAACCTGTGAGAGTGAATGAAACAGTGTCACATACTTGGCCATTGCTAAGTAGAGATGAAGCCTACAAAGCCTCTCGAAATCGGTGAACATGTAGAGTGTTAAGTGAATTGCATCCTGGCCCGTCAGGTGATTCCCTAGGTGCAGGGAGAGCCTGCGTGAAAGTCACCCCTTAGTAGTTAGGTAGTTGTGTAGAACCAGAACGCAGTGACTGAAGGCTCGAGGTACGTATAAGGAAGGAAGGAAAGGGTTCTGCAAATTCCCGGCCTTACTGCCAGTCCCAGCAGAAACCTCTCTCAGGTAATCACAGGCATAGTTTGTGAGAACTCGATGATCTCACGTACTCCTTTGAGGTCTCACCGTGGACCCTGAAGAACTGTATCTTTATTTGCTCTCTGACAGGGTCAGTGGGACACTGGGTTAGGGTAGTGGATGTTCTCGTGGCCTCCTTGTGGACCACCATGGCTGATTGATTATGTAGCCAGGATGTATTCAACATTTGTATCATTGGCTTCAAAGTGGGGGAAGAAAGAACAGGTACACTGAATGGCAAACCAAGAAAGGACATCAGGACACTAGAAATAGAAGAACTAGGGTAAAATATCTTAAACAGGAAAAATAACCTGCCTGAGTGGGTGCAGACCAGCAGTGGGTGTTCACAACGACAGCAGCAGCAGCCGAGGGGCTTTTGCCAGCCAACAGTAAACTTTTTTATGTGGCCATCAGAAAAGCTAGTACTGTCTTCGATCGCATTAACAGAATTGGGTCTGGAGTATCGGGGCAGGGGCAGGGCCCTCGTCCAGCCCTCCACGGGCCGGACTGCCCGCAGTGGAGTGTTGGCCACTGGCTGCAAGGTGGCCCAGCGGATGCAGAGGAGAGCCGCCAGCTCTGGGCCACTGCTGAGGATGTTCCACCTCGTAGAGTTGACTGGAGGACCACGAGATTCATTTTAAATATTTACAGAGTGTCCAGAGGGTCTAGTGGAAGTGAGAATGAAAAAGAAGTTTGTAAATCTGGCAGTTAACACAATTACAGGAAGAGGTTTCCCCCTTATTTGTAACTGTAATCTCAGGGTTGTAAGATTAATCAGAGTAGCCCTGCACGGTGTGGATTAAAATTCGTTTTCCTTGGAATTTGTGCTGGCAGAGCTGAGATTTTGCTGTTCGTTGAAAAACTAAAAAGAGTAAATTTTGGAGCATGGAAGAGAAGGACATTAATAATAATGTAGTTACTTAGGATAGAGAACTTATTTATATTGTAAATCAAGTATTTTTGGTTTGGGATGAAACTGTTATAAAAGCATAGCATTTACATATTTTTTTATGACTCTTTAAAGGGCAGAATGTGATTCTATAGACAATAATTTTGACTTGCATCTCCACCTGGGCCCTCATTATCATTTCCTCAATGGGGCTCTGCACCCAGTCGTCTCTCAAGCAGAAAGCACATGGGATTTAACCTTTGATAAAAGAAAAACTTTAGGAGATCTTCGACAATCAATATTTCAGGTAATTTAGCCTTGCTTCCTCTTAATTTAGACGTTAAGGTCCATCTCAAGCCGGAGTCTCCCTTTCAGAAATCCTATTTAGGATACAACTATTTATTTTCAAAGCACTTAAAATCCTGCATCTGCCTCTTGTCCTAAGAGTTGACCCAGATGTTCTCTTCTTACTTACACATCTTTTAGAGAGGCTTTTCTGCACAGGTGAGACCCCCACTGTCCTGCCAGCAGGCTTTCAGGGGAGACTCAAGCCTGGCATATCTTATTTTGGAGAGTATAAAAAGAGTGTAAGACTGTCTCTTTTTTGGAGAATAAAGAATAAAAGAAAATTATTTTTTGAAAGGAGTAAAAAGATAAAGATAAGCATGTTGCTGTGGCACCTAGGCGGCTAAGTAAGTGTCTGCCTTTGGCTCAGGTCATGATCTCAGGGTCCTGGGATCGAGCCCCAGTCAGGCTCCCTGCTCAGCGTGTGTACACGAGTGTGTACACGTGTGTACTGCGTGTGTACACGGGTGCTCACTCACAAATAAAATCATTTATTAAAAAAGCATGTTGCCTAAATCCAAGAGCTAAATGAACAAAAGCAACTAATATTTCTCCCTTTCCTAAGTATAGAATAGCATGTATTACTAAGATATTTCAGGGAAGGAAAATACTTTCTGTTGTGCAGCAAAAACAAGCATTATTATAAATCCTTGCCTCAGAGTAATTGATCCGAGTGTGTTTTAATGGCAGCAATGGTACTGTTCTTTTACTTCTAGTGCCTTCATATAAATTTTGTCCTTTGGTTCTTTAATCTCAGGGCAACCTAAAGGCAAGCTAGCTAATTTTAAAGGTGAAAAACTTGTGATTTAGAGAGATCTAGTGGCTTACCCACAGTCAGACTTCTGGTTGTGGTAGGACTAGGCCTCAGCCCTGTCTCCTTACTCTTTCCTTCCTTTTGATCACACTTCTTCACCTGTCACTACTTCTTCCTCTTCAAGGAAAAGGAAAAATAGAAGATGCAGGCTTTGGAGCCCTGGGTGGCTCAGTTAAGCATCCAACTCTTGATTTCAGCTCAGGTCATGATCTCAGGATCATGAGATCAAGCCCTGAGTCAGACTCCAAGCTCAACGGGGAGTCTGGTTGAGATTCTCTTTCTCTCTTTGCACGTACCCCTAGTGCATGCATGCTTGCTCATGCTCGCTCATACTCTTTCTCTCTTTTTCTCTATCTCTCTCTCTCTCAAATAAATAAATCTTAGAAAATGTAAGCTTTTGTTTTTTCAGAAATAAATTAATTTTCTGGAAAATTCATATCAAGCCCCGAAATTAATAGCTTTATTTTTCTCTTGTACAAAGAAAAGCAAGCCAGTTTCTTTTTTTTAATTTATTTTTATTTATTTATTTATTTTTTTTAGCAAGCCAGTTTCTTTTTTGACTTGAATATTTCAGTGTTTATATTAGTATCAGGATTTCTAAAATTTCCTAATGTTTCTGAATTTTTGCACTTTTAAAGTTCATTGCTGAGCAGGTCCCGCAGTGTTGGGATAGGTGGGCTTGGGGAACTGACCCTGTCTAGAGAACCTTTCAAATGGAAGAGACCTATTCATCTTTGTAAGTTTTAGATTTGCTGCAGTCTGCTTTCTGGGGTTTGAAGTGCATATCTCTATTATCTTAGAAGTGAGCCGCTAGTGGGAGGCTATAAGATTGGTGTTGCTAACAAACCACTTATAAATAGGAAATTTCTTATTAAGAGAACTATCTTGTGCTGTTACGGAGAGAAATGTAATAGGACTGACTTTATGGGGGATGTTATTCTGGTGTGATAACCAGTCCCCAGAGTCTTGGATCTAGAAATTTAAAAAACAAATCCATGGTCACATACAAACTGGTAATGCCACTTTTTGAATTTATGGCATGAAACATTCAAGTTCATGAGAATTTTGATGTGTGCTAGAGTCAATGCTGCTTTTCCCTGAAAAGTGCTAATTAAACAAATAATTTTTGCTCTTTTGGAAAAGATTTCTGGGCTGCCACGTGGATCAGTTCACCTTCTGATAAAAGTGTGATCTTTCCATAAATTAAGTACAATTGTTCTGGTGGTCATCATGTTTGTTGTGTATGCCAGCATTCTCCAGTCACTAACGGATGACATTAACCATTTTAGGATTTGGCTAATTTAGCAACAAGTGAAGTCTTCTTGCCATAGTTTGGTGTTGGGTGAGATGGGCGTACTCATTTGCCAGCTCCCTGTATCATCTAAACATATGGAAAATAGTACAGTGTTTTTCTTTCACCTGGAAATGTGACATTCATGTTACTTCTAATTGTTCTCTTTTCTTCCATTAATAATCTGTAGCTGTTAGAATTTTGGGAAGGAGATATGGTTCTTAGTGTGGCAAAACTTGTACCAGCAGGACTTCACGTTTACCAGATGCTTGATGGTAAGATAAATATTAAAACACTGCAACTCATTTCCTATATTTATATTTTATGGGGCTCATCAGTGATTTTCTGCTCTTAGCCAGTCTTTTCCCCTAACTACTACCTTTTTAACTAGGCTATCATCACATGGTCTATTTTCAAATAATTTATCTGATTTCTGTAATATGTAGACTTTGCTAACAAATATTTTATATTTTTTGAAATTAAGGCTACCTCTCCACGAAAACAATTTTTTTAAAGGCTGTAGGGGTGCTTGAGTGGCACAGTCCATTAAGCATCCTACTCTTAGTTTCAGCTCCGGTCATAATCTCAGGATTGTGAAATCAAGCCCCATGTCAGGCTTTGAGCTCAGGGAGGAATCTGCTTAAGACTCTCTCTCTCTCTCTCTCTCCCTCTCTCCTGCCCTCCTGCTCACACACACACACTCTCTCTCTCTCTCTCAAGTAAATAAATCTTTTTTGAAAATAATAAAAGTGAAGATCCCTGGGTGGCACAGCAGTTTAGCACCTGCCTTTGGCCCAGTGTGTGATCCTGGAGTCCCGGGATCGAGTCCCGCATCAGGCTCCCTGTGTGGAGCCTGCTTCTCCCTCTGCCTGTGTCTCTGCCTCTCTCTCTCTGTCTCTTTCTCTTTTTCTTTCTCTCTCTCTCTGTCTCTCATGAATACATAAAATCTTTAAAAATAATAATAATAAAAGCCTGTGGAATTTTGTTTATTTATTTATTTGTTTGTTTAACCCAACTCTCAGCTTCAGGTTTTGTAGCAAAATGAAAGTACTTGGAGAGCTTAAAAGTATTTACTACCCGTGAATAACAGCAAAACAATAATAATAGTAGCAGCTCCCATAACATTTATTTTGCACTTCACTGCACCAAGTACAGAGATAAGTTTTATATAATTATCTCATTTGATCTTCACAAAATTCTTTTACCTGATTTCCTAAACAAGAAAACTGAAGCTTGGTGATGAAGTACACAGGACAGACAGCTCATTCGTGCTGGGTCTGGGGCCACGTGCTGCCTGAGCCTGGCTCCTGCCTGCAGTGTCCAGGACAGTCAGTGCCTCCCCTGCTCTCATGCTCGTGGAGCTTATGTAACAAACACGGGGAGATGCTTACATAAGGTGGAAAAGGAAAAAAACCTAAAGAGTGTGATGAGAACAATAAAGATAAAAATAATCTTAATACCAACATAATAAATATAATTACGCCTTTTTCTTTGCCTTTTTCTTAATTTTCCTTGATGAAAATGCTTTTTCAAACAAATATTTAAGTGTCTTGGCTCTGTCTTTAGTTCAGTTGTTTTTGGTGACCATGACACCTGGTCTCACTGATGGCCTCATCTTCTAGGAGATGACCTGACGCTGTGTGAACTGGAGATTGCAGACGGGGAAGACCTCTTTGTGTGGAATGGGGTGGAGGTAAGAACGGATTGAAGAAATATTCACGATGGTTTTTGAGTTTTTTTAAGTGTCATTGTAAGAAAACTTAATTCAGCATATGGAAAGGCAGCTAGATGCTAGAAAACATCTGAAACATCTGACAAATTTTAAGTACAATCAGTGTTAGTCGTATGCAAAGGAGATGTTTATCAAGTGCATTGGCCGGGCCAGAGGCTCCATACGAAGGAACATGCAGTCCGCCCTTCAGGTGATCCAGGTGTAAGTAATCACACTAACACAGGTGCTGCAGGTAGGGTTCTGCACATGTTCCCTGAGGGAGTTCAGAAGGGGGCAGGTGGCTGCCCTGAGTCAGGGGTGTGACCTACAGGAGCAGATACAGGGTTCTCCAAGTAAGGCAAGGAGCATCTCACCCACTCTGTGGTCTGTCCTTGGTCTGTCTCATATATTCCCAAGGCTTTTTTTCTTTCTTCCTTTCCTTCCTCTCTCCGCCCTGCAAGGCTTTAATACCACTGCTCAGGACTTGTACATATCTGTCTCCATTCCACATTGCTCTCCTAGAAAATAAAAGATGGATAAAATAAGGTTTCAAAGGAAAAAGTCTCAAGTTTTGATGCATACAAGACATTTGTGAAAACTTTATTTCGCTTGAAAAGGAAAAAAATAAGAATTCTGTAAGAGTAATCTCCTACATGAATATGTTGACTTAATTTTGCCAAATAGAAACTATACTAATGGTTGTCTTACTATTATCATAGGTTGGTGGCATCCAGATTCCAACTGGTAGTGACTGTGAACCTCTGCTCTTAAATGTTCTTCATCTAGCAACAAGCAGCGAGGGGGAAAAGTGTCAGCAGTTGGTAGAATCACCACATGTCTTTCCGTCCAATGCGGAAGTGGGCGCTGTGCTCGCAGCTCTGGCGGTCCCCGTGGGTGTCCTCTTCATCAACACCACTGACCCTGCCGGGGAAGAGAACTGGGTTGCCATTCCCAAGGAGGACCTGAAGAAGACGTTCAGAGAGCAGGGCCTCAGAAACCGGAGCTCGGTTCTCGTGCAGGATTCTAGTGATGATAACAGGTACCCTGCTGAAACATAAGAGAATTCCTAGTTTAAGTTACTTTAATGATAGTTCTGTCCCTTAGAACTCTAAAGTTTTATTTTTAATAATGATAGGAGTTCAGTATTTTTCTTTGTTCCCAAACTTTGTATCCTGTATATCGTAAAGAAGAGTGTTCTGTGTTTGGCAGCTTGGAGGAAGGTGATATTATAACGTGATTTTTTTTAAATTTTTATTTATTGGTAAATGTGGTAACTAAATAATATAGGGATAGATGAGTTACAGTCTAGATTAGTTGTTTATAAAGCAGAATCCTGTCAGATGAATTCTGATTAGCACTCAATACAAAACTGTAGGTACATTCTCACAAAGAAAGTTCCTGAATCTTTTCAGGAGGAGGAGATTAGGATGTAGCTAAATATATGTTTTGTCATAAGACTCCCAAAAGGGAATTCAGGTTTTCACTGTAAGTAATCCTTTTCCGGACTCTTGGGACTCTCCTAGCTGCCCACATAGGGCAGTTACGTAGGGAATCATTCTCTTGGTTCCCGCGAGTCCCACTGGAAGCTCAGAAGTGCTGCCCATCCGCATTCGGTCATCCGCGTCTGTTATGATACATTTCTGTCGTCAGTCTCTCCTACCCTGTAACCCCTCGGTTTCCATATATTGAGGACTTGAGGTTGCAAGCCACAGACCCGTTCCCTGCTTGATCGGTGCTGTGAATATACTTAGGTTACAGAGTCTCCACGTTATCACTAATAGGGGCTGTGACACGGAGGCAGAGCACTTGAAACAGTCTTTATTTGGTATTTATCACTGTTGCTCTTCAGGACAAGTGTTTTCCAGGCACTTATTTCTGCACTTTGTTTAATTTAAAAGTTTATTATATGTCCCTTTATAAAAAGTAATACACGTGAGGCGCCTGGGTGGCTCAGTCAGTTGAGCATCCAACTCTTCCGGGTCAGGTCGTGATCTCGGGGTTGCGGGATTGAGCTCCATATCGGCTCCACGCTCGCAGTGTAGCCTACTTAAGATTCTCTCCCTCTGCCTCTGCTCCTCCCTGTCAAAACTTAAATATAAAAACAAAGTAGTATAACACGTATTAGGACTTGGGAAATACAGAAATGAAGACAGGAGGCCCAAAACAGTGTCCCTGTCATACCTGGGCAGTGGCAGTCACTGTTAGCTTTCCTGTTGCCCTGAGCTCAAATAATGGGCTTTTTGTTTTGAAGGTTTTTTTTCCTTTTTCAATTTAATAATGATTATTTCATGGACAGTTATATCCTGCTCCCCACCACGCCCCCGTCTCTGTAGACATTTCATAAACCTCGTGGTGTGGCTCTGTCGCAATCTCTGTTGCTGTAGTTTACCTAAACCGTGTTCCCGGGCTAGGCAGTCTGTGCAGGGGTGAGGACGAGGACCCGACCCAGCCCCCCGTGCTTGTTTACAGCTTTATCACTTCCTGACAAAGTGACTGTGTGCAGGTCACCTCATCATCCTCCACTCAGTTTCTTCAGCAAAATGAGGATAAAAATTAGCAGCAGCTTCCTAGAACCGTAGGGTTCAGGAGTTCAGTGCTTATAGCATGTCTGAACGTGGTAAAAGGTAGTGGTGTCATCACTGTCCTCATCCAGTCGTTCACCATTTCAGGATAGTCTTCAGGGAACATCTTTGTGCTTAAAATTTTGCTATGTTTAGGATTGCTGACTTAAGGGGTACTCCCAGGGTGGAAGAGCTGAAATAAAGAGTAGAATTGTGTTTGGGGCTCTGAGACACAGGCCCGAGAGGACTTCTGCCCCCCTTACAGGGTCTCTGTGTGAATTAGGAAGTCTCTCCTTCTTCAAGACCCTTTGCTACTATGTGTAGGAAAATTTTGTTAGAACAAGACACCCTACTTGTTCTCTTAGGCCATCTGCTGTCGTAAAATAACACTGTAATAAAAATACACAACATGTTTGATGGAAATGATACCCCTTATATGTGGCACTTTTAAGCAGTGTCTGTCTACACAACTGTGCATGGCTGTCCTGTTATTAAACTGAATTTAAATCCTGTGGTTGGACTTCTGGCATCAATACTCTAAAAGCTCGCCCAGTAATTCCAGTGTGCAGGCGAAAAGTCCAATACAACACTTCTCTTTGAAAAGTGTGGCAACACAAAAAACAAAAAAAGTAAAAAAAAAAAAAAAAAAAAGTGACAACAAATTATTTGTATAAGTCAAAGAATACTTGGAGTCCTAAATATAGACTCCATGCACAACGGCCTAAAACTGCCCTAAAAAGATAGCTTTCTTAAAACCAACTCAGGAGACCTTGGTCACCTTTCATTAGTCACATCAAAGGACACGTACAGGATTTTGGAAGTGGTGCCTAAGGAAAAGTGTTAATTTTCTGATCCCTTCTGAAAATCCATAGAAGCACTGTGTAAAGACATGTTTTTAAAATGTCTTTATTCCTACAGTCTGTTGCTCAAACAAGGGAAATGGTTCACTGGTATGAAGGAGGTCAACTGGCTCCAAGTTCAAAATTTATGCAAATTAGGATCCGATGAGAAGCAAGTTAAAATATCAGCAACTGTGAACACAGTGAGTAGATCATAGTTTTAAGTGTGGTGGACAGTTTTCCAGTTTACCAGAGTTTGATTTAGAAAGCAGTTCCTGAAATCTTCCAGAACGCTTGTCTCAGTGGGCTTCTAGATCTTAAGAAATCCACTTCTTGGGTCGCCTGGACTGGCTCAATCCATAGAGCATGTGATCTCAAGGTCATGGGTTCAAGCCCCACATGGGGTGTAGAGCTTATTTTTTATGGGGGAGGGAATCATTTTATTGTTAATATTTGGTTACTGCTTGTTTACCTGGATTAGCCCTCAGTGTATTTTAAGAAAATATATGCCTTTTTTCTACCCAAAGCCTACAATTAGAATGTAGGGTTTGCCTATTGAATTAGTTAATGGGATCCGCTAGCTTTGATAAATATAAAATACTATTTTCCCACAATATTTTCTCTTTTTTTTTTAATTTTTTTTTATTTAATTTATTTATTTATGATAGTCCTACAGAGAGAGAGAGAGAGGCAGAGACACAGGCAGAGGGAGAAGCAGGCTCCATGCACCGGGAGCCCGATATGGGATTCGATCCCGGGTCTCCAGGATCGCGCCCTGGGCCAAAGGCAGGCGCCAAACCGCTGCGCCACCCAGGGATCCCTATTTTCTCTATTTTTTTAAACCAGGCATATATGTTTTGTTTTTGTGTTGTTTTTTGGTGGTGGGTTTTTTTTTTTTTTAAAGCTTATCTTAAATTGCTCTACATGGTACTCTGTTCTATATAAAGCCAACTGCTCTTAAAGGGAGTCCTTCAGTTCTCCACTTGAAGACTATGACCCTGGTCTCCTTAAACATCATTCTGGGAAACATCTTTTCATATTTATGTAGTCTCAATTCATTAAGGTTTTTTTTTTTCTATAACATCAAAAGAAACCTGTTAAAATGTTTTCTATCAATATTATAATCTCCTAAGGTGCATGAGTATTTGTTTGTACAATAGAGGGCACAGTATTAAGCCAGTGCTCTGGAGCTCAGGCAACTTGCCACCCTGACCCTAAGTGGGAGGCTCTGGTGAAGTCCTGGTTACTTCAGTCCTGTGTAGGACACTGCTGGGAGGGTCCAATCTGTGGTCGCTGACATTACCTTTACCCCCAAATTTCCACAGTTTTACAGCCTAGAGGCAGTCTAAACTAAAAAGAAAGAAAACAGTCTAAAAAGTGATTTAAACAAAAATTTTAAATAGTGCCCTTGGATTAGTGTTGTACATTTTTGTATTTTTTTAAATCCTCATTGGCCCTAAATTCATCATTCTTAACATAAAGAAATAGGATTAACTGCATCTTCTCTTGTTTGCTCTCATTAGAAATGTTAGTGTGGGTTTTCAGCTTTTTGCCTCTGTAGCTAGAACTGTTTCTTCAGCTTTGTGTCTTTCTGTCCTAGTTACCATCAGTTTGGTAAAGCCTTAGCTATTAAGATCCCAGTTTTTGTTGTTAACTGAGTAGAAGGTAGAAAATGAATGTCAGAGGTGGAAAAAAAATATTTTTTTCAAGTAGGCAGAAACTCTATCCAGTAGTTGGTAAGTCAGCTGAGCTGTGGATGCGCCCACTGATGACCCTCGTGTTCCTCCTCTCCCATTGTTCTCGCACACACAGAGTCACAAATTTATTTCTCTGTTTTAGGTGGTGTTTGATATTCGAATTAAAGCCATAAAGGAATTAAAATTAATGAAGGAACTAGGTAATCATTTATGTTTGCTCTCGTTTTTTTTTGTTTGTTTTGTTTTTTTGTTTTTTTGTTTAATTCAGTTGTGTTTTGATTTTTGGTTAAAAAATATATATATGGGAGTACAAAAAATATTCGGGAAAATTCATGCACTCTGCCACCCAAAATGGACAAATGTTAACATTTTGTCATGTTTTTATTGTTTAAAGCATTGCGAATGAAGTTAAATTTCTCTACATTCTCCTCCTCAGACCTAGTCTCCCTCCCCAGATGCAACCAGTAGATCTGATTTGGGTGTGTATCTACTGTATGTGTTCATGTTGTTCCATTCACATTATGCTTCCATATATAGGTGTATGTCTCTATTGTATTTTCACATTTAAATCTGTCATACTGAGTATAACGTTCTGAAACTCGCTTTTCACTCAGCACTAGGTTTTCTTTAACAGCTCTATTGAGATATAATTTACCCACTCTCCATCCACACAGTCCAGTTTTAGAATATTCCGTTGCTCCAAAAAGATTCCTCATGCCCCTGTTGCATTCCCAGCCCCACCAGCCACTCATCTACTTTCTCTGTCTCTAGACTGACTTTTCTGGACATTTTAAGTAAATGGAACCTTATAGTATATACTCCCTTGCATCTAACTTCTTTCACTTAACATACTGTTTTTGAGGTTCATCCATGATTTAGGGTGTGTCAGGAATGTGTTCCTTCTTATTGCTGACTAGTATTCCATTGTATGGATGAATCACATTTTATTTCCCCACGACTTGATAGACATTTGGATTGTTTCTGCTTTGGGGATTTTATGAATAACGCTGCTATACACATTTGCATGTTAGTCTGTGTGTGGACATGTTTTCAGTTCTCTCAGATAGTTATGCAGGATTGTAATTGCTGGCTTGTATGGCAGGTTTGCATTTAACTTTATAAGAAACTGCCGTTCTACTTTCCAAAGTGGTTTGGCTGAATCATTTACGTCCCCACTGGCAGTGTGCGGGCAGTGTGCTTTCTCCACTGCCAGTATTTGTATCTGTCTTCTTGACTATAGCCAAGGTAGTGGGTATGAGTGACTATCATTGGGTGTTTGATTGGCTTTCAAAAGCAGTGGTAGTGACCACTGTTGATGTGCCTACTGTCTATATATCTAAAGGATTCTATTAAAAAGCTACCAGAACTAGTGAGTTTAATAAGTCAAAATCAATACACAAAAATCCATTGTATGTTTACTAACAATAAAAAAAAATGGGAAATGAAATTAGAACATTTATAATAGCATAAGATACGAAATACTTGGGGATAAATTTAATGAAGTATGTGCAAGATTTATGCACTGACAACAAGAAAATAACCCTGTGAAAAGACAGAGAACATGTATGAATTTTTTTTTTTAAGATTTTATTTATTTATTCATGACAGACACAGAAAGAGAGAGAGATTGAGAGAGGCAGAGACACAGGCAGAGGGAGAAGCAAGCTCCATGCAGGGAGCCTGACCTGGGACTCGATCCCGGGACTCCAAGATCACACCCTGGGCTGAAGGCGGCGGTAAACCTCTGGGCCACCGGGGCTGCCCGAGAACATGTAAATAAGGGGAATAATGCACCATGTTCTTGGATTGGAAAACATGACATTGGTAAAGAGTGGATTCCCCCAAAATCAATTTGTAACTCAGTGCATCATCCTCACTCAGAATCCTAGCACTGTGTGTGCGTGTGTCTGTGTGAAAGAGAGAAATTGATGAGGTGATTCACTCTACACAGAAATGCAAAGAACCTACAGTATCCCACCAGTCTGAGGGGAGAGGGAACAAAGTTGGAAGAGTTACACTACCTGATTTCAAGACTTACTCTAAAGTTTTAGGCGTCAAGACGCTAGGTCCTGGGACAGGAGCTGATGTAAAGCAGGGGTCAGCAAGCTGTCTGGGCCTATGGGGAGGACACTTTACAAAAAGAACACCTACCTTCAGCATTTACCTGTGGAAGACCAACAAGTTCAGGGAAAGATGCTTAGTGTCATTAACTATCAAACTGAATCCATGATGATATACCACTACACACCAGTGGAATGGTTAAAATTGAAGGACCAGCGAAACCAGTGTTAGTGAAGATGTGGAGCAGTTCCACATGTTGGTAGTAGGAGTGCAAAATGGTAGTCACTTTGGTAAAGGGTTAGCTTATTTCTTATGAATTTAAACATTCACTTAGCAATCCGAGGTGCTTACCCAAGAAAAACTAAACTATATTCTTACAAATACTGTATGTAAATGTTCATAATGAAAAAGTGGATACAATCCAAAAGTCCATGAGTCCACAAATGGGTGAACAGATTGTGTTGTATCCTTACAACAGGATGCTGTTCATCAACACAAGCTGCGAACTTCCACCACTTGCAAAACCCAGATGACTCTCAAGTGTGTGCAAAGCAGAAGAAGCTGGACACAAACGAGTACATACTCTTATGACTCCACTGGCATGAGATTTTCAAAACAGAACACCTGTGCTTTAGTTACAGGGGCAGAAAATTGGACTGGGGGGAGGTTGACTCCAGAGTGACATGAAGGAGTTTTTGGGGGTGATGCGAATCCTATCTCGGTTTGCTGGCTTTTGCTCAGTGTTTAGATCAGACTCCATATACTTAAGCGGGATGGGTTTTATTGTAACTTACACCTCAAATTGATTGAAAGCGTATAGATTATCAGAATGAACAGTTCATCATCTTCCTGTGAAACAGCCTCCCTTTCACTCTTGCCATCCTCCAAACCATTCTTAAGGCAAGTGATCTTCTTCCAGCTTAAATGGATGCGAATCAGATCAGTGTCCTCGCACGCTGGCTCCTTCCTCACCCCAGCCTTCAAGGTCTGGCCTCATCTGACCACAGCCTTGCCACCTCCATGTGGTCCCCTCTCCTGCTTATTCACAACACACTTCCCACACTGGCTTTCAGAGGTTCTAGTGCACCAGCTCTCCCACCACACCCCTCCATGCCCAACTTCTCAGGGCTGTCATCTCCCTAAACTCTGTCCCCTTCCCTCCTCTCTGCTAACTTCAGTCACTCAGTTGTCTGAGCTAAAATGTTACTTGCCATCATCCCTAAGCACTCAATCTCAGCTAACATCTGTTTTATTCTCCCAAAAACCTGTACTTTTCCTTCATCGTGCTTGCACCTAACTCCCCATGCTTCACGTGGGGAAGAAACACTTCCTCCATCAAACAAGGCTGTTTCAGGGCAGAGTCTGTGGCTGTTCTGCTTACTGCTGTGCTGTCCGCTTCTAGTGCAGTGCCTGGCACATAGAAGATACACAGTTTGTGAACTGAAAGGATACTTTAAGGAGGCATTATTTAAAATGCCTTTTTTTTTTTTTTTTTTTAATTTTTTTTTTTATTAATTTTTTATTTATTTATGATAGTCACACAGAGAGAGAGAGAGAGAGGCAGAGACACAGGCAGAGGGAGAAGCAGGCTCCATGCACCGGGAGCCCGACGTGGGATTCGATCCCGGGTCTCCAGGATCGCGCCCTGGGCCAAAGGCAGGCGCCAAACTGCTGCGCCACCCAGGGATCCCTGCCTTTTTTTTTTTTAATTGAAGAACTCTTCATAAACTGTTTCAGTGGTCAAGATATGTGTATTGGAATGGTTTGCTAGCTTCACAGGACTGCAGTGTAACATGTAGAACTCCAGAATCTCAGAGATTTGCTGTGGTCTGATAGAGTGCAGACCCAGAAGGGCCATGCCATTCTTGTCCTCCTAGAAGGCTTCACCCCTCGCCCAAACCCTCACTCATACCTGCCTTTGTAAGGATTCCATTTTGACTCAAAACCTGGCATGCTCCTTCCTACAAAGCAGGAAGGAATCTTCGTATCTGCAAAAATGGGGCCCATGGGCCCCCATCCATTTAATAAGCATAAAAATCACCTAACATATTTTACATATAGGCAGTCTGCACGAAATTTCAGTTACATGACGCCGGCCACCCAACAACGTGGTTCCAATGTCCTCTATACAGGATGTGAACTGAGCAGTTGCATAAAATACAAACTATGCTACTATTTCCTCGTTCCACAAATCACTACTTACAGATAGCAGATGTGCATCAGGGTGAGTGCAGATTACCTCACCCTAAAGTGTTGTAACCATTTCTGTCTGTCGTCCCCTTACTCCCATGGTAAGCCCACGTGACCTTTTGCAATAATGGTTCAGGTTCATCAAATGGTTTCACAAAGATAAGGTGCAGCAGAGAAAGCACATGGAGGGATAGGAAAAACAGCTGATCATGGGAATGTTGACACTGCTGTCACTTGAAAGACTAGACATGCAGCCAGGGAACATTTAACGAACGTGAGGAAAGTGGTTGCGACACAAAGAATGATGATATCCCAGAGGAGGTGATGCTGGCAAAAACCCTCACGTTAAAGGAGCTCCTGGAGGTCCTTTGTGAGGTTAGAAGCACAAAATAGGAAATTTTGGAAGTAGATCCAACTTAGTGATGGTTTGCTCAGGGATAGGAAAGATGCTCATTCCATATTGTAAGCTCTCCAACAAGAAGCGAGCTCTGTGTAACCTAATCTTGATTTTTACCAAAAAAAAAAATTCAGTGTTCCTTGTGTTCTAAATTACAGTGTAAATATTGATTTTACTGTTTTGTGAATTTCACTCTACCTGTATAACCGACAGAGATTTAAATGTTTTAAATGTTTGAACAACAGTGTCGAGAGGTGTTGAGACACTGTGGTGTCCTCACGGTGACTAAGCCCGCCTCGGTGGTGTGGGTGTGGCAGGGCTTCACGCGGCCCCGCACTCCTCTGACAACTGAGGGCTGCCTGTACTTGGGGTTTTTGTTTTTGTTTTTGTTTTATTGATGGGGATTTTTTGTTTTGTAGCTCATTGTAGCTTTCTGCAAATAACACGGGAGAGCATCTCTCTAGTTTTTTTGGTGCACTAACCAGCTTCTTTTTCTTTGTAGCTGAGAACAGCTGTTTGAGGCCTATTGATAGAAATGGGAAGCTGCTTTGTCCAGGTAAATCTTCACAGTAGCTTTCAAAAACTGACACACTCACGCCATCTATCTTTCTTATTAACGCTTTTGCTTTAAATGATGGCTTCAGTACCTAATATCCTCAAATTACCTTTTGCAAACTAATTTTATTGTCACAGTGCTGTCTTCACGTATTACCAGAAATTCAAATACTTCTGTTTTCTGAAGGAAAGCACTGGTCTTTCTGATGAGCTGATCCTCATTTTTGGCAATTTTTTTAAAAATTTTATTTATTTATTATTCATGAGAGACACAGAGGCAGAGGGAGAAGCAGGCTCCACACAGGGAACCCAATGTGGGACTCGATCCCGGGTCTCCAGGATCGCACCCTGGGCTGAAGGCGGTACTAAACCGCTGAGCCACGTGGCCTGCCCTAGCAATTGTTTTTGATCGAGTAGTATCTTTTTAGATTCATTGTCAAAGCATTTGTATTGCTCATGTTATTGCGATAACAGTTGTGGGACAGTCTTTGTTCTTACCTTTGTAACACATCCTGTCATTAGACTTCATTAACTAATGGTCATCACAGCAGCTTTGAATGTGGAAGAGGCTCATCCATCATTCATAAATCAATTTGGAGTATCTAGCTTTTGATCTATGTAAACAGCAGCTCTGTGATTTTTACTAAGTATGAATCCAGAACATTTGTAGCTGCCTCTATTTCTTAGCATTGTTGTACAGCTAAGAATATATTTTAGAGTGTAGAAATTGAAAATTAAACATAACTGTAATATAGGTCATCTTTTTGCATGGAATGCACCTCATATTTTTTTCTTTCTTGATATTCTTGATTTTCAAAGAAAGGCTGATTCCAATATGCCCAGGGAGGTAGGAATTAATAACATTCATCATGTTATCCCATGTTCTTTGTAGTGCCAGACAGTTACACCTTGAAGGAAGCAGAACTGAAGATGGGGAGTTCACTGGGACTATGTCCTGGGAAAGCACCAACTTCCTCCCAGGTAATATGGGGTCACCTGCTGGAACAAAATCAACCTCCCCAGAATTAGAGGTTCTTAACTACTGCACCGATAATCATTTTTCTTAGAAGTTTTTTTCTCAAACAATAACTTTCATGTTAGGCATACAAAGACCCATCTGGTTCTTTGTGTTTAAATAAAAAATATTAATGTCAGAGGATATTCATAAAGTTCTTTGTGAAAATTTTGTGGCTAAGGGGGACCTTTAAAGTTGAGTGGCCACCTGTTTGAACCACCATGTTTCATAAATTCTAAAAAGCACCCTTTTCTCCACATTTTGCCATCTATGAGGTTAGGATCCACCTTACGATCTGTGGCATCTGTGATTGCAGCTGGCAGCGTTTTTCTTTCTTAGCACAGAAAGTGATGAGGAACAACCAGTGATCTCTTAGGTTTAATGAAATAGAGCGTATTGATTTTGGACTGAATCACTCTCTGCGGTAATATAATCGTCTCATAGCAGCTTTGTTTTTAATCAGTACTCATATTCTATCTGAAGTATGAGATCGACCTCTGCCAGGAACCCTACCTATTTAATAAACTTTCATTACAGTCCAAGAGTCACCATGTCCTTATCGGTAAAACTTTGTATCACAGGAAGCTGGACTACTGGCAGGGTCCCTGTGGTTCCTGGATCCACTTCATTAGTTTCCCAAATACCTCCTCTTTAATTTGTTCTTCCCCTGAACTTGAAAACGTAGGAGTGCATGACAGTGTGGTAGGAGGAAAATGCGACAGGTGAGATTGAGTTAGAAAGGAAAAGGAGGGCTGTAAGGAGCTGAACTGACAAGTGATCAGATTCCCTGTACAGAAAATAAGATCACAACCAAGTGACACAGAGAAAAAAAACCCAGTTTATGCTTACAGCGTGTAGCACATTGCTTTGAGGAATGACCAAGAAAGAAATGAAGATCATAGTGGAATAAATAATATCTGTGAGAGAAAAACAATGACGTCACACCTGTGGGAATAAAAACACTGGCATGAAGCATCTTACACTTCTGGGTAGTTGAGATTATTGCTCGAATTGCAACAGTAAATTACCCAGCGTCCTTGTTTTTATATGATATGAGATTTTTATTAAAATTTCATGGACCACTGGCTTTTCTTTTTTGGAAGCAGGTAATACATTTGTAAAATTTTAAAATGTAGATTAAATTGCATTCATTTATCTGTTGAATTATTATTCATTTATCTGTTTAGCTGTTCCTGTTTTTCACTGTGGGGAGTGATGTTCAGCCCGGTACAGAGATGGAGATCATAGTAGAAGAAACGATGTCTGTGAGAGATGTAAGTAATTTTACTTTTTCTGGTGTGGGGAGAGGTCTGTGGGCATTTGGCATGGGGAACCATGGTAACCCACGTTCAGATTTTGAGTCTTAAAGCTAGTGTTCACATAATATACTTTAAAGAATTCTGTACATTCACTAAAAGAGTAGTTTGGGGGATCCCTGGGTGGCGCAGCGGTTTGGCGCCTGTCTTTGGCCCAGGGCGCGATCCTGGAGACCCGGGATCGAATCCCATATCGGGCTCCCGGTGCATGGAGCCTGCTTCTCCCTCTGCCTGTGTCTCTGCCTCTCTCTCTCTCTCTCTCTGTGACTATCATAAATAAATAAATTAAAAAAAAAAAGTAGTTTGGGAAACTTGAAAATTGGTGAACCAACCCAAATTTTTAAAATGAGATTATTGTCTTTTTCTTTTCTGATTATCAGTCATACTTGTTTATTATAGGAATTTGGGCTATGTAGAAATGGATTAAGACAAAATTTAAACCCCTCATTATCCTTTATCCCATTGTTATTAACATTCCAGCATATCTCCTACTGGTGTTTTTAGTTTGTATACATACATAATCACACACATGGGCATGAGTGTGTGTGTGTGTGGTAACAATTATGTTACTAGTGTCACTGAGAACTAGGACTTCAAGAGAGACACATAACATGGGTGTAGTTGAGTAGAGCCTGTACTCCTGAATTTGAATCAGAAGAGGCAGAATGAACTTGGTGTTTGTTTTTAAAAATTTTTTTCTAGCTATGTCCCCTGAAACAGGCATAGTGACCAACCCGGTGGGAGTGAGCACCCCAGCACCCAGATTGTGGTTGCTAAATACCATTTCCTATTAGGAGGAATCAGGGCTTCTTGGAGTAGCGGCTGGTTCCGTATCCAGGTCAGGAACATGTCAGGTGAGCCTGGAGCATCTTGTCCTGACAGAAGCAGTAAAGCCAGCAGAGATCTGGGATCTGCAGAGAAACTCAGGAGCCAACTTAAGAGGCTCCTGCTGGTCACAGATGAGATAGTTTGAACCTTTGTAGGAAGAGTAATAAAACTGACTAGTAAGCATGCATACTTAAAATCCATGAGTTCGTAAGTGATCCTAAAAAGACATCTTCCTTGTTAATGCAGAGTGGATCCTAGGGAACCTTCATGAGGAGAAGGGTCGATCATTTATCGTGTTTTTCTTTTGGAAAGTATACCACAGGGTAAACAAATAGATAATGAGGGGTTTTTTTATAGACATATCTCAGCTAATAAATAACATGAAGAAAGAATTTTAGATTATCACAGTTTTTTCACTCCTAATGAATTAATGGGTCTAAACAATTAACCTGAAAGACCACGAACAACCCAAGAAGAGTAACACTGAGACATTATAGAAGTTCAAAATGCTTTTCTTGGCCATAAAACAAACAAACCCGGAAGTGGACCTGAGCTTCTAGATCTGTACTCTCTGAGAAGTACAGGAGAGCGGGATGCGTTACCGCAGCAGGGGACCACCATCCACGCAGAAGGGACTTAGGAGGAGCAGGTACAGCATGTGTACTTTATCTGGCTCTTGACACAAACCAGGAAAACTTTAGTAACAGTGTAAGAAAACTAAGGGAATGTGGGGGCGCCCGGCTGGCTCAGTGGGTGGAGCTTGCAACTCTTGATCTCAGGGTTGAGTTCAAGCCCCTACGTTTGGGCATAAAGATTACTTAAAAAAAAAAAAGGTGAATGTGGATACCAACTGGGCATTTGTTATTAAGGAGTTCTTAAGTTTTTCAGATGTCGTAATTGTTTTAAGCTTATGTTTTTTAAAAGAATTTTTATTTTTTTGAAATGAATACTAAATATTAATAAGTAACATGTTAGCTGACACTCTTGCATCAAAGACCCTGGGAGGCGAGACAGGAGGTCGGTGGGAGTGCTGACGGGCAGGATGGGTCACAGCAGTCACTGAGATCGATCAGGTGATGGTACCGGACAGTTCACGTGTACCACCCTCTGCATGGTCCGAAACTGGCCATGACAAAACATTTTTAAAATGATTTTTTTTAGTTTTAATTTTTTTTTTTAACTTTCTGTTACCTGATGTAAATATTTTCCTAGCTTTTCACTTGGCTTTGAGCTTTCTGGTGCTCTTCAATTTCAAAGAAAGGAGGGCGCAGAACTTAGCAGAGGAGCGGCATGTCTGGCTGCCGTTCTGCTTCTCTCTCAAACCCACAGCAGGCAGACTCGCTCTGCTCCACGTTGCTGTGTCCGGTGAGCGGTTCCCGGTTGTCCTCTTCCCACCCTCCGTGGCATCCGACGCAATCGATGCCTCTCTGTGCCTTAAAATGCTTTGGTCACTCGCCTCAGGAAGACCACGGCTCTTCCCAGTGTCCTCTTCCCTCACAGGCCCGGCCCTCCGCAATTTGCTCTGTGCTCTCCTCTCTCCCTTGTGAGCACCCCAGGGCTCCCTTCTTAGACGGGACCTCGCCCCGGCCTTCTGTGCTTGCGTGTCCAGCTGCCACCCGGTTGTCTGATACCCCCCCCCCCCCCCCCCCCCGTGTACCCTCTTCCTCCCTCGCACGCACCTCTCATTTCCCTCTTCGTCAGTCCGTCGTGGAAGCGCTATGTTCCTGCTTGCTCGGACCAGGACACCTTAGGGTCATCCTTGATTGTTTTCTGTGTCTCATATCAGGTTTTCAGAAAATCCTTTTGGTTCTACCATCAAGGTCCATGTAGGATCTGCCCACAGCTCATTCTCGCTGCTGCTTCACCCTGGTCACCTCTCATCTGGATTATTCCAGCAGCTTCCCAACTGATCTTTTTCTTTCCAGCCTGGCATTTCCCAGGGTCTATTCTTACAGAGACGTCGAGTGGTCCTTTCCCTGCTCTCACAGCCCTGCCCTGCTTCGCCGTCTCTGAGCCCCAGCCAGAGGGCCCGAGTCCGAGAGCTCACTCCACTGGGCCCCCGTGGCCTCCATGCACTTCCTCCCTAGAACACAGCTGAGGTGAATGCCCAACTGTTCGTTTTTCTTAAATCATAGAAGTTGTCTATGGTTGCAGCCTTTCTCCCTTTCCCTGTGTTTTAATATTTTGTACTCATTGCCATCCTTTCCTAAAGGATCTTTAGGTATATTTTAAAGTCTTTTTTTATTTTTAATCATGCAACTATGGACTTATTTTTTAAACTCCAGGGAAGGGGTGTAGCTAAAAATCCTCCTTGGTCACCAGCCTACCCTAGTCTCTCAGCCAGATTGGGGTGGCGTGACCTGACCACACCTGTGAGTGTGTGTCCTTCCAGAGCTTTCATGAGGGGGATGTGTCTATGGGTACAAATGAGGAGCTTGCCTCATTCGTATGGGATCACACTGCATGTATTATACTAGAACTTTGTTTCACCTCAAATATTTGAAAGATCCTTTAAGATTAGTATGTAATCTATTATCCTTTAATTGTTTTAAGACTGTTCATAGTTAAGCTCCCCTGCTAATGGATATTCTGATCCTTTGTTCTTTTTCTTCTTCCAAGCAGTACAGTAGTGCTCTTCCCTACTCTTGTTTCCTTCTGGGCTAGTGTAGTAATTCAAGTTTTATTTACTCTTTTGCCATAGATTTATAGGTAGGCAAAAGAATAGGTCTTCCCCTCAGGAAGTTGGGAGTTTCTGATTTTTATTATTGTTATTTAAGTTTCTGTTAATCGTGTCTCACTTGTTGCACTGTGCCATGGGGTTGCTGTCTGCACAGATCTTTCCTCGGGTGTTTATACATGACCAGTTGTATCTCTTGGCTGCTACATATAGGCTAATCCCTTTTATAGGATTTAGAGTGTAATGTGTATCTCTGAAATCAGCCTAATCAGTCCTATCCAGTCAGAACTACACTGTTGGCCCTGACAAGCAGAAAGTCATGCTGCAGACTTGGAAGTGGATGAGCCAAGTCTAAGTCTCGGATGCAAACACCAGAAACTTCTTTTCCCCCCTCCTGGGTTGGCCCCACCCACCTCTTGGGAGGCAGAGCTTCTTTAAATCATTTTCTTAATTGGGTCCATTTTTATCACTTCAGGAATTATTAAACATAATAAGACAAATAGGTCCAGAGTCCAAAAGGGGCGTCTGTCCCAATACTGTGACTCAGAAGCGGAGAACTAATGAACTAACGAACGTGGTCTTTCTTTCTTTTCTTTCTTTTCTTTCTTTCCTTCTTTCCTTCCTTCCTTCTTTCTTTTTCTTTTCAACAGTGTTTACAGCTCATGCTGGGGAAGTCTGGCCTACCGGGTAAGTTACAGACCATGACGATGCCATCTTACCTCTGACCTTACAATAAAGCATCTGTAAACCTAAGGAAAGCTCTTCAAATGTTTTTTCCTCCAGGTCTGTCAGTTACGCCTCTCACTTCTGCACGTACATAGGGAATTCTCTTGGTTCTTTACCAGCTAACAGCTAGTTATGGGTTAGCTGCTGTGAGTACAGAGAACCTAGACAGAGTCCAGCACGGGCACAGAAAGGGCAGTGCTAAGACATATGGCCTCCCAAACTACACAGGCCCTGTGCGGATTTTTTTCTTTTAAACCTCATTGAGAATTTCAGCGCTTTGTGTTTTGTGCCAGTATTTTTGTGGTGTACATTAGGGAATGTAATATGGCCAGAAAAAAAATCCAAGTTATCTTAGAAGTAGCTCCCCGGGTGGGATCAGGTGAGTGGGCCCCCAGGGGTGTCATGCCGCTCTCATTAGAGGCATTGGCTGTCCTCAGACTTCGCTGAGGTGGAACCTGTGGCTCCATTAGCCAGAAGGGAGGTTAGAGGCCTGGCAGGCAGGGCTTTTCTAGGAGCTGACAGGCCTCCTGTGCAGGGGTCAGCACCCATCCCCATCTCATGGATGACGAAGACAGGCTGAGGATGGTTACGGGTTTACCCAGAGTCCTACAGCGAGTAGCTAAGTCTCTCGTTTCAGAACCCGCCTTTTTCCTTCCACGCTGTGCTTTGAAGGAATGGTGTTCACGTCTGACTTATTGGTGGGGTTTGGTGGTTTTGTGTTTTTGTTTTTTTTAATACGCTTAGAGGGGCGCATGTTTGGCTCAGTCAATTAAGTGTCTGCCCTGGGCTCAGGTCATGATCTTGGGGTCCTGGGATCGAGTGCCAAGTCAGGCCTCCTGCTCAGCGGAGAGTCTGCTTCTCCCTCTGCCCCTCCCCCCCGATTTGTGTTCTCTCTCTCTCTCAAATCAATCAATCTTTTAAAAACACACTCTTAGATTAAGTTAAATATTAATACAGTTCTTAATGTACTTAAAACTAGAACTAATGGCAAGAGAGAGTCTACAAAGAACAGTATTCTAAAGGCTCAAAACCTGTGGCCTGTGCAGGTTCAGTATTAGAACTGTGTTTACTCCTTCGGCTGTAGCTTCTCTTTGTGGGTGGGGTGGCTGTTTTATAAGACATTGCTTTTTTTTTTTTTTTTTTTTTTTTTTTTACTTTTTTTAATAACCAGAATTCCCAACTTTCACTCTGTTCAGCTTCCCTCTCTTCAAAAAACTTCCCATTTCATCAGTAAAGCAAGCAAATTGAGAGAAATCTAATCAAAGACTATTTAACATTCATAAATGTTCATTTATACCAAATTCATTAAAATGCTATTTCAAAAACACTGTTTTTTGTTAGATTAACTGATAATTGGATAGGAACAGTTTAGTTGTACATGTTATCAGTTGCTAAGAGATATTAGCATATACTTTCAACTAAGACCATGAGATAAAACAACTTCATGATGATTTTATTTTTTTTAAAGATTTTAGTTATTCATGAGAGACACAGAGAAAGAGAGAGAGGCAGAGACACAGGCAGAGGGAGAAGCGGGCTCCACGCAGGTCCTGGGACTCCAAGATCATGCCCTGGGCGGAGGCAGATGCTAAAGTGCTGAGCCACCTGGGCTGCCCTCATAATGATTTTAGAAGGGGTTTTATACCTATATGTACAAATATCTGTACTCCTGTGGGATGTGTGTGCACATGTAAATAATAAAGGTAGAACATAAATATTGTGTAATAGCAAGTGTTATTTGTTTGCAGGTGTGCAGATCTTGGTGGACTAGAGGGGAAATTAACCACATTGGAGGAACCATTTCATTTTTTTTTCATGCTTGGAAGAGAGAATTTACTTTAAAAATTAGTTAAAAGTTATTTGATCAAATCCCACTTGATATTTGTTCATCCAAAAGGGTCATTACTGACCAACTCTTTAATACATTCTTAATTTTTTTTCATCCTGATTTTAATTCCTTCACAGGAGACAGGTGGCATTTACGAAAAATGGATTGGTGTTATGAAGCTGGAGAGCCTTTATGTGAAGAGGTAAGATTACTTTTATACATTCTGTTCTTAGAAATGATTGTGTTTATTTTGTGTCTCATATGGGATACCCACCCCACTTGTGAATAAATTCTAGAGAAAACTTTAATGTTTTTTAGGATACAAAAATCTGTGCATGGTCTACTTCCACTTCCTTACTGTACGTCTTTGAAAAAGTCAGAGGGAAAGTCTCTGCCTGGTGGGAACGTTTCTAACATCTGTGTTAAGTCTTCTTGACTTATGGGGCACCTGGGTGGCTCAGCGGTTGAGCATCTGCCTTCAGCCCAGGGTGTGATCCCGGGGTCCCGGGATCGAGTCCCACATCGGGCTCCCTGTATGGAGCCTGCTTCTCCCTCTGCCTGTGTCTCTGCCTCTCTCTCTCTGTCTCTCAAGAATAAATAAATAAAGTCTTTAAAAAAAAAAAAAAAGTCTTCTTGACTTAAGAAAGTATGTCCCTAGAAATAGTTCCTCACGAGGAGGCAGAGAACCTCAGAGAACAAAAGACCTTTGGACCAGGGAAAGAATGTGGAAATATACTCTGAATTTTGAAACCAATATTTTAATCTCCATTTCTCTGTGAGTTAATGATGGCAGAGTTCATCTTCCCAGCCCATCACGTAGGCTCTGATTGAAACTGCATCTTAGATCCAATGAAACTCTTCGGGTCGCCTTAGGAGCCATTTTACCCCAGGACAGTCGGAATCTGGTTAAGCATCTTATTGATTCAGATAGCGTCAGACCTGCTGGTCCACACCCATGGCCTTAGAAGTCCCAAGAGGAAGCCCATTGAGAAGGCTTCCCTCAACCTTTCTACGTCTGCCAGCCAGTAGTAGCCCGTGGCATTGAGCCTCAGCCGAAAGCTGGTCTGGGCGGGTGGCCTGGGGCCTTCTCCCAGAATGTTCTGCTGTATGGGGCTGAGAGAGTCGGCGCAGAGAGGCGGCCTGAGTCTTGGCCAGGACTCTGACTGCCCGGGTAGGAAGTAGACCGCAGACAACCCACAGGACATACGGTTTGGAGGTCAGAGAGTGTAGAGTCAGGTCATACGGCTTCTGTGTCTTCTCCATTAATTCCCGAATCAGTATCAGACAATTCACCTCAAAGCACACTTATTACCCTCAGGACTTCCTACCCTCTTTGCAGATACTCTCTGTTTCCCGGCCTGGTGTTTGCAGCTCGCAGTGCTGCTTCCCCTGCTCACCGGCGGCCTGCGTGTTTGCTCTCGTCTTTTCTCTTTTTTGGCCTCTTTCCTAAATTAAACCAACTGGCCTCCCCAAGTCAGGTGCCCCCCGACTTCAGTATACGGTGCGTGGAGCAGCCAGACTGGTCTTCAAAAACCTCTTCTCAGAAAAATTGAGTGGCTTTTGTTCAAAGCAGCTAAAAATTCCTTTATTTCTCGTTCACAGCCTTCCCATCTGTGACCCCCGTCTGACTGGCACTCTAGTCTGTCTCGTCTCCTTCCCCTTATTCCGGATTTGACCTTAACCCTGCTCTTCGTGAGAACTCCTTCCCTGTTGCCTCTAGCTTTCCAAATGCGACATTTCATCCTCTGAGGCTCAGTCCTGCGTTTCTCAGCCCATCCGTCTCCCTCTCCCCAGAGCCTTTATGATACTCCCAGTTCATACCCCATAATTCAAACCAGAATGAGATACCAGTATTTTAGTTTACTTCCTGTCTCCCCGAGACCTGCTTTATTGTTTGTTTCTTTCTTTCTCGAAAGGAAATAGAGGTATAAGATTTAAAGAAAAGGTCCAGGGTCTGTTTGCTCCTGTCAGAAGTCATAAAGGAATTTCTGTTTCCCCAGGATGCAACCCTGAGAGAACTTATGATATGTTCTGGAGATACTTTACTTTTAATTGAAGGAAAACTTCCTCCTCCGGTAAGATTTTGCTTCTGAATTGAGTTTCTGTAAATAACAGTTATTGCTTTCTGATGACAAAGATGATATATTGTCATTGTGGGGAAGTACAGCCAGGCGTGAAGAGGGTGCCAGGACCTGGGGTAAGTGGTCTAATCAGACAGCTGCCGTCTTTTAGGTCTTTGTAGATTTCCTTCTGATAAAATCAGTTGTGTGCACCATATTGTTTCCTACTTTTCTTATTTCATTTTTTAACCTGATTTGCAGAATCCAAAACCAATCATCGTATCCAGTGTGCGACTTACCACAGTTTAATTCACATACTCCCAGTTTGAAATTTAAATTTTTTGTTCTTATACATGATACTTAAATACAGATCCTCCTCAAGACTTCCGTAGTCAAAATTAATAGGTCAGAAGGTATGACCATTTCAAAGACTAGATGCTGATCCTGTATTGCCACGTTGTTTTCCCAGGAAGCCGCACCAGACCAATAGCCCTATCAGCTGCCTATGAGAGCACTCACTTTACTGCTCTTAAATAAACTCTGTGGGCTACCACTTCTTAAGACCATTATGTATTTATTAGGTTTTTTTCAATGTGGACAAACGTAAAGATGAAAGTCTAAAAAATGACCCCAGATTCCAGCACTTAGATTAACCATTGGCTTATGATTTGGAAATTCAAAAGACATGGCAGGCTATAAAATGAAAAAAGTTTTTCCCATTTTTTTCTCTCTAAAGAGTCACAATTAACTTTCCCTTGTATATCCTCCCAAGAAAACAATTAGTCCTGTTTGTACAGGATGTTAGTGCAGAATGTATTTTTTTTAATTTTTTTTTTTTTTTATTTACTCATGATAGTCACACAGAGAGAGAGAGGCAGAGACACAGGCAGAGGGAGAATCAGGCTCCATGCACCGGGAGCCCGACGTGGGATTCGATCCCGGGTCTCCAGGATCGCGCCCTGGGCCAAAGGCAGGCGCTAAACCGCTGCGCCACCCAGGGATCCCCGTTAGTGCAGAATGTAAATGTGTGCATATCCCTTTGAAAGTTTACCTAAAGGGCATCGTAGTCCATATGTTCTTTTATACTTGTTGGCTGTTTATTTTTATTCACTTAATATATCTTGATCTCATATCTGCACACAAAGGCCTCATATTCTTTTATATCACTTTATAGAATTGTATTTTATTCCATGATCCTTCAAGTTAACTTTTTAATTGGTAATATTTATAATACAAAATTTTAAGTGTATAAAAAGCTGGGTCAGGAAAAGTAAGTATCCCTCCTGCCCTCCGGCCACTCAGTGTCCTCCCGCTATAAGCAGCCACTTTCCACTATACCCTTCCACAAGTATATACTTTTTAATGCACATGTATACATGGTTGTACATATACACATTTTTTCTATACAGAGAAGATCAGATGCTAGACATCCTATTCTCACTTTTTTCATTAATATTTTATTCCCATATGTATATTATGTTAGAACACATATAGCTCTTTGATTCTATTTGATGGTTATTGAATATTCCATTGTGTGGAGGTACCGTGATTTATCCAACTAGTCTCCTCAAGGATTTAGATGGTTTCCAGCCTTTTGTTGATACAAATAATACTGCAAAAAATACATGTGTGCCATTTTGCACGTATATATCCTAGAACTGAAATCACTTTGTCAGAAGTTGTGGCCTACATAATATAACCCGTCTTCTAAAGAGGGGCCTTGAGGTTGGTTCATCGTCTTGGCTACCATAAACCGTGTGCATCTGTGGCTGTGGGTGTAGGGGGGCTAGTCGGTCAGGTTTATTTCATGTAGTTTGTGTATAGGAATCCAACTTAGAGCAATGGCTTCTTCTTTATAAAGTTCTGTTAGGAATTTTAATGTGTGAAAACCGCTTCTCACTGGCGCATTGTGCTAGAGGTGCCCTTACCAGGCCTGAAAATATCGTGTTTTGATATTTTGTTTATATTTTTCATTGATTGTCATAAGATACTACAACTAAGTATATTGACTAAGCTCCTTCTAAGCAAAGAACACGGAGTCCTAGTCAATCCCAAAGGCTAACTTTTATAACCTTAAACTTTTGGTTGTAAAAACAATAAATAGGGGCACCGGGTGGCTCAGTGAGTGAAACGTCTGCCTCCAGTTCAGGTTATGATCTTGGAGTCCCGGGATCGAGTCCTGCATCGGGCTCCCTGCAGGGAGCCTGCTTCTCCCTCTGCCTGTGTCTCTGCCTCTCCCTGTGTCTCATGAATAAATAAATAAAATCTTTAAAAAAATAAATAGCTATAGTGTATGGCAGTTAATAAGTCTAAAAAGAAAAATAACTTCAGGAACATTTGTTGTAACGAAGCTCTTTCTCCGTGTGGAAGTAGAAATTCACTTACTCCGTGTACCTCACAGTGGTTAGAAGTGCTCTCTTCTTCAGGGTTTCCTGAAGGTGCCCCTCTGGTGGTACCAGCCTGGGGATTCCCCGGATCACTGGAAGAATCATCAGGACCAGAGGAACGGTGCCCCTTCTCCAGGTGGGGTCTGGAGAGCTGCTGCCACCCAAGGTGAGGACAGAACAGAATTGTAGCAGCCACCATGTCCTAAGGGGAGTAGAATGACCGCCTTTGCTCTGAGAGGCAAATGAAGCACGTATCTGAAACGTAAGGTTGAAATCAAAACCTGTTCATTCCATAAGAGCAGCCCCTATTTTCCTCCAGGGCTCTGTAAGCTCTGTTGAGGGCTGTCTCTGTCTTTATTATTACACAACATACTAGAGTTTTTACATGTCATCTTGCAAGATCCCCGTGCGGCGTGCCCCACTTCCCATGATGGACTCGGAGACCGAGCCCTCCGTGCATCGCAGGGGCTCCACTGAGGCAGGCCCGAGAGGCGGGCTGCAGTCCACACTGTGTGCCCCCCTCTCTCCACCACCACGACCCCAGGGCCTGCAGCCTGTGGGCTGCTTCACCTCGTCTCTGACTTCTGAGGAGATACACAGCATACAGACCTACTGTTTGACTCTCGGTTTCCTCCTCCACATTCAGATCCACACACATACACCTCAGGATGAGCAAGAAGTCTCTAGCAGTGAGTCTGAATTACCATTTGTAAAAAGTAGATTTTCACTTCATTATAAAAAAAACACAAAGTAATTTACTTTGTAACTAAATAGAACTCTTCGTATATTTTTCCCATTTATTATGTTTTACTTAACTATTCAGCTATATCTAGCTTTTAGGTAAGAGAACATTTTGTTTTCACCTTTTAGTCAGTAACCATCTGCTGGCCATTTAGTGTGTGGCAGCCACTGTCCCAGGCACTGGGAGAGAAATAAGATAGATGGGCTGCCCTCTCTGGAAAAGAACACTGTTTTGGGGGAGACAGATTAGGAAAACTATACGTGCACACCTACACAGGAAAACAGCTAAAAGACTAACATGCTGGGATAAGTGTTAGGAGAGAAAGAAACAAGAGGGTAAAATAAAGAGCCAGGAGAGAGTCCTAGAGAGTCCTACCAGCATAGTCCTCTCTGGGGAAGGAGAAAATGTGAAGAGTATTCTGGGCGGAGAGCACAAGCGTGCAACTCCTCGAACCCACTACAGTGAGAAACCAGCGCATCGTGCCCATGGCGTGCTGCCTGCCTGCTGACGTGCCAGGCATGGCTTCCTCCCCTCTGAGGTCACAAGGGACCCAATTTGAGGAACTCACGCCCCCAGTTTCTCGCATGGAGCTCTATAATTTATGACCCGGTATGTATTTCAGAAATAGAAAGGAGATAGAAAGTTCCTTCCTGACATCTGGCTCTGTTCGTGTAGGTGCTCCTGGTGACCTGCACGGGGAGGTGTCCCTCCGCTACTTGGGGGACCTTGAGATCTCAGAAGAGGCCACCGTGGCAGAGCTGAAGTCCCAGGTCAGACTTCTTCGTGTGGCGCATGGTAGTGGTGGCCTGGCTTCTTCCAGTGAGATATTAATACCTTCTTCTATTTCCTTTCCCTCACTTACAGTCTGTTCTGATAAGGCATGTGTTACATGCCATGTTCGGTGGTAAGTACCCACCAGGCACCCCCGCGCCCGGCTCCGACGGCGCTGGTGTTTGTTTCTGCCACTTGCCCTGTGGCTTTCATGTCTCCCCACTCTGACGGGCATGCTGTGTGCTTTCATTTGAATTGATCCTCAGTGACTTGCAGCTTATGTTCATTTTGATTTCTTAGGGAAACATGATTTATTGAAACATCTGTCAAGCATTCACTCTACCCCTTTATTTACATCGTTTTTGTCCCATTGTGATCCATGTGTTAAATGTTGTCAGGGTGCTCCGAGGTGGGATGTGTAACTAGATGCTGTATCCTTTTCTTACCTATTAACATTCATAAAGCGAGTGTTGGGTCCAGGTGGAAAGGCTGGGTTGAGTAGAACACGAAACGCTTAGGCATCTTCACTGTTGCCGGGCATCCCTTCATCCTCCTAAAGGAAAAACTTCGGGACGCGCAACAGAAGTACCAGCCATCCATACTGGATTTTCCTGTGTGCACTCAGCGTTTGGGGAAAAAAGCAGCAAATGGTCTTATTGCCATGAAAACGAGAGACTTTTTTTTTTTCTTGGATTGGATTGACAAATAGAAAATTGCTGTTTTCATATCTAAAACAGCTAGTGTTCATTTTTCATATTACAACCCAAATCTATAAATATCTGCCCTGCAGAATTAGTACGGAAGGTTAGGCCTAGCATTTGCATCCACAGATTCTGGAACATTTCAAATAAAGTTCTTTCACTGACAGAGCAAACTTTGAAGAATTAGCGCTCAAGAAAGCAGAAGGTGAACCCCTGGTTTCATGAGTGCTCTTGCGAATTATACTCACAGAAATTAACTTCTGAGTTTCACTTTCTGAAACATGATTTAAAAGGAGCTTTGGCTCATCGGCAGATTCACTTATCCCTCAAGCTGGCTTCCCTAGAGAGGAAGACAGAAGTGACTGGACTGACGTCACTGGGGAGATGCCCCGGGCTTGCCCTCCTCGACGTGCTCTTCCCTCCGGTGTCACTGTGTAGGCCCACTGCCTTCCTACAGCAGCGTGTCTGCTAACAGTACTTGTTCAAACCATTGGAGAACTATTTCTTTTCTAGGCCATGACCTTGTCCTCCTCCTCGGGGTTTGTCATCCCGTCCCCAGCCTTCCTCAGAGCCTGGACCGTGGAGAGGAAGCGCCTGGGCAGGCTTTTACGAATCAACCGGCAGCAGCTCAGGTGGGTCCCTCGTCGGGAGCCTGGTCTTCTCCTCCTCCTCCTCCTCCTCCTCCTCCTCCTCCTCCTCCACCACCACCACCACCACCACCACCGTCTTCCCTCTCCTCCTCCTCCACCGCCGCCCGCCACCACTACCACCACCACCGCTGGGCCGTGAGCGCCGGGGCAGGTCAGACAGCATGTTGTCAGCTGGGTGGCACTTCCAGTCAGAAACTCTGCGACTTTGTCTGTATTCAGCATAAAGGCAGCTCCACGTGTTTTTATGCTTCAGACACCATGAACAGAATTTTGAGCTTTTCTTCAAGCTTTAACTAAGATCTAATTGACATACAACCCTCCGTAAGTCTGAAATGATTGCCACCTTGGCACTGGCCAGCACCAACACCCGCAGCGCGTCACATCATCACTGTTTCTTTTTCGTGGTAAGAACATTGAAGATCTAGCCTCTTAGCAACTTTCAAATCTGTGGTACGGTATTGTTGTTAACTGTACGCACTGTGCTGGACTTCAGAGGCGCCAGACTTACCTTAAAACTGGAAGTTTGGCCTCTCTGACCAGCAGCTCCTCTTTCCCTCCACCTCGCAGCCTCACCATCGCAGCCACGATTGTACTCTCTCTTTCTGTGAGTCTGGATATTTTAGATTCCATGGGTAGTGCTACCTCACAGGATTGGTCCTTCACTGTCACATTTCACTGTTAGCATCATACCCTCATGGTCATCCACGTTGTCACAAGTGACAGGATGTCCTCCTTTCTCGTGGCTGAATGATACTCTGTTGCATACATATGGGGACGCCTCCCTGACGTCCATCCATCCATCCACAGGCCCCTGGCTTGTTGCCGTGCCTTGGCTGCTGTGAACATGGGAGTGTAGATGTCTCTTGAGGTTCTGTTTTCATTTCCTTCGGATACAGACCCAGAAATGCTAGATCATGCTGTTAGTTCTATTTTTAATTTTTTGAGGAACTTCCAAAAAATTGGCTTCACCAATTTACATCTCCACCAGCAGTGCACAAGGGTTCCCCTTTCCTCCACGTCCCCGCCAGCACTGATTGCGTCTTTTTGATGCTAGCCATTCTGACGTGTGGAACAAGGTATCTTACTGCGGGTGTGGTTTGCACTTTCTTGATGATGAGTAAGGGTCAGCACCTTCTCAGGTACCTGGTGACCATCTGTAGATCTTTGGAAAAATGTCAGTTCCTCTGCCCTTTCTTGATTGTGGACTGTTTGGGGTTTTTTTGCTCTTGAGCTAGATGGGTTCTTTATTAATCCTCTATCACATGCATGATTTGCAGATTTATTCACCCATTTCATTGGTCATTTTTTCATTTCATTTTTCATTTCATTAATGGTTTCCTTTGCTATACAAGATCTTTTTAATATGATATAGTCTCACTTGCTTATTTTTGCTTTTGTCTTTCCCTTTGGTATCAAATCCAAAAAAAGTCATTGCCAAGGACAGTGTCAGGGAGCTTATTATATACCTCCTGTGTTCTCTAGGAGTTTTGTAGTTTGGGGCCTTATGGTCAAGGCTTTAATCTGTTTGAATTGATTTTGGGGTACGGTAGAAGGTAGCTGTCCAGCTTCATTCTGTTGCACATGGCTGACCAGTTTTCCAGCACCATCTATGGAAAAGACTGTCCTTTTCCCTTGTGTGCTCCTTCATTATAAATCCCTTGGGTTTATTTCTGAGGTCCATTGATCTTTGTGTCGGTTTTTATGCCAATACCATAGTTTTTGTTTTAAGATTCAAATTATTTATTCATGAAAGACACAGAGAGAGGCAGAGACACAGGCAGAGGGAGAAGCAGGCTCCCCTCAGGGATCCTAATGGGGGACTCAATCCTGGGACCCCAGAGCCGAAGGCAGACGCTCAACCACCCGGGTGTCCCTGCCATACTGTTTTGAATACTAGAGTCTGAAATCAAGAAGGGGGATGCCTCCAAGTTTGTTCTACTTTCTCAAGGTTGCTGTGGCTCTTTGGGAGCTTTTGTGGTTCCATACAAATTTTAGGATTGGTTTTGTACTTCAGTGAAAGATGTTGAAGTTTTGATAGAGATTACACAGAATCCGTAGCTCACTGTGGGTAACATAGACATTCTGACAGCATTCTTCCAGTTCCTGAACATGGAATATCTGTCACTTCTTTGTGTCTTCAGTTTCTTTCATCAGTGTCTTACAGTGTATAGATCTTCACCTCCTGTGTTAAGTTTATTTCTGCGTATTTTATCCTTTTTGATGGTCTTGTCAGTGGGACTGTTTTCTTAATTTGTCTTCCTGATAGTTCACTGTTAGTGTATAAAAACATCAAGCGATTTTTGTATCTTGATTTCGTATCCTGCAACTTCACCGAATTGATTTATTCTCACAGTTATTTGGTGTTTAGGGTTTTCTACATATAATGGCACGTCACCTATAGGGAGAGGCAGTTTTACCTCCTTTCTGATTTGATGCCTCTTATTTTCTTTTCCTTGTCTGATTGCTCTGGGTAGGGCTTCCAGTACCACACGGAGTGAGAGTGGGCATCCTTTTCTCCTTGATGGTGGGGGACATGAGCTGCCAGCTACTCATGTGTGGCCTTTACTGGGTTGAGTTAGGTTTCTTATCAACCCACTTTTTTGAGCAGAGTTATCATGAAAGGATGTAGAATTTTGTCATTTTTCCTTCATCTACTGAGATGATGATTTGATTTTTTATCCTTCACTTTGTTAGTGTATCACATTGACTGATTTGCAAGTATTGGTCCAGCCTCACATCCCTGGAATAGATCCTACTTGATGGTGTAAGATTCTTTTAATGTACATATTTTGCATTTTTTGCCTCTGTTCAGCAGGGATGTTGGTCTGAACTTTTGTAGTATCCTCGTCTGGTTTTAGTATTGGGGTGATACTGGCCTTGTAATAGCTCTTCTGCTTTCTGGAAGAGCTGGAGGAGAATAATTATTAAATCTTGAAATCTTTGTTAGAATTTACCAGTAAAGCCATCTGGTCCTGGACTTTTCTTTTTTGGGAGATGTTTGATTATTTACTCCATTCCCTTATGAGTAATTGATCTGTTCAGATTCTCTGTTTATGATTTAATGCATCCCGAGGTCTATACATATCAGCTCGTCCAGCTTGTTGGCATCCCCTTGTTCCTACTAGGTCTCTCAAATACTGAGTGTTCTTACTCTGTGTAATTTTTTGCTTAAGAAAAAAAGCTTAGAATGTTTCCCCCCAAAAAAATCTTTAAAAATTAAAAAATATATCACTCAGTGTTATTTTTTTTCTTTTATCAGGGACTACAAACTGGGACGGAAAACTGAGATCTGCTTAGAGCCCCTTCAGGAAGAAGAAAACTTGGGGTAAGTCATCCTGTCCCATGTACATGTCTCTTCATGGTGGCTAATTTCCTGAAAACCTAACGGTGGGATCAGTAGTAAAGGGTTTTTCCCCACTGCTTGAGTAGCATGGCAACTTAAACCAGATTGTGTCCTACAGGTGTGTTTGCATGCCTAGTGTCTGGAACTTGGAACTCATTTTGCCATGAAAACAGTGAGTCACAGATGCATATTGAATCCCTAACGATCTCAAAGTGTAAGCAGGACGCTCATTCCCAGCCCTATCAGTTGTCAGACTGACTTGCACAGCACCTGTCACTGCCCCCCTTCGCCTACTTTTTCATCCTCACCCCACCTGACGTAGTAGATACTTACTGAATTGTGTGTTACTTGTCTCCTACAACAGGTGTAAGTTTTGGGAGAACAAGTACTTTGGTCACTGCTCTGTCCCCAGTACCTAGAACAGTGCCTGTATCCTAATCGATAATTCATTAGTGACTAAAGAAACACCCCACAGGGGTCTGTAATCAAAACTTCCTGGTTCTGTTTTCATTATAAGAAAATCTTTTCTAGGGATCCCTGGGTGGCGCAGCGGTTTGGCGCCTGCCTTTGGCCCAGGGCGCGATCCTGGAGACCCGGGATCGAATCCCACGTCGGGCTCCCGGTGCATGGAGCCTGCTTCTCCCTCTGCCTGTGTCTCTGCCTCTCTCTCATTCTATGTGACTATCATAAATAAATAAAAATTTAAAAAAAAAATAAAAAAAAAAAAAAAAGAAAATCTTTTCTAAGACCTCCTGTGAGTATCACCAGCAGTAGGGTTGGTGATCGTCTTCCCGAGGAGAATACCATTCCTGCTGCCATCCTGCTGCGTAGTAACGGGAGCTCCCCCTCAGCTGTGTCTACCCTTCATGCACCCCACCCCCACTGCTTTTATAAAAGTGCATTCTTACTGCAAACCGTAATACCAAGCGTGGTGTCCCGGAGGGGGATTTCTGGGTCAAATGGTATGAACGTTTTAAACGTCTTACAGCAGTTAAATTCCTTTCCAGGCAAGTTATGCCAGTTTTTGGTCCCACAAGCAGTGGTGATGAGTATTACTTCACCCTCAAACCAACATTGAATATTTTCATTGTTTAAACGTTTGCTAAATTGATCGCGGAGAAATGGTTATCTTGTCTCATTTGCTTCGGTGCTTTGATTGCTAGTAAGATTGGGCATTTTTCTCAAAGTCGTTTTTTTTCCCCCCAAAGTCTTATCATTTACAAGCCCTTTGCCTTTTGTGGGTGTGTGAATTCATTCATATATTGGGCAGGTTTTAGCAATGGGGTCTTAGGAAAAGTCTGATTTGTGAGAGCTCTTTCTTAAATACCGACACGGGCCCTTGGCACATTTGTTGTGAGTGGCGTCCATGTGACCGTGCTGGGCACCAGGTGGCCTGTCCCAGCGGTTGCGTCCCTGACCAGCCTCCAGGGCTCTCCCCTCTCCTCAGAGAGCCCTGTCACTCCTTGGCATCCACGCCTGCCAAGAGGTTCCGTCTCCTGTCCAACTGGGCCTGCCCTCTCCCTGCACCTCCAGGTCCTTTGCTCCCATAGCGTCACCTTTCTTTTTGGTAAAAGCTCCCATACAACCAAAATCATCTGGTGCGGTCACAGGGCCTCACTGGCCTAGACACGGTTTCCCTCCCCCCACCTTCCGGCGGGCTCCACATCTGACTTTCTCCCCCGCCCCCTCCCAGCGCTCAGCCCCTGCTTCTCCGGCTGCCCCACTGCGACTTCACGCGCCTGTAGAGGAGCTTTTCCTGCCAACCTCTGGTTCTGAAATCAGCCCCTCCCGGGGCGCAGCTGCAGCCCTTGTCACACTGCCCCCGGAAGACGACACTGGGGCCCAGGATGGGAGAAAATCAAAGTAGAGAAGAGGACTAGAGGGTTTGGGGATCAGTCTGTCCTCCTAAAAACCAGAAGAGAGGAGGGGAAGCCTTGCCCATCACGCTTCGCCATGGTTCCTGCGAACTTCTCATTCTTCTTATTTGTTTTCCGGTGCAGCCCTCAGGACGTGGTACTGAGGACACGGATGCGCCTCCCGGGTGAGAGGGCGTACGCGCCGTGCGTGGACTTGGTGTGGGACACCGCCCGAGGCTGGACTGCTGGCTCCCTGAGACAACGAGTTGCCCACTTCTGCTCTCTTCCCGTGGAGAAAATTGAAATTGCCAAGTACTTCCCCGAAAAGTTTGAGTGGCTTCCGATATCTAGCTGGGTAAAGTTCCAGGGCTTTCCCGGAGAGACTGGGCCTTCCTGGTGTAGTAAATAGGTTAACTGCTGTTTTTCACAGATAGGGAACTTAGTAAGAATTTGAGTTTTCTGTATTCAGGATGCTTGATTTTTCTATAGAACCAGCAATTTACCAAGAGGAAAAAGAAGAAAAAGCAAGATAATTTGCAGGGGGCGCCTTATTACTTGAAAGATGGAGACACTATTGGTATTAAGGTAAGTTATTTATCAGCAAATTTACCACTTTAGTAAAACACCGGGATCAATGATTTTTTTTTTTGTAAGATTTTATTTATTCATAAGAGACAGAGGCAGAGACACAGGGAGAAGTGGGCTCCCTGCAGGGAGCCTGATGTGGGAGCAGATCCTGGGATCACACCCGGAGCCCAAGTTAGACACTCAGCTGCTGAGCCACCCAGGTGTCCCAGGAGCAGTGATTTTTATAGAGAAATTGTATCAGATCTTCAAGGCTCTGAGAATCCTATGATGATCCTCTCTTACATACATTGGAAAATAGGAGGGAAGGCCAGGCCACTTATATCATGAGGCCAGAAGGACCTTAGTATCAAAACCTTAATCCTGGGTTGGATTTGCGTGAAAATGCTTCTGAAGTTTTATCATTAAGTGCATTGCTGCAGGTTTGGAATAGGTTCCTGCATCAGGGGGAGATGTTTCCTTCCATTCCTAGTCCTTGTGAGCAATGTCCTATTAAATTCCCACTGTTTCTGCGCCTGTTGAATAATCTGGTGTCGGGCAGCCCGGGTGGCTCAGCAGTTTTAGCATTTGCCTTTGGCCCAGGGTGTGATCCTGGAGTCTCAGGATCAAGTCCCATGTCAGGCTCCCTGCATGGAGCCTGCTTCTCCCTCTCTCTCTCTCTGTCTCTCATGAATAAATAATAATCTTAAAAAAAAAAAAAAAGAATAATCTGGTATCAGTAAATGACAGAGCTATCCTCACCTGCCCTAGACAAATTTACTTTATCACAAAGTGATATTTTAAGAATAACATTAATCCTTGATTTAAGAATTTATTTGTGGATATCAAAATAAGGATTAAATTGCTAATCAATATTTTCACATCAAGGAATAAGCATTCCCTTAACCACCACTTCCGCTCAGCATTGTGCTAACCAGGGTGGTATGAGCCTCCTTCTCCCCAAAGTTGAGAGAGAAATAAAGGAACTTCTAAAATGAAAGCATAAAACCATTCTTCATATGCAGTTCACCTAAAGGAAGATTCAAGAGACCTGGTAAGAGAGTTCAGAGGTTACAGGATCAGAATACAACTACAAGATACCTAGGAATACATCCAGCAAAGAGATTTACAAGACCTTTCCAGAGAATATTCCCAAAATACTGAGTGGTATTAAAGCTTCAGTTAGATACAGAGCAACGTCGTGCTCTTGGAAGGAAGCCTCACACGAAAGACCAGGAAACAAACATAAAAATTCACATGGAGAAGCAACGGGCAGGGAGGAGATTTTTAAACACCATGATGGGCGCTCCCTGGCCTGGTGCCAAGAGCGACCGGGCAGCTGTGTCAGCAGAGTAGCTTCAGGGGGGGCGGATGGATGTCACGCCAGGAAACTTGACGGGTACTCGAGGCGACATTAAAAATGGATTATTCAGTAAACGGTGCTGGGGAAACTGGTTATTCGTGTAGGGGAAATTAGTTTCCAAGTTTATGTGCGCCTCAGGCCCCAGGAAGTCTGCATCCAGTCTGCCCACACCGTGTACATCAATATGAAAACTTAAAGGTGAAAGGCAGTGATTTCCAGCCTTCAGATTTCAGAGGTCCTTCTTAAACAAAAAGCACAGACCGTAAAAGGATGGTAAACGTGACCGCATTAGGAGTAAACACGTGGTTCGTCAGAGGAAGGGATACCAAGTGTAAAGACAAGCCACAAACTCACAAGGATGGTCACCGGGTGTAGGTGTGGTCCTTACATCAGTGCCAGGAGGACCCCCTGATGGGAGGCGGGCCAAGACGAACACCCCGTCAGTTCTCAGGAGAAAAGTGGGGAGCCGGGAAGCAGGGGCCTGTGGGGGAGCAGTGGCTGGCACTGCCACCCCCCCACCCCGCGGCCCTGGACACCATGTGGTGATGGTGATGGCGCTTGTGTGCAGCAGTGCTTGCGACTTTGCTCCTGGACAGCGCCTGGCACAGCTCGTGCGTTCACGTGAGGGGGTGTGCAGAATGTTCGCTGAAGGACTGGTTGTAACAGCGTAAACTGCAAAGGACAGTGACCCTCAGGAAGAGGACAGATGAAAAAAAGTGTGGATATGGTGGCGTAGAGCACAGCAGTGAATACACCGGAGCTCCGTGGGTCAACGTGGAAAACGGTCACAGTGGTCATCACCGGGAATGTGAAGCCCGTAAAATGCTGTGGATCAGTCGGTCACACACCTGGGGAGCCGTCCAGTCAGAGGGAAAGCGGGAACAATGTCTGGGGACATTGTCTCCAGCGGGCTGAGGGCCAGCGACTGAATCTGTGTTTTCCTTGAAAAATGATCCAAATATGGTCAGAGCTTACGACGGTTAACCGCTGGCTGGCGCTGAGCACTTTTCTTCTCCACCAGCACCATCCACGCGTGCATCGAGCTCTGGTTTTCCCAGGACAAGGGTAGGAGCAGGTGCCGCCTTGGGATGAGCCGGTCACGTCACTGGGGCACCTGGGCCCCCAGCCACTCGCCGGCAGCCCTGAGGACGTGGCTGTCGGCCCTGTTACCCCTGTATTTCCTCTTTGTAGCGTTTGACAGTTTTTGAAAAAGCCCATCACGCACGCTCGCTGGAATCCCACGTGTCCGCTTGCTGGAGTAGAGAGCCGCACGTTTCTTACAGTTTTCTCCCCCGAGAGCAGCGTGTAGACCGAGCAGGACCCTCCTGCGGCTCCTCGCTGACCACCGTGGTCCTCAAGGGCGATGGCGGCGCTGGTTACCTCTCCCCGATGCCTGGCGGTGGTGAGGGGCCGGGGGGCGCTCACCGAGGCAGCCCGAGGCCCCGCTCTGACCCCTTCTCCTGTAGCGCTGCTCGGGGTCAGCGACCGGATCAGTCGCGCTCACCGAGGCAGCCCGGGGCGGCCAGGGTTCGGGTTCGGGGGAATGACCCGCTGCGACCCCCGGGGCACCGTCGGGGCAGGGGGGCAGCCTGGGTCGGCAGAGCTGCGCCCACAGCATCCGGGGAAGGGAGCTGAGGGGCCAGGCGCACGGCGTCCCCGGGCTCGCTGGCAGCCGAGGAGGCAGCGGGTGGACGCGGCGACGGGCTCGGACAGCGGCTGCGCTCCCAGGGGCAGGGGCAGGGGCAGCTCCGCGGGGCCCGGGCGCGGGGCATCCGGGCCGGGCCCCCCTCAGTCGTTTGGCTCGAGCCTCTTCAGTGGAGGCGAACCCCCTGGTCGTTATCTTGAAACGCAGAACGTCCTGCTGGAGGACGACGGGGACTTCAGTACCGACGCGGACGACCTGGGGAGAGGGACGCCGAGGCGGCCGAGCAGGTATGGTGCGGCCGGGGCTCCCCCGCGAGCCGCGCTGGGCCCCCGATCGATCGGGGCTCCGGGGGCAGGGCCTGCCCCGGGGCCGCCTCCCTGCCCCCTCCGCCCCTCGCTGGGTCTTCCCCCAGGCCTCGGTCACCCCAACAGGTGAGCACGGTGAGCACGCGGCGGGCTCCGCAGGGCCCCGCAGGGCCCCGCAGGGCCCCGCACCTGCCCCTCCTCCCTCCTCTCCCCTGGCCGCGGGCCTCCTGCCCCTACCACGATCTACTGGAACATTCCACCTCCCCCTGTACCCACACCCCCTGCAGGCCACACGGGGCGCCTCCGCCCTCCTTACCTGCCCCCCCATCTTAGTCCTCAGCTCCTGGCTGAGGGGGCCGGTGGTGCTCCCTGATGCCCCTGCCGGCGCGGCCCCTCCGCCCCTCTGCTGCGGCGGTCGCGTCCCTCACCCGCGCCCAGCAGCAGCGACGAGGCGCCGGACACGGAGGCGCCGTCCGTGCACGTGCCGTTAGGTCCCAGGGCCCCGGGCTCGCTCCTGGGGCGCAGCCGGATAAACGCCGACCCGGGGTTTCCGCTCAGATCATGATCTCGGGGTCGTGAGATCAAATACCAGGGCGGCCCGCTCAGCCTGGGGGCCCTGCCGGCGACCCTAACCATGCCCCCCTGCCCCCCCCCCCCCCCGCGCTCTCAAAACATCACCCTGCGGGGAGACGCGGCCACCGGCAGGTTGGAGGGTCCCCGGGTCAGGCCTGCCGCGGGGACTGCGGGGCCGCCGGGGCCGGCGGTGTAGACTGAGGTCCTCCGACTCCGCAGTCTGGGAGTCCGTGTGCCGAGGGCACGCACGTCCCCGGGGCCTGCCGGCTGCGGCCGTGACCGCCCCCGTGTCTCCCGCAGCCAAGACGCCCTTCGGGAGCCGAGCCGCGACCTGGGCTGCAGGGCCACGACGCCCGGCCGGCCGCGCGCACCAGAAGCTTCTCTTTGCATCCACGTGCGGAGCTTCAGGTAGCGCCTGCGCCCGGCGGGACCCAGCAGGGCCGCGCCTCCTGCCCCGCGCCCTGGACGCCGCGGGTCGGGTCGTGTCGTGTCGTGCCGCGGCCGCAGCAGGGGCCTCGCTCGGAGCCCGCCCCCGCCCCGCCCCCCCCCCGGAAGGACGTCGAGGGCCGCGCCGCAGACCCGTCCGCCAAGCCGCCCGCTGAGGCCCCGGACGCTCACGCCCCGAGCCCGAGCGGGTCCGAAGCAGGATTCCCGGGACCGCAGGCGCCCCCCCCCCCCCTCCCGCAGATGAGGCTGCGGAGCAGGAAGCAGGAAGCCGGGCGGGCGGGCGGCGAGGCCGGGGCGGGGCAGGGGCCGGGCTCTCCGGGGCGAGGCGGAGGCCGCCCCCTTCCTGCGCCCTAAGGGCCGGAGCCGCTAACCTGACAACCGGGAGGTTTGCTTTGGAGAAACCGGAGGCCTCCGGGGAAGAGACCCGCGGGGGGGGGGGGCTCCCCGGGGGGGCCTCCCCGAGCCTGCGGGCCCCGCTCCCCTGCGCTGAAGCGCGCTTCGCCTGCTCAGTAAACGTTTATGTTGAGAAATCCCTGTCCGGGTGATCCGGGGCTGCCCCGCAAGTCACACGGAGCTTCCTTAGACGGGGGTGGGGGGTGGATTGTTCTGGAAGGAACTGCAAGTGGTGGGGTTTTCTTTCCTCCAGGGAAAGAGGAGGCGGTTGCATTACAGCAAACAGGGCTTCCCTGGGATATTTTTCGGGGGGTGGGGGGGGCGTGCACGAGAATTTCCTGATGACCCAGAGTCACGGGGCAGCCCCGAGGGACCCGGGAAGGCCGGCGGCCCCCCTCCCCCCCCCGCCCGCAACGGCGCCTCGTCCCCACGCACCGCGGGTCAGCAGCAGGCACCGCGGGCTTCCTGGGGGGTTCGAGCCCCGCCCCGGCAAAGGGCTCCCAGGGGGCGGAGGGCTCTGGCTCCCCACGGTCACCCCATCTCCCTCTGCACCCCCCTCGCACCCCTACGGCACCCACTCCCCGCGGTCGCCCCATCTCCCTCTGCACCCCCCCCCCGCACCCCGACGGCACCCACTCCCGGCGGTCGCCCCATCTCCCTCTGCACCCCCCCCCACTTACCCCATGAGCGCAGCCACTCACCACGGTCGCCCTGTGTCGCGGGCTGCAGAGCATGGCAGCCAGGGGACTGAAGCCAGGCCCTCAGGGGGCTCCACGCACCCCAGGGGGGAGGGTACCGCCGGCTGTGGCCCAGGAGAGCTCCAGCACATCGCCCCTACACCTCAGCACCTCTGCCCCACAAAGGGGGCTCTGAGGGACGGGGTCCACCGCCAAGAGGGCGTCCCAGCTCAGCAGCCAGTGCCTGAAAGACAGATGTCGTCAGGGCAGCCTGGTGGCTCAGCGGTTTAGCACCGCCCTTGACCCAGGGCGTGATCCTGGAGACCCGGGATCGAGTCCCACGTCGAGCTGCCTGCATGGAGCCTGCTTCTCTCTATGCCTCTCTCTCTCTCCCTGTGTTTCTCATGAATAAATAAAATCTTAAAAAAAAAAAAAAGAGCCATCGTGCACGGGCTGGGCTGGCAGGTCACAGCACCCCCCCCCGCCCCTGGGTGAGCAGCTCCTCCGTCCAGGCCCACCGTGGAGCTCTCGGACCGCGGCTTCCCAGAGGCCTCCAGCACCAACACCTGCCCCACAGGTGCACTGCTCTTCTGCCCTGAAGTGTTCTTTGTGCCGGCTCACCCCCCCCCCCCGGGGGTCCTGGCCTCTTTCTTCGGCCTCACACCTGTGTAATACGTAGAACTCGTGACTCCATTTGCTTTAGCTCTTGCCTTCCCAAATACAAAATTTTCTGGAAGGTTTGCTACGAGGATTAGGGTCAACTCAGAGACAAGACACATGTAGTTCTCACTCATAAAAGAAGTGTGGTGGGAGGAGGCGGGGAGGTGTCAGGAAAATTCGTGGAGACCACAGAGATGCCAAGGAGTGGGCTTCTGTCTCTGCCACCCTGACTACATGCCTGCATTCTCCCTGCCACCCCATGGCCCAGGCTGGCTCCTGGAGCGCCACCCATCACGTCCACCCTCCTCGCTAGCAGCAGGAGGAAAAAGAAAGGTATCCCCATGTTTTAAAGGAAACTTTCTGAAAATCTCAGTTAATGCTTATGTTCCTTTGTCCAAAAGCTGGTGGCATCCCTAAGGTTGACCGCAGAGGCCACTGGAGGATGTGGTCACATTTGCAGGGGACTTGCTTGGGCAGGCCGCCTTGCCCATGTGATGTGGGGATCTACAAGGGAGCAGGAGACAGAAGCCTCATGTTCACAGGCCTCAGGCGGTGGCCTCCACAAACGCCAGTCTGAGCCTCTAACGTTCCAAAGCAGACCGTGCAGCGGAGGCTGGGCCTCGGGTAAGCAGAGGCCGTGGGCACAAAACTGGAAGGTGCCCCAAAACCTCAGCCATCAAGACAGATCAGTTTTGAATGATAGCTTTTTTTAGAAATGAAAATCAATGCAGAAAAATCCACGATGAATGAAATTCTAAGATTTTTAAACACGGGATCGGTACAAGTTAAGAAGTCCTGCCCGCCCAGGGGTTCTGCGTCTGGCTCCTGAGTTCGGCTCCAGTCACGGTCTCGGGGTCGTGAGATGGGGCCGCGCTGGGCATGGGACCTGAGGCTCCCTCGCTCTCCCTTTGCCCCCCCCCCCCCCCACACACACACACGCTCTTAAAAAGCCCCGGCAGCCTAGAGACGATCTTTGGGAAGAAACCTCAGTCCTCCCCGCACCCGGTGCTCAGGCCTGCGGGTGCCCCCAGCAAGCCCCGGGCGCTGGGCTCGGGGCCACGATGCCCGCGTGTTGGTCCAGGCCCGATTCTCTCACCTGTCGTGTGGGTGGAGCTTGGTGGCAGGCCCGGGACACAGGACAGGTCTGGTCCCACCTTTGCCCCATTCTGTGTGCCGTGCGGCCAGCCGGGAACCTCTCAGCCTGTTCCTCGTCTGTGGGATGCAGGGCTGTTAGGAGCGATGACGGCGCTCACACGGCGAAGCACGCGGGCCGGCGGCAGGGCAGGGCATGCTGCGAGTGTGTGTGAGCATCAGAGTCCTGCACGGCCCGCTCCTGTCACTGCCTGGCACAGTCGTGGGCTTGTCACGCAGTTCTGGACGAGACGTGACCAGGGAAGTCAGCAGCACCCAGGGCTCCTGAAGAGATTCCTTTTATTTTAGAAAGAAACACAGAAGAACCACCACGTGCTCACACACACCTTACCCTGGGCTTGGGTGACACGTGGGTGTGATGGGAGTGGTGGCCGCCACCTTGTACCATGAAGCGTGATCCCGGGTAAGCCGGTGGGGGCAGGGGGGAGCACACCACAGTAGGACTGGGGGTGAACGAGGAGGGCGGGACGGAGAGCTGCAGGGGCACCCAACACGTGCAAGGCCCACGCAGCACTCTGGCCCCCCGGCCCTCCCCGCGGACAACGGGGAGATGACAGAGGGACCTTGAGCTCGGAGAGCTCCTGGCCTACAGCGTCGTGGGGCAGATGTGGGAGGATGAGAGGCCCTGCCCCCTGCCCCTCCCTCAGCAGGCGGTGCAGGCTGCGTGGGATGGAGTCTGACCCCCTGCCCCCGCCCCCCCCCGCCCCCCGCGGCCCGACCTCCTTGCTGAGTCTTTAATTCAGCAGACCGGAAGCCTGCGCCCTAACAAGGACAGTGGCTTTCCGTGTGCTCTCCTGCCAATTCACCCTGCTTTTAGAGTGGCTGAAAACCATAATCCTAAATCCAGTTTGGAAAGATCTGGGCAGCTTTTACACGAAAGCACGAAGGACGACGACAAGGAATGTGACAATGGAAGATTTTATTTATACACAGAACCACCTATTTACAGCCCAGGTCGGGTATGTACACGGCAACACGGGAGGCGTTTGCTTCCACGGCGGGCACTGTATAAATTAAGATCATAAATATGAGGGGTCAGCCCCACCCGAGGGCACAAAACCTTTTCTCCGAGACTCCCCAGGGCCCTCCCGCCCCCCTGCACCGAGGCCGGGGTCCCAGCGGGAGGAGTCGGGGCAGGCAGGGCAGCGGCCCGCGGCAGCCGCAGCGCCAGCCCACACCGATGCACTTTCATGCGACACCACAGTCACGCCACTCACCTCTGACTTACTAGAATGGGGTTTACGTAAACAGTGTTGTTTTAATCACTGACAACATACTAATTTTAAACACCATGCTTGTCCCAACCCTCAGCTTTCCTGAGGGGTGGCCCCGCGGCTCCAGCACCAGCCGCCGCCCCCTCGCCGCCACTGCGCTTGTCCCGAGGACCGAGGACCCGGGGCCACAGACGTGACCACACAGACGCGCTTCTGGTACCACGGGCTCGGGTCCCCAGCCTCCTTCGTCAGCCTGTTCTACCTCAAAAGCCAGTGACTTCTGGTGGCCAGACGACCCCTCCGCCTTCCACGTCCCAAACGGCCGACTGCTGGCACCCAACTCAGGGTGGGGGTGGGGAAGGCCACGCGCAGCCCCCCAGCCTACCTCGTACGGCGCAGCCGCGCACCCTGCGGGACATGGGTCACTTCGCCCCAAACCAAGTGCCGCCACTCCACCCTGGGACAGGAGCACCCCAAACCGGAGGCTGGGGCCTGGCTGGGCTCACAGGTGGGCCCACCGTGCACACCAGGAAGGGGGGAGGCACAGGGGCCTGCAGAGCGAGTGGCAGGTGGAGGCTGTGCAGTGGCGACTGACGGTGCCCTCGGCCCAGCCCCCCCCTCACGGGGCGGGGTGGGGCACGAGCTACCGGGTAGGGGGTGGCACACTGCAGACACACGCCGTTCCCCCACCCGGGGCCCCAGAGGGCTGTGGACAAGGGCAAGCGTAGCTCGAGACAGAGAGCCGACCGCCCACAGGGTCAGAGAGCGTGGGGACGCAGCGCGGGCGCGGGACGAGCTCAGGCTCCCCAGCGCCCAGGAAGCGCGCCCTCCAGCCGCGGCTCACGCACACGCGTCCTCTGCCTGCACAGGCAGGAGGCCTGGCGGCTCTGGGGCCGACGCGGCAGGTCCCTGGGCCAGCAGCTCCACATTGGGTGCCAACCGGGACCAGGGACCAAAGGCAAACGGGGAGGGCATCTGTCAGCCCAAGGTTGCAGCCACCCGTGCACCTGGCGTCAGGAGGGCGAGTCGGGCCCCTCACGGTGCCGGTGAACATTGGGGGCGGGGGGGCAGCAGCGCACCCCTGCCGCTCTCAAGCCAGGACGGGCAGGATCTCTGTGAAGGACTCAGCAGTCAATGGGGTGCAGCAGTGGGCGGCCTCACGGGGCTGCTGCAAAGATCCAGGCCAGCGGCACAGAACTTTCCAGTGCAGGAGGCTGCCTGCCAGCGGGGCCAGCATCTGCACGCCCGGGAGATGCCACATGGTGTATGGTGACCAGGCTCACAGGGAAACCCCAGGACAAGCGTGCGGCGCCCAGGAGGTCAGGCCCGGCCTGGGGCACAGGTCAGCAAGAGCGGAGGTGGTGGTAGTTGCCCCACATGACGCCGAGCTGGACAAGGTGCTGTTTCAAAGGTAGCTATGTTGGTGTGTTCGAGACCCCGGAGCGGTCACAGAACGGGCATCTGTGAGGCTTCCTGTCTGGAGCAGAGGGAGTAGCACCATGAGAAGGGGCAGGCGCTGCGCCGGGGCAGCGTCCCCCCGGCCTCAGTTGCGGGGGGCGCGGAGGACGCAGGCCGACAGGGCCAGGGCTAGGCCTCGGTGGCAGGAGTGCTCCGGCTCAGCTCCTTGATGCCACACAGGATCCTCTTCATGTGGCCCACCTTGGTCACGCCGAGGTCCTGCAACGAGAGGACAGCGTCCTGACACCGGGAAGCAGGCCGGGCCCCCGCGGGCCTTCCTACCCGGCGTTCTGAACACAAGCGAGGGGAAAAAGTTGAAGACGGTGACACCAGATGGAGACGGCACACGCATGAACAGTGGCGCAGACACCCTACACCTCCCTGTGAGTCACCAAGTCCCCGCCGTCGTGCAGGACAGACACGGCCCACAGGCCCGGTGGCAGTGGATGCAGGGACTCAAGCCGGCTGCTGGCCAGGACGTCCCCGGGGGCCCCTCAGCCCTCAGGACACCGCGCTGAGCTCCGGGGTCAGGCCGGTCCGAGCAGCCCGCCTGGTGGACCCGCCTCCAGCCCCGCTGCGGGCGCCCCCGCCTCACGCACGCGCTGCACGCACCTCCCTGCGCGCCCCCCACGCTCCGGGCCGCCGGCAGCCTCGACGGCAGGTCTATGGGTGCCAGCTTCCCAGCAGCATTAGTTCAAGCCTCTGTATCACCGGTCGGTAATTCTCACGGTGTTTCAGACATTTTTGCTACTAGACCTGTTATGGTCCCGTGACCAGTGTTCAGAGCTCACTGACGCTCCTGACGGCTGGCAGTTTTTAGCCATGAAGCGTTTCTTCATTAGGGAGGCACGGTTTGAGACAGAACGCTGCCGCACACCCAACAGCTGCAGCATAACATAAGCGTGACCTTGGTGTGCACTGGGAGACCAAACAGCTCGTCTGACCCGCTTCCTTGCAGGGGTCTGGGTCGGACCCGCAGCATCTCTGGGGGGCGCCTAGATGGCAGCTCCAAAGGGACTAGGACCCGGGTGCGGGGGCTGCCACCACACCGAGCTCTTGGGCTGACTGACTAGCAGAGCTGCATCCCCCAACAGGGTTGTTTTTTCTCTTAAGTGGGCTCCACCCCCAATGTGGGGCTTGAACCCACAACCCTGAGACACAGAGTTGCATGTTCTACCCTGAGCCAGCCAGGCGCCCCCTTCAGTAGGATCTTTAATGTTAAAATACTTCACCTGTCTGATCAGGTTAAGAAAAGCAAGGCCACCCCCATGATGCCCACTTTGGCTTTGTCTGGCTGTGGGGGGTGGAGACATCACTGCCGGGGGCAGGGGCAGCCTCTTGGCCACCGCCGTGCATCACCCCAAAGCCGTGCACGAGAGAGAAGCATGAGGAGAGCCCTGATGCTGGGCCATGGCCAGGTCAGAGGGAGGGGACAGAGGGAGCGCAGGGAAGCCCAGGGCGGGTTCCCAGGAGACGCTGTGGAAGTACCTTGAGGTCCCTCCGCTCCAGGTGCAGGAGCTCGGAGCCCCGGATGTCGTGCCGCGTGAAGATGTCCTTATACTCACAGAGACTGAGGTGCTCCAGCCAGGCAGCAACCTCCTCTGTCCCCCAGAGGTGAACTGTCAGAGACGGAAAAGCACGAATGCAGTGAGTGCCCAGAGCCCAGCGCGAGGCAGGTGGCAGCTGGCGCCTGAGACACCCCAGCAGCAACGTCCTAAGACACCCCAGCAGCCAGCACCCACATGCCCCCGACAGCTAGCGCCCGGGACAGCCCAGCAGCCAGCACCCGAGACAGCTCAGCGTCTGGCTCCTGGGATGCCCAGCTCCCCACACGCCCGCCAGTAGGGACCCCACACAGGCCCCCCGCAGCCAGCACGGCCGCCCAGCCACAGGCACCACCCAAGCCACCCAGAAAGCAGCAGGAGAGCCTCCGGCTCCCAAGGGGCGTGAGCTACAGCAGGGGCTGCGGTCTGTTCCTGCCAGGACGGCCCTCAGCGCCCCTGGAGGGACTGGGCAAACACCCATGTGACTGTGCCGCTGAAGCCAGCCTGAAGCCAGCCTGCCTTCCTCTCTAGAGGCTTCGCTTTGCTTCTGGTCCACGGCAGGAAGGGAAACAGGCAGAGATTTCATGGAGTCAGAGCCACCGTCATTAAAAGAAACCCAACTGCTGGACAAACATGCGAAGAAGAAAACTAAGGGAGCGACCACTACCCCCAAATCCAAACCCGGGGCTGCCCGGCACCTGAGCGCCCTGGAGACAGCCATGCTCAGAGCCGGCCCTCCGGACAGAGATTTTAAGCCCCGATTTACAGATTCCCCCCAAAAATGTCGAGTGCCATTTTCTATCCAGGTCCTGGCCCACAGGCGCTGGTGGCCTGGGCGCCAGCACGGGGCCTGAGTGCAGGAGCCAGTGGCTGGGGACCAGCAGCCCCTCCCAAAAGACAGGCCCAGGGGGCCCTGCACAAGACTCGAGTGTGAGCTCCGCGTCTCTGAGTGTCCTGTCACCTCTGCTGTCCCCCTCTCGCCTCGCACCCCCCATCCAGGGCAGGCAGGCAGTGTGGGGTCAGTCCCCGGAGTCGGCACAGGGAGGGGCCCGGGGTGGGAGTGACAACGAGGGGCAGGAAGCCAAGGAGCAGTTCGGCAGCCACAGAGACACCGCGGCACAGGCCGCGACAGGGCTGGTGGTCGGGGACCACGGGAGAAAGCAGAGACCACGGGGCCCCCGCGGGCGGCGCGGGCAGCCAGAAGGACAGCGGGAGGGCAGGTACCCGGGGCTCCCAGGCTGCTGCGAGCTTCTCTGTTCTTGCTGTTTTTCTCTTTCTTAAACTTGGTCACCAGGCGGAACTTGCCGCTGCGGCTGCGTTTGGAAAGCTCCAGCATCACATTCTGTGGGGAATGCAGAGACAGCGTCAGGCCAGAAGAAACTGGGTGGGGTGGCTGGGGGGTGGGGGGCGGGCTGGGGTCCCTGCTTACTCAGTCTGGCACCCCCTGGGGTTCTGTAACACCTTTCACAGGTGGTTTCACAGTGATCACTCAGTGTCTAATTTCACATCCCATTTCCTTCATTTTAGACCCTGTTTCTCATGTGATTAGAAAGCTCCATAAATACCAGTGCATTCTACCAAGACCGTCCAGTGGGTCACAGTCCCGCACAATACACGTGTGCACACGTACTCCCCCTGTATTCACAAACAAGCATAACTTCCGTACTTCCCAGGACTGCCTGTCTCGTCCTGCCCCTGAGGGCCAGGACTCTGCCCAGGCCCTGTCTACGACGTCCCCACACTGACCCACACAGACTCGGCAGCTTTATGACACTTTCAGATCTGAAAGGGACATGTGGTCCCGCTAAAAAAAATGCCACAGGGATTTTCATTAGAATTGCACCAAATCTCAAGTGGGGGAAGAGTACGTGTCCTCACGCTCGGGAACGTGTGTCATGCCTCCAACCCTCCCTGTGCCCGACAGGCCCCCTTGCGGGTTTCCCATCAGAGGCGTCTCAGGCTTCAGGTGAGAGACCTCTCACAATAGGATTTCTAACGGATGGCTGCAGTACTCCGGGAACTTATCTCCACAAATTTCTTATACTTGGCAAAATTACCAACCATCAATTCTAACAGCTGCCGCACGAAGACAGACCACTGGCTCCCAGGTGACGGGCTCTTCCGTGCGGACACTGGCAGGCGCCTGCCTCACTCCTCAGTGCTCCCGCAGGAGGGGCGCCCAGCGACCCGCAGTGACCCACAGCTGCCCTCCTGCATGGCCCAACAGCATCCTATGCCTGACTTTACAGTTTCTTTTATTAAATGCATATGAGGATTACATTTACTTCTAACTTTTTTTTTTAAATATTTCACATTCGTTTTTTTTTTTATTTTTATTTATGATAGTCACAGAGAGAGAGAGAGAGAGAGAGAGAGAGAGGCAGAGACATAGGCAGAGGGAGAAGCAGGCTCCAGGCACCAGGAGCCGACATGGGATTCGATCCCGGGTCTCCAGGATCGCGCCCTGGGCCTAAGGCAGGCACCAAACCGCTGCGCCACCCAGGGATCCCTATTTCTAACTTTTAATGTATTTTCATCCGTTCATAAAATGGGATGACCAGCAGAATGAGGCTGATTATCAACATGTGATCTTACCCCATCTCCCCACCTTTTAAATTAAGCAAATTTCAGACATCAAACTCCCCTCCCAAATACTTCAGTATGCAACCCTAAAACAGGAGCACTCTCTTAAAGCACCTAACCACAGCACTATCCTCACACCGTCACAAGTCATTTACATCAATAATATTAAATCTCCCTGGCCGTTCCAAAGGCTTATCCTCACAGCTGGTGTGTTTGGATCAGGACCCTCACAAGGGCCACAGGGACATTCAGGAAAACCAGCTGTCTATCCGGTAAGACGGTTCACGTTCTGACTCGGACCCACACCGACACGGGGCCAGCATGGAGCTGCTCACCGGATCCAGACTCACACCTTCAGACATGACAAGGTCACCGGCAGCACCACAGGCTTGCGACTGCCTCCTGATCGGTGAGGCCTCCGTCCACTTCCTGGGGTCAGTGACTTCTTCCACCACCCACCTATAACCCTCTGGAAGTACAGCGCTTACGGGGGTGGGGGGGGGGGGCAGGGCACAAAATGGCCTTTCCGTCCCTCTGCACTTTCCAGCTGGAAGTCTCTTATAAAGAACTACTTTTAATTATTTGATTTAAAGAAACGGTTTTTATGGATCTACTGATAATATGCAATTTTGAGATCAGATGTGCTAGTTAAAAAAAAACTTTCAAAGTTCTGACGATTTGCTTCGTGACATGTGAATATGCTCAACACTACTCGAACTGTACACTCAAAAACAACAGATATGGTAAATTCTATGAGTTTCTTATCATGACTTAAAACAGGAACTGAAATAATGTCCATCTTTTCCTAGCTTTGATGCTATTTCTCATATATGGAAATGACATATCATATCCCTTGACATTTTTGATCTTTTCAAGTTGTCCTGTGGCTATTCTTCCTTAAACATCTTCAGACTTCAGTCTGTATAAATTTTTTTCTGAAAATTCATCAGTTTCAGCAAGATTTTTAAATTAGCATTTCTTTGAAAATAGTATAATTGATTTATTCTCTTATCTATTGTTACCTGACCCTTACCACTTCACGTCGTCCAATCTTTCCTTGATTATATGCCACAGAGTGATTTAATTTCTTGTACTTTACAGTTAACTTCTGAACAACATAGAAGTCAGGGATGCCATGAAGTTGAAAATCCATGTGTAACTTCTGACTCCCCAAAGAGCCTTACTGATAACATAAACAGTCACTGCATATTTGATATGTGTATCACATACTGTATTCTTACAGGAAAAAAAAGCTACAAAAAATAAACAGTTAAGAAAATCCTATGAAAAAAATACATTTACAGTACTGGACCATATTTAATGGAAAGAAACCTGCATATAAGTGGACTCACAGAGTTCAAACTGTATTGTTCAAGAGTCAGCTGTACTTGCTAAGAACTAACTCGCAGATTTGTCAGCTCTTTTTCTTACTTTCAAATAAATAACTGTCTTATGTTTATTCTAGTAGAAATGTGGCACCATCCCCTTCACGCTTCCCTTTGCCCACTCTACGTCACCTCCATCTCTCCCCTGTGTGGGCGAGACTGAGCCGGAGTCCCAGAGACTGGGAGCACTGAGCTGTGAGGCAGCCAACAGAAAGGGTGGAGAAGTCAGGAGCCCTGGGGAGCCCAGAAGGTGCCAGGAGCAAGTGTGGTTTTCCTTTCACTCCTGGGATACCTGGGTGCAGTTTCTGGCCTTAGGTTCTCTGGGATGAACACCTACAAAAACACTAGCCCAGTCCCTGCTGGCTCTACCCTCTCTGGCTCCAGAGGGTTTCTGGTTTTGCAACTAACCTGCCACTGACACCACCTGTTATCCTGCACTGTCTCACCAGCCCACAGCTAGGAGCCCTAGAAACCAGGGCCACTATAAACATGGCTTGAAGGATTCCTTAAGTCAGATACCCAGGGGGGACTTGTGCTGGTTTGTCTTTGCAGTGGCCATACATTTGGTGATATTTGTTTGAAAATATTTTTCGACTTAAAGTTTTGGAGCCACAATCCCTGAAACAGGAGCTTTTAGTACTAAGACCTAAACGTCCCAAACAAACCAAGTGGTCTGGTCACCCTGCAACCAGGCACCTGCCTGCAAGTCTCCCCGTGCAGCAGCTGCTACACTGGTCATGAACTGAGGAAAATCCTAGCCCTCCGCCCATCCTCAGAGGGAACCTGCATGCAGAAGGAAGCTACCCACCACGGGGAGCGCACGGGAGCACAGCGCCCACAGCTGACAGCTGGTACAACGTCTATTCTGAGTTGGTATCTGAGGTTTCCTGTGGCCCAGCACTGCACTGCTCAAACCACCCCTGGAAGGGAACCAACTGTAACAATTCCTCTGTAGTGGACTGATACTTTAACGAAACACAGTAAAATAAATCACTAAAAAGAAAAGAAAAGAAGAAAAGAAAAGAAAAGAAAAGAAAAGAAAAGAAAAGAAAAGAAAAGAAAAGAAAAGAAACCAAAATGGGACATATAAAATATAAGCCTCAATTTTTTATTAATTTCAGGAGAAATAATATTTTTCTGTAAGTTGCTTAAAAGTTTCTAAACTCTTCCTCTCAATTTCTGTAACAAAGAATTTTCCCATCAGTAGCACTTCTCTAGAATATGATCCAATTTTGAAAATGTCCTGTGGGCAACAGGAAAAAATATATATATTCCCTCTTTACAGAGAATAAAATTATCTCTAGAGAGACATGATATACTTATACACATACACATATGCATATATATATATATACACATAATTTTTCGATTTTCTTTTGTCTGTATACCATGATACAGTTTACTTCATTACTCATGGACTGACAGTGATAGTTTCTATCACTTTCTCTCATTTCAAGAAATTTTTGCTTTAAGGATTTTTATCTAAGTTAAAATTAAAACTTGGGGAGTAGTCACTAAATGAATAGACAGATAGTATGTATTTCCAAACTACTAGAAGGGACAATGAGAGTTGTGTGTGGGAGGAAAGAGAGACTTAACAAATCAAAAAGGAGAAACTAAAACAAAAAAAAGTGAGATAAATACTAAATACAAAATATGGCAAAATATACAGATAAATAGGTCAGTAATCATAACGAATATAGACTGAACTCTCCAGTTATCCACAGACTGGATAAAAACTCAATTTGACAATATGCTATTTCTAAGACACTCCACATAAAGCTAGAAAGAAAAAGTATGGAAATGAAAATACCAAACAAGAAACTTAAAAAGAATTACTAAGGGTCTTTACGTAATGATTAAAACCTACATGCAGCCAGTAACATAACCTTGAAACACAGAAAGCAAATACAAAACCACAAAGATATACTGAGATATCTACATTCATGGTCAGAGAGTTCAACAGTTAACGGATAGACCAAGAGGACAAAAATAAATTTTATGATCATAGAATTATTATATTTTACCAATATAAAATGATCTTATCATTTACTGAATTTCTATTTTTATGTTAATATTTACTTTAACATTTATGTGTTTTCTTAAAATTGTTTTAATCTTTGTCAAAGTTTTAACTAGGAATAGGGAGAGAAAACTGGATTCTTGTGATTGTGTTAAAAAGGAAATCTAACAATATACCAATCCTAATTTGCTTTTAAGAGGGGAAGCTATATCATTTTCTATTATCTTACTTGTATGCTGTTAGCTACATCTTTTAAGTCCTTCTTTTTTTGTTTTTATTTAAATTCTAGTTAGTTAACATGTCGTGTAATATTGTTTTCAGAAGTAGAATTTAGTGATTCATCACTTACATAGAATACCCAGTACTCATCACAACTAGTGCCCTCCTTAAGAGTCATTACTCATTTAGCTCATCCCCCCAATCTCCCCTCCAGTTCTCTGTAGTTAAGAGTCTTTTTATTTTTTGCTGTGGAAAACCTGATTTGGAGAACATAAATATTTTCAATTCTATTAGAAACCAGCTTTAAGATTTTTTTTTTAAGTTTTTAAAGATATTATTAACTCTGCATTTCCCTAAGCATCAAAGTCAAGAACCTTTTTGAAAAGTTTCCACCTTTGGGACGCTTGGGTGGCTCAGCGGTTGAGCATCTGCCTTTGGCCCAGGGCATGATCCTGGAGTTCCGAGATCGAGTCCCACACTGGGCTCCCTGCATGGAGCTTGCTTCTCCCTCTGCCTGTATATCTGCCTCCCTCTCTCTTTGTCTCTCATGAATAAATAAATAAAATCTTTAAAAATAAAAATAAATAAAATTTTCCACCTTAATATGCCTTCATTCCTCTGTCCATACCTTCTTCCCAGCCTCCCCACCTCACTATTTCACAAGCTTTGATAACTTAATCTGGAAATAAAGAGCTATGTTACTGTTACATCTATTAAATATTTTATACATTATTATTTTAGTAATTCTCTTTCAAATGAAAACTTTATAATTAACAAACTAATTTTGATGAGCTTGGCCAGGCCTTTTAAACCAAAATGTCCTCATACTTAAGCTGCTGAGTTTTGTTGTTTCACTGGAAGGCCTTGGAGTCAGTTTTCCATGCAGGGTTTGCATTTGTCAACCAATGCCTGCATACTGAAGAGTGGGATAGACTGCTGTAGCCTTCCTCTGTTCCCTTACCTTACTGCTGCCACAGCTTCTAACAAACAAAACTGGCAGTAGGAGTGCCAGATGTGTCATGTCTAACAGCTCTTTCTCTTGCAAGACTGCAGTACCCTAACCTAGATGAACTTTTCTCCTGACCCACTTCTGTTCTATCCCTGAGGAAAAAAACAATCTATAGTTCATCTTTATCAAGACGCTGCCCACAAAACTGACCATCTAAACAGGCATCTCTCCTGGGTTCTTCACCTGCTGCAGGAAGCAACAATACCAGGGCGCAATATGCCCAGCATCCTATCTGTCCCTGCTAGCGGGAGTATGGCAAGCTGAAGACTCTAATACGTGCAAAAGAAAATTGTGAATGAGTGGAATATACCAGCTCTGTCCCTGTCAACAACAAAGAAGCTGCCATTTATCCAACTAATGTGTCTTGACACCAGGGCCAAAAGTGTGGCTAGGCTCAGCCTTCCATCGACTTCCTAGCCAGCCCCGCCCATCTGTTTCTGAAGGCAACAGGGCCCTAGTCATCAAGGACTGTGCTCAATACTAAGTCCCAGCTCCTTCCTACCTGCCAGTCTTTTTCCATACCCCTGAGGCATTTTAACAGAGAAGTCTTGAGGAAGCCACCACAGGGGCTGCAAAATGAGACGCCACCTTAACCTCAAAGCCACACAGATCACAGTGATCACAGTACTGAAGGAAGAGGCACTACATGCAGGGATGCCCAAGCTGAAGCCCTGGGACCCACATACCTCTTCATCACCAGGCTCCATGGGCTGGCACAACCAGGGGGTGTCCGCCAGCTTCCTGAGCTGCTGGTCCATCTCTGTGAGAGCAGCCCCAAGTCGCTCTTTCTGAGGAGGATCCAACTGCTGCTCCAGGCAGGAAGGAAAGAGACACACAGCTGGTTATTAGCAGTGAGGCGTTAGGGCCACAGCAAAGCCCCCACACAGGCACGCAGTCTGTTCCAGGGGAAGCGATCTGTTTTTCAGAGAGTTCTCATAAAAAAATTCCTAAGGATGGGATGCCTGGGTGCCTCAGTGGCTGAGTGTCTGCCTTTGGCTCCAGTTGTGATCTCAGGGTCCCAAGATCGAGTCCCACATCAGGCTCCCTGCGTGGAGCCTGCTTCTCCCTCTGCCTATGTCTCTGCCTCTTTCTCTGTATCTCTCATGAATAAATAAAATCTTGGAAAAAAAAATTCCTAAGGAAACTATGCCATACAGCACTGGATAAGGGGCCAAATTCAGAACCTCCCCTTCTGAGTAGGATCAGGTAACGCAATTAAAACTCTCCTTTCATAAATAATGGAATAAACCAAGCTTGTCTAAAAACTGAATTAGCAGAACTGACATCACACCTATTTCAGTTTAACCGGGGACCTCTACATCAGAGAGAGACAGGACCAGTCCACCTGCACCGGAGTGCAGGAAATGCTATGAGGTGGCAAAGGGGCAGCTGTCACATTCAGAAGAGCAGACTATTTTGAAATGAAGAACAGAGGACACGGAAACCTTTTGGAGTGGTTCTCCAGAAGGGTGATCTTCAAGTCACTCCATCTCCTTTATTTCCATGTCATTTTTTAAAATGAGAAGGTTGGCCAGGCCATCCCTTGAGTTTTCCCTATTCTAGCTTCAACAATTTGGTGAAACCCCACCTGCATGCTTGCCGAGGGCTGACTCCTCAGCCAGGTTTGCAGGCCTGAGTGAGAAAGGATGACAGCACTGTGTGTCTGAGCGCAAGGCCCACCTGCCCGGTCACAGGCTGATAGCTCCATGCCTGCAGACTTCTAAAGCAGAACCCTGTGTGCGGCAACAAAGGTTCTGTCCTCTTGTTAGGAGTCTAACAAGCTAGAGATGACGTGCTTGAGATGTGGCCAGAGGGTTTGAGAGCCAATCATATGGCCAGATCAGATGACCTCCAAGGCCCCTTCCAGCACGGAGGCTAGAATTCTAAAGTGTGCTGCCCTCGGTACAACAATGGTCACTGCATGCGCACGAGAAGCCAGCCTCTCAGCTTACCAGGGCCATCTTCCCAGCCAGCAGCAGTTCCGTCTCACTGCGCAGAGCTTTGATGTTATTCACCATTTCCAGGACAAAGCTACAGTTCAGCCCCTGAGAGGAACCAGAAGGACAACCATGTAAGAAGGCCTAAGGGCTACAGGACTCCAAAGGAGTAAGACCCAAAAAGCACAGGCACCTCTGTAGTTCTGGGCTTGCCGTACACCCGGTCCATGGACTTGGAGCTGGCATTGACGGCGTGGGCAAGTTCCTGCTCCATGTCTTGATGGGACTGAGCTATCTCTCGGATACTAAAAGGAAAGAAACACGGCACTCATCAGACCAGGTGAAGGGGCAGTCTATAAGGTCACCTTGCTTGAACACAGGCCCAGGGTCAGCCCAGAGGGCCAATGCAGACACAGCTTAGCCAATGGCAAACAGACCAGGTCTTAAACAGGAGATGTGACATCAAAATCCAAGTTTTTCCAGCAACTTGACCAAGGAGAAACATGCCCAAAGTGAGACTCGGGCCCTGTACAACAGCAAGCTAACAGGTACATGGTTTGCAGGCCTGCTGTGTGGAGACAGCTGATCAGTCCTGAAAGGAGACTTTGCCTCCTCACTCTATAAATGAGGATGACAGGACGCTTTCTCAATGGGGACGACCCTGGATCAAAAGGCCCAGACGCCAGGACACGGCCCCAAGCAGTAGCCCCTTGCCCAAGGGACCCACATGAATATAGGGTGGTGACGGGGTCAGACACAGCAAGACCACCAGGGACAGAAGGAGCACACAGGTCAGGGAAGCTGCATGGGGACCACTTGTCCTTCCCTGGGGAAAACCAGAAGCTGGGTTTTAAATAAGACAGTAAGATGGCAAGCCCCGCTCTGTGGGGCCACCAGAGACTTTGAGGGGACGAGAACGAAGACAGAAGGAAGCTCAAAGCCTGTTATACAGCAAGGAACTGAGAAAAAACGTTAAGCAGTGAAGTCATCCAGCCGGGATACAGATTTGGCCGTGGAGGCGGGCGGTGGCAGAAATGGTGCCGGCCACTTGAGACAGAGGACACAGCACAGGACATGCTCTCGGGGGAGTGGACCCCGAAGGATCCATGGAACCAGAAGTGCCCACGAGAATCCTGGGAGAGCTCCCCACCCACAGACCAAGGGTCTGAGGCCTGGGGAAAGGGCAGGAGGAGAGCTGCCCAGGAAGGGCACACACAGCCCAGAACCTAGAGGGCTGCGGTGCTTCTGGCGGGGGCAGAGGAGGAGGAAGCCACACAGCAGCACAGAGGCAAAGTCCAGGAGCACCAAGCCAGCGTGCAGCCTCAGGAGGTGACTGGGGAGAGGAAATATGGTTGAAAACCAGAACCAGTCAGCAGCTGAAGAGGGTCAGGGGATCTGGCAACTGAGAGGACAAAGGTCACCAGTCTGAATGACCCCTCCGGAGTGAGGCACGACGGCAGCCAGCACCTGGGGCAGGTAGAGAGAAGGGACAGTGGCAGAGCAGGACCACCGTCCTGGAAGGTCTTCCCCGGGAGCCACTTCTCAAAGGCACAGTAAGAGAAGGAAATGCCTTTGGTCTCAATTGTTCTGTTTTCTTTTAATAACTGTAAGATTTGTTTTTTAGTAACAAACCTGCTCTCTGGGATAAAGTATAAGAGGCAGTAAGTGGACTAGTCTGTGGAATCCAGGACAGGTTTTTAAATCTGTGGGCTGGCTCTGGAAACACCTGTGGATTTTAAGCTTCCATCCGAGCAATCTCTGAAAGCCAATTTGTGGAAATGAACCACAGGGAAGAAAGCAGAAACCCCAGCTGGGGGCCCTGGGATGGAGGCAGACTGGCACATAAGACGGGGGAAGAGGAACGCCATGCCTGCCCCCTGCGGCGAGCACGGAGCCCGGAGGCCATCAGGGGCCCAGGAGCTCCAGCAGGGAGGAGGCCAACGGGACAGGGAGGGCGAGGGCCCACCTGTGGATGAGGGCTCCCGCCGCCTGCCCGAACTGGTCCATCTGGGTGGCCTCTTCCTCAGACAGGATCTCCGGGTGCAAAGAGAAAGATGGGGGGCGAGGAAGCTCGCACTTCTGCTTGTCTTCCCAGGACTTCAGGGTGTTCTCAAATGCCTAGGGCACAGGACCGCACTATCACACCGTGCACCGCTCTCTCTCGAGAGGGGCAAGCACATGTCCAACAGCAAACACTGCTGTGACACTAGCTGAACAACAGCCAGAAAGGGAGAGCCAGAACTGTTTCACGCTGAGGAGGGGAAGGGTCCTGGAAATTACACCCCTGTTCACTTAATCTCTGTGTCTAACAAAAGTCAGTTCCTAGAATAAAACACTAGAAACTCCAGGCCTTCTTCGAGGAGGCACACAGGCGTGCCCGCAGCTAAGCCCTGGGACTGGTCTGCTCTCTCCGGGGCCCCGCAGGCAGCCTTTCTCACTTACCCTATCTCTGGTGAGTGTCTGCGCCCGGTTCTTGTGGATGATCCGAATGTATCCTGGAGGCTGGATCCAGGCTTCTCCGTCCACCTGCACAGGTACGCCCTCATCCCCCAGGATGGAAATCTTCACCGTGCGACACTGAGCAAACATCACAGCCGTTAGCTGTACACTGCGCAGAACCAAGGAGCCTAGAGGCTGCATCTCAGCACCGTAGGGGCCTTCCTGTCCTACACGCCCCTGCACACAGCAGCTGACGTATGGGATGACACCACGCCTGCCACCAACCACCACCGCAATCAAGGCATCCCTGAGTGGGCCCAGCTTATGAATCCCAAGGGTATGTCCCACCCCTGCCATCCCCAAACCCAGCACTGCATCTGTGACCACAGCGAGGAGACCTCAGGGGTCAGATACAAGCACAGGGCCCTGCACACATACAAACACCTCCCAGAACAGGGTAAACCCTGTTAATGATGCACTGTTTCTCTTTTCAACAAAAAAATCCTGCTTGAGAGTTAAAATCATAAAATTCAAACACCCCACCCTATATGGGTGCAGACCGAGGCCAGAAGGACTGGGAAGCGTTTGCCTGGGGTCCCAGTGGGCTAGGTTATCAGCCTCCCCGCTCCTTATGCATAAGAACACTGCCCTCCCCAAGCTGTCACCAGAAATAATAAGTACTAGGGGATCCCCCTCCTGCCTCCCCTCTCCAGCGGGGCTGGAGAGATGCCAGGTGAGACCACACTTTCTCCATGGCTCACTGCTTGGCCTCCATTCTCAAACTCAGGCTGCTGCTGTGGAAGCTGTTGCCACGGGCCAAGTTCAATAGGGCCTGTCTCATCTCATCCCACCTCGACAAGAGGGGGCAGGGGACAGGTGGCACCCACAAAGAAAACCAGAGCAGGGAGCTCAGACAGGATTCACGTTGGCCCCAATTGTGAAAGACTGTTAACTGTCAAATACAGTGGGTGAGGAAGGGCTCTGGGCCTGGAGGCAGGGAGGGCCAAGGGCACTCCTAGAAGATCGCCCATTCTCTTGGGCTCTGTGTAGCAGGAATCCACTGATGGACACTGGTTCTGGGCCAGGCCCTGCCTCTCCAAACGTGTATGAGCCAGACTGCCTCCCAGGGTCCTCCCACCTGCAGGACCACGGCCAGTACCTGGGCGATTCGGTGATGCTGCAGCTTAATGACACGAGAGACGGCCATCTGCATACTGCCAAACACAGCGACCACCTCCAGGATCTTATCATCAAACGACGGAGCTGCAAAAGTCTGCAAGGACCAGTGTTAAGAGCTGACCTCTGCTCCCGAACTTCCCTGCACACCCCTCTGTGCTCACTTTCTGGGCTGCTGCTCTGCTTAGAGAGAGACAGGGGCACTGCCAGGGGGTGGTGTGTCCTAGCTGAGAAGCAGCTGTGGGGGGGATGTGCTACTGAGGGGTTTTCTAGGAGAGGCCCTAACACCAGCTGCCAGGAATCAAATCTCTGAGCTGGACTAGTAGTGTGACCCCAAGCAAGTCACTTAATTTCTCTTGTCCTCGGTCCCCCCATCCGTGGAATAACACTGGTACGCTCTTATGAGGACTGGGGTAATGTGGGCCTGGTGCTTAGAACGGCTCCCAGAGCCTCTCAAGGGTGTAGTTCATGTGAACTATTTTTGTTGGCTATTATGTATGAAGGAAGCCACACCCCTGGTTAAAGGCAATCAATGCCTCCCACAGTTCTTACAGAAACTCCAAACTTCTTCCCCAGATTACACAACTGCACCTGAGCTCTAACTTGTCTGCATCCCACCCACTGCGCACCGTGCGAGAGAACTTTCTCCACACCACATCCTGTCTCACCACTAAGCCTTCTCATACGCTGTTCCAGCAATCCCCTGGAGCAGCCTCTCCAACCTGCACCCTCCCCTCACCTGACCTGCCAACCCCAAGTCTCCCTTCAGGTCTGTGTAGATGTCTCCCCGAGAAGCCTTCCCAGACTGCCCCACATTGGAGTCGGGCCTGGCTTCTACATCTATACCCCTGACCACATCTGTCCTACTCAGCTTCTCTTCTCGTGAGCAGGGGGACCACCCTATCTGTCCTGTTCTCCACTGTACCCCCAACTGCCAGCACAAGGAAGGAGTTCTGTCCACACCTCTGCACCACCAACAGAGCCCCAAGAGCTAGAATGCTCCACTGGGGCCTGAAGTGGTGGATACCCACACCCAGCTTGGGCCCATGCCACCCAGGACCCCAGTACGTACATCATCTTCCTTGGTGCCCCCCCAGAAGTTGGTCCCTCCAGCATAGCTGGGAATGTTGAGGACGGCAATTCCCTGGAGACTGGGGAGTGGGATGGGTCGACCATCACACTGAGCAGTGGAAATCCCAGAAAAAGAAAAAGGGAGAGAGAGAGATGCACAGGATGGACCTGGTCCTTCTTCACTAGAAATCCTGCCTCCCGCCCACTTCTGGCCCAGACTGAGGGAGTCTCCACCCGGCCAGGAGAAGGGCTAACAGGAGGGCAGACGGGCCCCTGCCTGCCGCAGTCACAGGAGACCCCCACCCCACTCACCTCCAACAGGACCTTCTGCTCCAGGTTCTTGTAGGTTCTGTGTAGCAACTCTTTGGTCCCGAGAACTCCGTACCACATCATGTTCTTGGTCCGACTCCTGTGGGCGGAAAGCAAAGAACACATGGCCTCTCAGCTCTGTTTCTACAGAGAACTACAGTCGCTGCTGAGAACTTCAGGAAGGCATCTGATCACACACCGGTCAGATGCAACAAGCACTCCCAGCACGAGGACTTCCCTCGTGACGTGTCTGTGAGCTATGCAGAAAGAAATACATCTGTTGATGGAAAATTCTGCTAAAAAATAACACTCCCGAGAAAGTAATTTCCAGACATTACAGAACCTCACAAAAAAACTGATGATGAGCAGCCCGGGTGGCTCAGCGGTTTAGTGCCGCCTTCGGCCCAGGGCCTGATCCTGGAAACTGGGGAACTGCTTCTCCCTCTACCTACATCTCTACCTCTCTCTCTGTGTGTCTCTCATGAATAAATTAAAAAAACAAAAAATAAACGGATGTGTTTTTTTTCCAGCTGTAAAATTATGCTCATCACAGAAATTGATAAGTGCAGAAAAGCACAAAGGAATGAATAATCCTCATAATCCCCACATCTGTACGACTGGCAATAAAAAACTTCGCTGTGTTCCCTCAACTTTTTCTAGGTATTTGACTTATGGGTACAACAGCCGTCTCCAGTCTCCTGCCTGACTCTGTGCACTTGGCCCTGCACCCTGTGCCCCGAGGTGGGGCTGACCCCAGCGGGGTACCTCCCCATCGTCGCTGCTCAGCCTTGCCCCCTCTGACTGGACCCAGCCAGTTCCCACTCCTGGGCTCTGTGTATTACAAGGCACTGGTCCCTTTGCACAACACCTCTTCTCAAACATTTCCAGTTACTTCTTTAGGAAAGACTCATAGATGGGGCGCCTGGGTGGCTCAGCAGTTGAGCATCGCCTCTGGTTCAGGGCGTGATCCCAGGGTCTTGGGATCGAGTCCTGCATCGGACTCCCTGCAGGGAGCTTGTGTCTCTGCCCCTCTCTCTATCTCTCTCTCTCTCTCTCTCCCTCTCTGTCTCTCATGAATAAATAAATAAAATCTTTAAAAAAAAAAAAAAAGGATAGACTCATAGAATTGGAATTCCTCTTAGACCTTTTCAAAGCCCTTAATACAGACCCAGGGAGTGTCCTATCTGGGTCCCAAAGCTCTAAGAATGTATTGTCTATCGTCCTCCTCACCTATTTTACTGTTAAATTGTATACATTTTAATTACTTTTTCAGTTATTCTTAAATGATTCAGACTCACCACCACGTGCTATATAACAGAGATGTCCCTGGGGGCCTCTGAAGCCCCTTCCTCCACTCAAGAGCCCCAGAGTTCAAAGTTTCTTGAATTCTTATACTTGATTTTGTTTTCCCAGAAATTTCCAACCACACAGAATGTGGGTGATCACCAGAGCAGCTCCTCAGGTGTGTGACCCCCTCCCACCCAGCTCCCCCAGAGACACCCCTCCAGGTGATAATGGCACCAAGCAAGCAGGGGCACACAGACCGGACGGAACAGCGAGCGAGTCTGCAGGCTCTCCAGCAAGGGGCCCCTCAACTCCTATGTCAATGGCTGTCTCTGTCCACACTCACGCCAGCTTCTCCCTCACTAGTTCTAGAATGTCAAAGCTGAACAGTCTCCTCCTCCAGGAGGGATGAGGAGGGAGATGCTAACTCCTGCTTCACTTCTCATATTTCCACGGAGACAGAATTTCCACTTCAACCCAGGAGGAAACCTGCCCATTCCTCTCCATCCCCTCCCTAGGCCGGGAGGGGCGAGCAGATATAATTTAGAGGAAGAAACTGAACGTCTCCAGGGACACCCCTCGGGCCTCTCATGTGGCTTTCTGTGGAGGGCGCCTTCTCCTGGGATTTGTGGGGAGCCAACCAGGCCGCCCAGGTCTGCCTGGTGGTGAGGAACACACAGACCCGCCACCAACGTTGCCAGGGCCTCTCAAGTCTGGCACAGTAACTTCTTAGCAAACTGTATGTCGCCAGGCCCTTCACAGCATCACCACGGACTGTCGACTCTCCAGAGACTCGGACGAGACCCTTCCAACTGACCACAGTCACTCATTTTCTCATGTGGAATTTGAGAGATGGAACCCTCCTCCAGGCTGCCCTCTTAGACTCCAACTTGCTCCCAGCCACATCTCGTAAAAGCACCTTCCTTCCGACAACAAGACATTTGGGCTTTACATATGCCTTCTGCCTTAGCACTGTGTGCCCTTTACCTCGCAGACTCCAGAAGTCCTCGCTTCCCGGAAGGAGAAGCGAGGAGGGTGCAAAGGGCAGGTGTGCACACAGGCCACCACCTACCTGCACTTCTCTGGGTGCTCATCACGCTTGTTGTTGAAGTCCAGGGAAATCTTCGCATCCAGGCCAATGCCAAAATAATTGTTCATGACGCACTTCTCTGTGTAATACTCTCTGCAAAGGGGGAGTCAGTCCAGTGAGAACAATCCTAGCTCATTTAGTAGCCTCTCAACCTCCAAGCATCTCTCACTGAGGGCAAAACTCATGGCTTGTTCTTCAGGAGCATCTTTATTGACACAGAACTCATCCCACCCAACATAACCATTTAAAATGTAGGACTTGGTGATCTTTAACATACTTGGTCACGTAACCGTCGCTACTATCCATTTTAAGACATCTCATCACCCCAAAAGCAAGCCCCCAGCCCTTAGCCATCAGTCCCTAAACCCTCCTCAACTCCGGCAACCACGAATCTGCTGTCTCTATGCTGTGCCTATTCTCAAGTTTCATACAAATGGAATCCAGAGTGCGAGCATCATGATTTTGGGGCTCGTTGGGCTCAGGACCTCATCCCTCCTAATGGCTCCACAGTACTCCGCTGTAGATGTGTGAGCACCAGTACACATGCCAGAGTGAACAGTTTCCCTCCTCCTGGGCCTCATGGACACTGGGTTTTGAGGTACCACCAGACTTTCCCAGAGCAGCTGCACCGTCTCACACTCCCCACCACGCTCTCAGGCAACATGAAACCTGACGATATCTATGGCACATATACTCACATATCTTCAACCGTGGGTCTCAGAATGTGCCTCAAACACCCCCAGACCTGATCAAAGTCATCTCCAAATGTGAAAACGTCCATCCCAGCCCCCATGGCAGCCCCTGCCTTCCCCGTGTCCACCATTGATGAGACTCATTTAACTCCAGCTTCTCAGCCCATCCCCTCCCCTCGGCAATCATCGTGGCTGCAGGGGTCACACTAGGGCTCTGTAGACCCTCCTCTCCCTCCAGGGCAGCTGGTGTAAAGGAGTCCCTGACCCTCTGCCCGGAGAAAGCAGCAAGGAGGGGACATGCCTGGCATTCCTGGTGGTGGCTCCCACACAAACTACACAGGGAGTACTGTGTGGGTCAGAACTCTGCCACATTTAGGTTAACAGGCGTTTGAAGCCTGATTTGAGAAGCAATCACCACACGGACATGTTTTTATGACATGTCTAATCCAAGTGCCTAAAAGCTTAGTGAGAGCAAAGCACAACAAACTGTTTTCTGAGCAGAAGACCACATGCTGACCAGTATTTATAGGTCCTGGGAAAAGTGAAGGATCTGATCCAGAAAAACAGCTTGGGGACAAGGGAAGGAGAATGGAGAGACTGGGCACAGGGACCTGGGAAGTGGGAGGCAGCCAGGCCCCAGAGGTCCCGGCAGCATGACCATGAGTCTGGGGCCCCCCTGGCCATGGCCCTGGCGCGCCACCCTGCATGGACAGAGGACAGCAGCTTGTCTCCCCAGATGAGTCTCACCCCACGTGGACAAGAGGAAAAGACGATGCCTCCGCTGCCAGGTGTGGGACCTCACTGGTCTCAGGTGAAGGGAACAAAAGAAGTATCTAACTCAGGAGGCCCTATTGGGTGCTGCTCACGGAAGGCTGCAGCCCCTACTGAGGAAAACAGTGTCAGGACCCAAGCCCCAGAAGGGCCAGGGCAGCAGGTGAGAGGCAGGCAGACAGCAGTGTCAGGTCCAGGACAAGGACGCTGACGTGTCTAGGCAGGCTAGCATCTGGCAGCAGATGTCTGAACCGAGGCCACTCTGCACACTTCTGGCTCTGCTCTCCAGAACCCCAAGAGTCCGCACAAAGCTGCACATTTCTGTCACCCTCCACCACGCCAGACACACATGGCACGCATTCAACCAACTGCCACCAGCCACACTGCCCAGACCTTGCTACCAGCCAGCAGAAGGGAAACCCTAGAAGACCAGGTTTTCAAAATACCATCTGTTTCCACCATGGCCTGAATAAACTCCACTGACAGAGGCCTCGGTGCCTGAGAAACAGGGCAGAGGACATGGCAATGGCCCACAGAGCAGCCTGGGAGCCTTCTTCCCTGCGATCCCAAACCCAAGTATCTCCTAGATTTGGCCCCAGAGCCTAGGCCCCTGCAGGGCCAAAAGGGTAGAGCATGGGAAGAAGGGTGTCAGGACGAGGCACCAACACAGGGCCAGCCAGGGTCCTGGAGAGTGAAAAAGAACAAGGAGGGAGCTTCTGAACCCTCCGAAAACCTCAGATGTTGATGGATGTTCGGGAGCCACTGACACAAGATGGGGAGCTGGGATGAGCCAGGACAGGCTACTCCCATCACAGAACTTTCCAGCCAGACGCTTAGCTGAGGCACCACAGTTTCTAGGTTTTCCTTCTCAGCTAACGAAGCTGGAGGAGGATCTCCTCGTCAACGGTACATGAACTCCTCCAGCCAATTCCAAACCGGCTTTCTGGGCTCCAACATTCTTTAGCAACCCGTGCAGCCGCACCTGCTTTACCCCCATACTCACAGGTTTTCCGGTTCAGAGTTAAAGGGATCCGCGTTAATTAGTAAGCGACTGATGACAGAACCTCCAGGCAAGGAACCAGACATCCCAGCCCGAACATCTGGAGGGAGGGAACAGGGACAGACTGCAGGTCAGGATTCACTGGATTAGGAGACGCTCACGTCTTCTAGGCTGAGGCACTCTTTGACATGTTACTGTAATTAAACATCTCTCAATAATGTAGAAACAGATCCAAATGTTGACAATTAAGTGTTTCAGGCCAAAGATTACCACCATAAATCCATATTCATGGAGCAAAAACACACACTCTAGGTGGGAGAGACCAACACCTAGAAGACGTGTCAAAGAACGGCTTACAAAGTCAGTTCCATTACAGGTAAGAAGCTCCACCAAACGATCCCTTAGTACAAGTCATCTTAGCATTCAGCCGCACGGCTTTGAGAGGCTAAGTTCAGGAGACGTAAATAGGGAACAGCCCAAGTGACCAGAACCCTCAAGGAATCTGCATTATAATTTGAAAATGTCAAGTCCTGAGCACCAGGGCAGAACTGGAGCCCTGCCAGTCCACCCGTTCAGGGACATGTGTCTCTGATTAAACAAATACAGCTCGTTGGCCTCATTGCCCAAGGGCTTCTGGGACTTTCTTTCTATTCAGCTGAGATTACCTAGAAGTTGCCCAATCACTTATGGGAGCCGATGGTGTGACATGCACTCTGACAGGCCCAGGAGGGCTCAGGAAGTCACCTGAAGCTGCTTAAGGGGCTCCTACTGGCCATCTCAGTCCCAGTGCTAACCCTTCCTTCTGCAGACACAGAGAACTGTTACTGCCCTCTGGAGGGACGGTTACCTCCACCCCTACCTGGGCAAAATGAAAGCAAACATAGGAAGGTGGACTGGCCCAACTCCGTGGCCACTTGTGCCCTCCTACAATCATGCTAGAAACGACAGGATGACTCAACTGGCTCCCCACCACAACCTGCCCACCCCTCCCTCCTCACTCAGGATGATTCCTATTCATCCTTCAGTACCCAGCTCAACTATCCCCTCCTCAATGATGCCTTTCTGGGGCCTCTGGCAGCAATCTGGGGGCTGGCTGCCCTTTACAATAAATAAATGCACTTTTCATGCCATAATATCACTTTGAAACCTAGTTTCTGTTTCCCACAGACCTAAATATAAACTCTTGAAGGACAGGAACCGGGTCTCATTCATTCCCACAGACTCCATGCCAGGCAAAGCAGGAGGCCCCTGACGTCACTAGCTGGCAAGGTAGCACCCCACCTGCACCAGCCCACAGACACACACGGCCAACCTGTGGGGACACTCACTGGAGAACAGGATCTTGGTGTTCAGGGCTGGCAGGCCATCCCGGTTTCCTGACTGGGAAGGAAGAGAGGCAGAACTGCCCAGTGACAGACTTCCTTTGCTTATCAGCTTCTCACATGGGGATTTGGACACTACAAAAACAGAACAGAAACCCGTAAAACCATCCAAAATAGAACATTCCTGAAGCACTGGGAAAGGTCATTAGAGAAACAACTGCTGCTAAGGGCTGAGGGGAATAGGGAACGGTCACCAGCCCTGGTCAGCCCCCAGCAGAGGGTACGAGACAAATCAAGAGTCCAGGAGAGAGGAGGTGACCTGGGAAGGGGCCAGAGAGGCAAGTGGGTCTAGACACCATCTGGAGGCTGGGAGAGGGGGGTGGGGCTGACTCCCAGTCACAGTGGGGGCTGTGGGCGCCCAAGGAGGGCAGAGTGGAGCTCAGAACGGTAACGATCATGGAGTAAACACTCAGGCAGACACCTCCCAGCGGGTTGCACAGGCTACGAGGAGGGGGCTACACAGAGTCAGTCGGAAGGTGGTGCCTCTCCACAGCAACAGCCTGGGCTGGGAGCTGTTCCAAAGGGATAAGGAGCCCCAGCGGACAGCCCGTAGGACTAGGTGGTACCATAGCCAAAATGCCGGGTAGCCTGGCCTGCAACCACCTGCACGGGAATGCCTGAGACCTGCTGCACCTGGCGTGCATGGGCAGGTTCTAGGGAAAGCACACTCTTTCCTATGGGGTCCTGCAGGGACTTCCCCAGACAAGGGGAGGTGGTGCACGGAAACAGGCCATGCATTCGTGACTTTTTATAGTAAGAAGTCAAACTAACTATGAGAAGGGAACCTAAACCTTCCCAGGGCCAGCTTTCTGACTATGGCAAACCCCAGAGGCCTGAGCACTGTGATGGGGTCATCAGGACTGGCTGGTACCTTTGCGGAGGCTCCTGCCCTTGGCAACCCCACAGCTCTCAGTGGGACACACTCTGTCATCCGATTTCAGGTCTTTTTTCTCCTCTGACTCAGAGAGACCTAAGGTGAAGCCCTCCTGTTCTTGGGTCTGGGCGTTCTGTTCGTCAACAGCTGTGCAAGGAAAGAACGAATGCAGTTGAGTGCATGGTGGCGGAGTACATGGATGGCACGTGGCCCAGAGCGCCTGAGTGCCCAACATGGGCTCCTCTCCCCATCTCCGTGAACTCTGTTTAGACATCCTCTCAGCTGAGGGCTCTCAGCCCAAAGAGGCCACCCTGTCCCCACTGTCCTCTGACCCGTCCAAGAATGTCGGGCTCCGGGCATCTGCGTGGATGGGCTGGGGAGAAGGAGGAGAGCCAAGCGGCTGGAAGACGTGGAGAAGGCGAGTGGACTAAAGGCACATGGGGCCTCCACCTGACCATCAGCCAGAAGCAGGCCTGGCGCACACACACCAGCGGGGATCATAACCCCTGATTCTCACTGATGGACGAGGAGGCGGGTCTGCTGGGAAGGGTTTGGGGTGAGTGGGAGTGGGATGAAATGGTTTCTGAGAGTCATGAGAGCACACAGATGGAGGACAACACAGCCCGAGGGAGGCTGGATGCCTGAAGTTCACAGGTCACACTGCATTTGCAGCATTCCCTTCAAAGCTTAGAAATCAAGTCTACAAAAAGGAAGCTACCAGCCGGTGAGTCTTTAATCCTACACAGTCCACCCACCCTCTGCCTGCAGGCTCATCATGGAGAGTTGGCAACCTGGCCCCCAGGCCCGGAACACCCTCCGCACCGCAGCAAGGGCCCCCCCCCCCCTGCTCTAACCACCTCCCGCCCAGCCTCCCACCCTTCGACACACAGCAGTGCTCCGTGCCAGCCTCTCTTTCCATCCCACAGCTGATGGCCTCACCCACCACCCCCAGCCAGGCCCACCTCTCATAGGGTCCTCCTCTCAGGGTGTCCTCAGAGCTCCTAGTTCCACCTCCAGAGTGAGGTTCTCTTCAGAACACCCCCAGCCCTCGTGCAGCCCCTGTCCCCTCGGCAAGGTCCCTGCACACCCACCGCTAGCAACTGTTTCTGCCAAGCTGCACCCGAGGCCTGGCAGCTGGACAGGTCAGGCCCCTTGCAGGGAGTGGTCCCCCCAAGCAAGGACCGGTTCACACCCAGCTGGGGTCCCACCCTGCCCTGCCCTCCGCTTTCTGCTCCCTCTAATCCTTCCATCAGACACAAGTGTGGTGAGGAGGGCGGATGTGCCTTGGGGTGTCTGGCTGTGGCCCCAGAGGTGGATTCCTGTTTGTCTGCCACCACGTCTGGGGGGAAAACAGAGTACCCAGTGCTTGCTACTTGATCGTTAAGAGACCCGTTACCTTTTTCTGTGTGTTCTATGATCTGACGGATGGCTTTCTTCAGGCTGTTGGCTCTGAGCATGAGCTGTTCCCGGGGACGGAATATCTGCGGCCGGGTGGGGCACGCTGACCCCACCGAGCGCTCCCCTGTGGAGCCGCAGCCGCTGCCCGCCCCGTCTCCATCTTCCGCCTCCTCAGCGATGGTGGGCGGAGGGGTGGGCAGGGAGGACGAGGCCTGGGACTCATCATCCAGGGTCTTGAGGAGAGAGTCCAGCTTCTCTTTCAGGACAGAGCACTGGTGGAAAACGAAGGGAATGGGGTGGAGTGCTTCTCCGTCCTACACCCTCCCGCCCAGGAGCCCAGGCACGGACCTTCTTGGCCATGACCTCTGACTCCTCCGAGCTCTCGGTGGTCTTCTCGTAGGCTTTCCCCACCCGAGCCACGAAGTCCTTCACAGTCTCGCAGAGCACTCTGTGGGAGGAAACACGGAAAGACACTTCCAGAGAAAGTTCTGCCTGGGACCCAGGCACCCTGCGAGGTTGACCCCTGGCTCCCCCAAAGCCACCGGGCACTCACTTGGCCGACGAGATCACCACCGAGTGCTGGTCGGAGGTCAGAATTTTGGAAAGATGGGCCGCGACTGAGTCTTCATAGAAGAGAATTTGTTGCACCTACAGTTATCACGAGACAGGGTGGGGTGACTGAAAGGTCCCAGAGAGCTCCTCACCCACTTCCCCTGCCAGCCGGGGCCTCAGCTCACTTCACGCGCCAACCTGAGATCCGCCAGTGCTGGCTGAAAGGTTTCAAATGCTTCACCAAGCTGTGAACAGACAGGTCTTAACAAAAAAGACCGTGTCGATATGGCGCTACTTCAGTCTCACGGCCCGCCCCTGCATGTGCCAGGAAGCGCAGTCTAGTCCTGGCACCTTCCGGCAGCAAGGTCGACAGGCAGGGCTCCTTCACTGAGGTTCCAGTCACAGCGGACCTATTTTTCCTCCTGGTTGAGACAGGGCCCTGGCCCCTCGGCTCCCGGCGTAAACGAGCCCCTCCCCACTCACCTCCACCTGCTGAAATGGGATTACTGTGTGGCCAACACAGGCTCCAGGGACCGCCACCCAGCCAGTAAAGATCTTAGGCTTTGCACACTCTGCGTTCTTTCTCTCTCAAAACATGCAAACCTTTGTTTGCTCATAGGCTAGGTCAAGGCCCAGCCCAGACTGGAGCTGGGGGTCATCGTTTGCTGACCCCCACCCTCCTGACAGGGAGACAGCCCATGGCAGAGCCCTCTCTCCGCTCAGCCAGCAGCCAGGTCACCCAGTGGGCATGAGCACAGCTACGTGCCGGGCACTGCATGAGCAGAGCCAAACCTAGGCCTAGGCCCTGGGGGACCAACAAGTCACAAAAGCAATTGTAAAATGAGAAGAACCAAACATTGGACACTGGACCAGCACAGGCTAAGCGCAAGGGTGGCAGGATGGAGGGATTCTAGAGGAGTGGGACCAGAGAGGGAGCCTGGAGGCCACTGGGAACAACGGCAGTAGGGGCAGACCTTGGGAGTGCACAGTGCAAGAGCAGGAAGTCGTAGGAGACCATCGTCACAAGGGACTCCAAGTCCTGGGGTCACCCCGGGAAGCCCCCAGAGGACCCCAAGGCCCACGAGATAGTTGGAATTCACTCAGCTCCCACGTGACCCTGGGCTGAGCCTGCACCTCTGCGGGCCCAACCTCGGGCAGGACGTTTAAGGAGCGGCTCATCAGCAAAGGGCTGGGGAGGTGGCGTGAACGATGCTAGGTGGGGGCAACAGCAGATACCTCAGAGCCCTCACTGAAGTCTTCAGTGCCCGTGGAAGAGGAGGCCTGCCGCGGGAGTTTGGTCTCGTAAGCCATGACGCTCCACCTGCACACATAAAGGCAGCCCTCAGCAAGTCGGCCCAGCCCTGGGCAATCTTACAGTCTGACTTCATCCGTAAGCCCTTTATCTCCACTCTGCGCCCCATAACTTGGCTCCTCACTGAGCTGAGAACAAACGTCACAACCAATAAGGCCCTGCAGGCCCCTGAGGGAGGGTAAAAGGGATCCCATGAATGAACATCTGCTTCTGTAAGCGATGGGTTCCCCTTCTACAGAGTGCCAACACCCCCCAGCCAGCAGCCAGCTCCCCCAGATAGGAGCATTTCACAGGCACCAAAGACAGGCACGGACACCTCCCTTAAAGGGAGAAGATGCGGCAGGGGCAGCCAGAGTGCACTCAAAATCACACTGCCAATCACCACTGCAGGATCCTACCCAAGACCATGAAGCACTTGTCAGTGAGACCAATTTCCCACAGGCATGTGGTTAGTGGGATTCCCTACATCTAGCTCAGAACTAAAAGTAGTTCACTCAAAAAGGATGCCAAAGTATTTTTAAACCTATACAGAACAATTACCCAGAACTTATCTTCTCCTGGGAACAGAGTATGGGGAAATGGGACCGCTCAGCCTTATGACAAGGACAACTCTGCTGGCGGGGGTCCGCCAGGGGCACCCCTCACCCAAGGCCTCGCCGCCTCACTTGAACCACTCAAGGGCAGGTTGCTCACCCGTTCTGTTTATTTTTAACTTCTGCAGAATCTGATGAAAAGTTAGAAACTATCAAAAAATATCAAATATCAAAACCTGACCGTGCTCAGATCCAATATTTTTTTCAACAAACACTAGTTGAATTGACCAAATGAATTAAACTCTCATCCCTCAACACACCCACAAGGTAGCTAGGATTATTTTTCCCTTCCTGACGAGGAATCTAAGACTCAGTGAGACTGAGGAAAGTGCTCAAGTTCATTCAACTCTCAGTGACAGAGCAGGGATTTACATCTCAGATGCATCTGACTGTCCTGTGTTTTTTTTTTTTTCCTGTGTTTCTTATTGAAGCATAATTAATGTCCAGTGTTATATTAGTTTCAGGCATATGACACAATGATTCAATAATTCTCAGTCAGGTCCAATCTCTACAAACAGCTGCACAGGACTTCTGTCGTCCTGGGAGCCCAGGCCGAGAACACCTGGTCGAGGTGCCCTGCCCTGTGTGGTGTGAGAATGCCCTCCACTCACCGGTCCAGCATCTTGGTGCTGGCTCGTTCCAGCTTTTCTAAGATCTGCGGGAGCTGGGTGTCATCGTCACAGGCTGAGCCCCAGCCTAACACGCGAGCCAGGTCGTTTCCCGTGCCGAGGGGCAGCACTCCCAGCTGGCACTGGCAGGACACAGAGGGAAGACATGGCATTAAACACCCTCCCTGTTAACTGTGACAATAGCCAAGTTCAGCAAGAGGTCTCCTCTAAGACAGGGTGGCTCTCAGAGTCTAGGCAAAGCCCACCAGACAGACGGAGGGTCTTTTAATCCAAGAGAAGATTCCAGAACTATGCCTGTTTCTCATCTTGACACTTAATCCTCTAGGACCACCCTGATGTAGATTTCCAAAATCTCCTCCCTTCCCATTTTCACTGCTATGGCCACAATCCTGCCCTTCCTGTGAGTATCTAGGAAGCCCCACCTCTCTGAGTCCCCACCACCTCTCCATCCACTACACCTTATTCACTAATGCCAAGATCATCTTTCAAAAACATCACTAGTGTCATTTCATTCCTGGCTTCTAAGTCCATCAGAAACAGGGGCCAGGACATGCACCTAACCTGAGCATGCCCCAGTGCTTGGCCTATAGCCTTCCACCTGACCCTCCCCAGAGCCACGGTGTGTGCTGCTCAGGCCCGGGCCTCCACCTGGAACTCTCATCAGGCCAGTTCGGGCTCAGGAAGCTCCCCGATGCTGGATGCCCAAGAACTCAGCCTCCAGTTCTGCCATGCAGCGTGTGGAAGCACTACCAGTCCTCCCCAAGCACAGCACGGCCTGGGACCACCCACCCCAACCACCCTCCCGGGGCCAGCAACTCAGCCAGAAAGCCCCGCCGGCCTGAGGATGAGGACAAGGAAACCCAGCACACCAGTCGGAGAGGACCTGGTGTTGGAGCCTTAAGAAAAGGGGCAGAGAGAGCACTAAAGGCACAACAGTGTTCCAGATGGAGAGGTGACCCACGTGCCAAGTCAGGGGACAGGAAGTCAGAGAAGCAGAGACAGAGGAGGAGCCACACAGGGGACTCTGATAAACTAAGTTTAAGTCTGGACTTTTACCTAAAGTCAAGGAGCCACCAGAGAACACTCAGCAGAGTGGGTGAGTGAGCAAAACTGCCCATGGGGAACAGCCCCAGTGAGCAGCCTGGACAGACAGAGTCCCCGGGGCAGCTGAGGTATACTCAGCAGCACACAGGACGTGGCCCAGACACTCTGGGGTGGCAGCTAACTGGAAATGAGGGAGGGCGAGGGAAGGATCCAGAATGATGTCCGGTAGATGATATTTTCAGACTCCTTGAAAAAAAAACACAGGGTGGTGGGGCTGAGTGGGGGGCTCAGGGCCGAAAATGCCAGGCTTGAGGCACTATGGGCACGGAGACAGACCTGGGGCAGCCAGGAAGAAGAAAAACAGAGAGAGGGTGAGGGTGGGGTCTCAGGGAAGCCGGGCAAGCAGGGGAGTGATCAGGACCAAGTGCGACGGAGAAGCCAAAGGAGATGAATGCTCGCTGGACTGAGCTGAATGGATGAAAACAAACGACTGGCCTCCCCGCCTTCCTGGTTAGTGATGGTGAACTTGTGAATAATCCTGGAACTCAACAGACTTAAACGAGGGCGCAAGTGTCCTGGCCCACCTCCACCACTAGGGGCCAGTGTGCGCCTGCGCTGAGCAGGTGACCAGCACAGGCCGGTTCAGACCCGGTTCAGACAGGCGCCTCTCAGCATCATCCCAGAGTCCAGGGCTAAACAGACAAGTCCCCCCACCTACCAAGACCACCCACGCTAGCAGCCGGGAGAGAAGGCTAAGTCTCTGAAAAACATGCTCAAAGTCAGGTCAAAGACCTGGAAAATGTGTTGAAAGCAAATGACAAACCTAGAAAAATATGACCGACAGGAGTTGGTCCTAATATATAATAATATCCCTAATATAACAATGATCCTTAGTATGTCTTAAAGAGGTAAATATCCTAATAGAAAACTAGGCCAAAAATATGGACACCTGATTCACCTAAAAATTCATAGTTAACAGAAATGTTTGACTTGATCAGTATTAAACAAGAATCAAACATACCTTTCTCTACCTAGTTGGGCGAAAGAAAGATGATGAGCAAGAGACAGTGAAGGGGAAGGGTGTCTCTGCAGCCTCAGGAAGGCACACGGGCACAAACCCCCAGGGCAGGGAGGCGAGCCAACCCGTGCTGCACAGAGCTCTCCGTTTACTGACGAGGATCACAAGGCAAAACACAGTAACTGGAGAGCCTGGGGAATGTGGGTCTGTGTAAATTAAAACTGTATCATGTCTTATACATATATATATCTTGACCGGAGGTCTGAAAAATAGTTAGCGGCAGTGGTTAGCACTGGAGGGTGAGGAACGAGGACGATGGAGCACAGTGGGAAATCAATGAACACTTTTTTGTTTTCCAATCAGGAAAATTTAAGAGAGAGAGAGAGAGACACGAAATCCAATGAACCCTGTGACTTGACTTTCAAGTGTATGTCTGCCGCCGCGCGCCACCCCCCCCCCCCCCCCGCACCACCAAGCAGGAGGCACCGGCAGCAGGGCCTAGCACTACCCAATAAAAGCTGGGGGGGGGGCACCGTGGAATGGCAGCCCCACCCAACTTGTTCCTGGCCTGGGACCTCCAAGGAGTGGAAGGTTCTTTCATAGCTCCCTTCACTTCTAGCTGAAGTTCTCATTCCTACATCACAGCTCCTGGGCCCCGTGACACCTGCTTTTCCCTCCAAGACGCCTGCTCTTCCCTCCGAGACCTTTGCCGCACCCAGTTGAGAAGACAGGGAGATCACGGTACCACAGCATCCAGCTCCCCTGCCTGGGCCCCTCCACGTCCACGTACCTGTTTGTGAAGATTGAGGCTGTCGATTTCAGAGAGGACCCAGCCAACACTGCCATCCCCACCACAAACCAGAATCCGGAATGTATCAAACTTCTGGAATAAGCGTAAGCTGCAGAGAAATGAAAATGTCAGAGAAATGAGGTCCATTCTAAAGGCCAAATGATGGCCAGTGAGTCCTGGGCCAAAAAGCCCATGAGCACTCCTCGAGACTGAACTGTGCCCCTGCTGTGAATACACTTCTGGGAGCAGAGCCCAGGTGTGCTCAGGCCCAGCCTGCAGGGCTGCCCACCCACACTGCCCACTGGCCCTCACTCCCATAGCTCAGGAGCCCTAGGCTGTAGGAGTCTCCCTGCGTCCCTCCTTCCCAGGTGTGGGAGCCATCCCGGTTCCCCTCAAATCTTATCTCCATTACCTCTCCCTCCTGTGATCCTCTTGATCACCTTGCTACATGAAATGTCCCTTCAGAACACCTTACAGCGTTCTGCTCATCCCTCACTCACCCTCCTGAGAGGCCTTATCCACATTTTGGCTTCAGGGACCACACGGATCCCAATGACCCTGCATGAGGCCCCCAGGCCTTCCTGAAGGACAACACTTGCACCCATCTACCAGAACGTGTCACTCCATGTCTCATGGGCACCTCCTCATTCTAAGCTTCCTTCCTTGGAGAATTGCAGCACTATGAACCCAGTTACAGAGCCAGACTTCATCGTCCCCTTGGAGTACAGACCACCACAGCTTCTCTCCTAATCCCTACAAGGGCCTCATGTCTCCTCCGGGACTCTAATTAGTGCTACCAGCACAACCTTCCCAAAAGTTTCATCGAGTGTCTAGCTTTATTACGTTTTTAAGTACTTCATAACTAGTGCGGAGCCCAACACCAGACTTGAACTCACAACCCTGAAATCAAGACCTTAGCTAAGAACAAGAGTTGGATGCTTAACTGACTGAGCCAACCAGGCACCCTGAGTGTCCAGCTTGAGAAGTTGCCACCTGTCTCCAGGAAAGGTTCAAACCTCTCGGCCAGGAGCTGCCCGCCAGCTGCCCCAGCTCCACGGCCCCCCTCCCCCAGCCACCCCACTGTGTCCTCGCCTCTCTACACAGAGCATCCTCTGCCTAGGAGGCTGCTACCCGTCTCTCTGCCATTAAAACACTAACTCTTCTCAAATGCTAGCTCAGCAGAGAGACTGAGAGTCTCCCCAGTTTAATTTGTATGCTCCTTCCCCTGGGTTCCTCAAGAACCTGTACATCACCCCGTCCATGTGACAGATCACTCTGCCTTGCAACCTCTACCTGTTCGTGTGCTGCACAATCTGAACACAAGGACCCCGAGCTACCTGGGCTTGCATCTGGCACAGAGTCCCGACCAGAGGAAGTCCGCAGAAAACAAACAGGGATGAGTGACACAGCTTGAAACTCGGGCTATCAGCAGGGCAGAGGTCCTGAAGCAGCAAGGTGGTACCTGACCTTCAGGTGCCAGAGAAATGGCCACATGTGCTCCGTTGGGAACACTGGTCTCCCTCAGGCCTCCCTTCTCTGGAGAAGACGTGACACATCCAGGCTGGGAATCGGGAAAATGAAGCAGTATCTCCAAGTTCTGTGGTGAACTGCAGGAGGGCAAGGCTGCTGCCCAGAAACGGGAACTTCCTCAACCAACTCCGCGGCCCTTCCATGGGGGCTTCCAAAGCCGGCCCGTCCCTTGCTGCTAACTCCTCTGGCCGGTGGGGGCCTATGTGCTCGCCCAGATGGGCACTCGGCTGCCCCCGGGTCGTGTAGTATGGCCAGCCGGTCCCACCCATCCCACGGCACCCACCTGACGACCCTGGTGCCCTACGGGGAAACAGCCCAGACCTGTGTGGGATACAAGGGCCTGTGATGACCCTGCCAGTGGTCCCTTTTTTTTTTTTTTTTTTTTTACTAACTACCTATCACGCCAACAGCAAATATGCTCCTGGGCACAGACCACCACTTCATTGGTGTCTCCGAAGAAACACAATGAACGCAGCAGCCTCTGAGGACCAGGCCAGCCCCAGCCCGTGACTGTTTTCCAACAGCGCCTTATGCCAGTGGGGAAAAGCAACATGCCAGATAGACGCCCCCAGGCACCATTGGGCATGTTCCTCTCCTCTGTGGGGCACCCAGGCTCCTGTTCCAGCAACACCCTGCTCCAAAACAACACATTCCTGGGAGCCTCGGAGGCAAATACACCCCAGAGAACACGGTCTGCAAGCACCTTCCACAACAACCATCCTGGACAATCTCCCTTCCAAGCAAGGCTCCTACCTCAGAGCTCCTACATTGAATTAGTGCTGCCAAGCAAGGAAGCTAAGAGTTCCTTCAAATGACACAATTTACAGCAGCAAATGTTCTCCACAAATGACACAATGTACAAAAGTAGAAAGAACACCCATCCGATGTCCAAATTACCCTGCCCCCCACACACTGGGCTTCACATATCTGCATGTGTCACCGTACCTGCAAGTACAGAGTGTTCGCAGCATACCTGTGAGGTAAGAGACCTCTCATGCCCTCCCAAAATGAAGACTCGCCTTTGAGGCCCCCTTAGTACCACGCACCATTGAAAAAGAGGCTGATCTGTAATCACGGACATAAAAACATGTCTGTGCTGACACAGGCGGAAAGCAGAAGGCACGACAGGAGGTCCCAGTAGGTGACCTGATTTAAACGTGTCTGCACAAGTGAAATCCACATTCAAAAGCCAGAAAGACAGGTGGCTCTATTCTGCTGTTAAGGGTGGGTGCCTTCGCTAATGGGATCTGGGGAGGGGATGGTTCAACAAAGACTTTCTACCCCTTATTTAGATGTTTCTATATCTCTGAATCTTTTTGTTCATGAGCATGCATTATCTTCAGACAGCTTTAAAGTTCCAAGAAAGATCTATTTTGTTGGCCTCCTACCCGAGGTGTGGTCCTCCGTTCATGAGGTCAAAGACTTGGGCAGGGTTCAGCAGCTGTTTGAATCTTCTGAGGAACTTCACACCCTGGTTGTCCCCACTTTTGGAATTGACAAAGACAAGCAATGGGCTTGTGCAGGACGGAGGGCACGTGGCCTTCCAGAAGCCTGGACATGAGGGTGGAAAGGGAGAGGGGACAATGAGGAAGCTACGCCAAGAGCCCAGTACGGGGCTCAACCATAGAAAAAGCAGCTGACCCCTGCAAGAGACCTGTAACTTCCATGCACACACCCAGTCACCAATAAGATCTCGATAAACAGTCTTCTGCATCACCCTTCCCCACGGAGAAGAACGGGAGTCCCATCTAGTTGGACCTTGTGTTTACGTGACTCAATTTCAGCAAGACCATGCGCCTCGCTGCTGTCCTTCCCTTCTACTCTCAATCTGGAGGAGCTACCTTCTGAGATCCGCGCCCCAGTTTCCCACCTCCTACCGACGCCTGTTAACACACACCGTCGTCTACCATCTGGACAGGTGAGCAGGTTCAGGTAAGCATGCTGCTCCACATCTGCTGCCAGATGGAAGCCGGCAGATGGAGCACGAGAGCACCGGCTCCCATCCAAGTGTGCCCAACGGCCACAGGACTCCACTTAGCACCCCTGGACTGTCTCCTCTCCCCGACCACATCTCAAATCACCAGGGTAACCCCCTCTGGCATGGGGGAGGGGAGGATGCCCAGAGAAGGGAGGCTGAGGAAATGGGTGAGCCAGGACAGCGTGAGGCACCCACCGTCAGAATCGATGCTGTTGAGTGCGGTGGGTGGGATGACAGACACCTTGCACAGGCCCAGTGGGCACTTGGTCTGTAAGGACTCCTTACAGGACGTGTGCACCTGGAATATATCACAAGGGGTCACTGGCATCCCCTGGAAGTCTCCCTGGCACTGTGGGAGTGGGCGCTTTGAGGGGGGATGAGAATGTACTGGGGGCTGCACCCACTCACCATGGCCTTGCACCAGAGGCAGCGCCAGTCCTGCAGACGCAGCACGCTGCCACACGTCTTGTCGCACACTGTGCACTTGGCACTCACAGGCAGGTTTCCCTCCAGCCATTGGTGAGGCATGGCAATCTGCAAACCATAGAGGCCTGTGCACTAGGGACATCCCCAGAGCCCCCCACACAGGTGAAGAAGCCCTCACGCAAAAATGCCCTGGAATGAACTCAACCTAGACTTTCTCCTCAGTACAAGCAGGGGGGAGAGGAGGGGCAGGGTCTGCGGTGTGCTGCCTGGCACCCCACTCCTTCTGCCCAGGTGGCACAGCACGACCCACGGGGGCTGGCCAGGCTGAGGTGCAGCGGCTGACACAGAACTCCAAACACACAGTGGGAGCAAGGCAAACAAAAGCCTAGAGCCAGAGAAGCATGTGCAGGTCAACAGAGGCAGGGGGCCTCTTGCCCCAGTGGGAGCATGAAGTGAAGAGGGTCTAGGCAGGGTGGCGGGCAGGCTCCCCCAGTGCATACCCCGTCCTCGTCCTCAATGATGTCCTTCCCGATGGAGGCCAGGGTGGTCCACTTGCAGTTGTTGGTGGCACGCACAGCACACCGTTTGTGTGCCTTAAATTTGCACACTGTGAGAGGACAGACAAGAGACTGTCAAGCCTCGACCTTTTCAAGCCTCGTTCAGGACAATGCTCCCCATGCTTGAGAAGCGGTCCAGCATGACCTGTCCTGCTCTTCTAGGACAGCTAGGAAGGAACACGGAGCACTCCCCATGTTGTCAACTACATAGCTAGGGAACACGCTCTCTGATCACAGTGAGACCAGCATGTGGGATAGCAGGAGTCAGCTTCACGGGCCATACACAGGCCCTGACCCAATTCCTCAGCCCTGCCCAGAGGCACGAGTGCCACCATGGACCATGCTACATGTACAGTCACCAAAATTTAAAGACCACAAGGTTTCTATATCACAAAGTTGTCGTCTTCTTTTTTTCTCCACCACTTTTTTTTAAGGCTTTATTTATTTAGGGGCGCCTGGGTAGCTTAGTTGGTTAAGCATCCAACTCTTGATTTCAGCTCAGGTCATGATCTCAGGGAGTCGGGCTCCCTGCTCAGTGGGGGTGTCTGCTTCTCCCTCTCTCTCTGTCTCACCCTCCCCCTGCTTATACTGTCACTCTCTCAAGAAAAAGATTTTCTTTTTTTATTCAAGAAAGAGGGAGAGAGAGTGCAAAAGCGGGGCTAGGCTGGGAGGGGTGGCAGCAACTGAGCAGGAGGGAGAGGTTATTAAGCAGACTTGTGCTGAGAGCCAAGCACAACGTGGGGCTCAATCTCCTGACCCTGAAATCATGAACTGAGCCAAAATCAAGAGAAGGATGCTTAACCAACTGAGCCTCCCGGGTGCCCCACACCATTTAAAATGTACAAACCATTCTTAAAAAAAAAAAAAAACCATTCTTAATCTCACAGGCTATACAAAACCAGCCACTAGCCCGGGGTTCACAGTTTGTCCGCCTTTGTTCCCGCCCTCTGCTCTTGAGCAACCACTGTAACCCACTCTCCAGATCTGGGAGGTCATGTTTAATCTGTTTATTCACAGCCCAATTTACCCAGGAGGGTGTAACTACCCGGGCTGACAGATTCTTAACCTCTTTCCCTGTGTTCTTCACATTTCCTCTTTGTGTCTCCCTATTACCACTTCCTTTTTTTTACGCTGTTCCGTTACTGTACAAAATAATAATTTACCAGACTCCCTGGTAGGTAAAATAAACAAGCACAGAGTCCCAGAAATTACTTTAGAAATTACTTTATACTGACTGATTTGTGGTGACCATTCAAGGGTTTCTAAAGCTTTGTCAAGTGAAACCTCAAGCCATGTTTCCCAGCAGAGTAACACGCCATTCGTACCTTCACAGGACAGTCCGTGTGACGTGACCCCGGACAGAGCCTCTCGGCACACGTTGCAATAGGTCGGCCTTGCATGGGAACAGGCGTACCAATTGTGCATCCCTGAGAAATGGTCCATGCTGTACTGAGTAGGCTGGAAGAACAAAAGAAAGATGGCAAAGATAAGGTGTCCCTTTGACATCCCTGAATGTGGTAACTTGAACAAGATTCAAAAATATCCAGGAGAGGAGAGGAGGAAGGGTCAGCCAAAAGGACGAGCAACGAGCCTTAATTTTATAAAGAACATCCTGAGAAAGTGAGTGCCAAGCTGCTCAGTCCAAATATGATTGATAATCGACAGCAGAGTTTCTACAAGAACGGACATTGCTCTTTCCGGACCTCAAAGTGCTCCCTGTTCTGGACAGTCTTTAGCGCTGCAATCCATTCTTCCATTTCTTTCCTGTTATCAGCACACAAAATGAGTTTCCTACATGGAGTGATGACCTACAAAGAAACAAGAAAGACCAGCAATTAAGCAATGAACACAAAATCAAATGCTAACAACTATAAAAACTTTTTCAAAATCTACTTTCACTATATCTATTTTTTTAATGAAAAGAGACTGATTCATTCAGAATCTCAAATGAACAGGATATTAAAATGCTCATCATGGTCATTAAAAACCAAGAAAAGTCTCAAACCAAAAAAAAAAAAAAAGGAATTTAGTTTATACAGTCACCAAAAATCAACGTAGGTGGACATTCACCAACCACCTACCACTTAGACATGGTAATGAGCCATAGGAAAATTTCAAAAAGGAAAGAAAACACAGTTGCTATCACACTCCAAAGAGTTCACGAATTGAGGTCCAGCACCTGAACAGTTTAGGGAAAAGTGGTCCAAGTTACTCTAAATATAATGTTAGCATTTCAAATGTATCATACATAATGTCCTTGTACAAAAATCTCATACCGTGGGACAAGAGAAAAACCACCAGCTACTACACTCAAGGGCCTGAACAACTTAACTGGAAATGAGGTCAGGAACCTGGTAATAATCAACAAATGAAAATTGTATCTACTACATATAACTAGTTTTTACAAATCAATAGAAAAAAATCTTCCTTACAAAAAAAAAGGCTATGAACTTGCATTTCAGAGAAGAAATACAGAAGGGCTAATAAACAAAAAGATAGTTAACTGCTCTAGTCATCAGGAAACACAAATGAAAACAGCCAACTATTTTTCACCTATCAGACTGGCAAAGTTTTGAAAGATGGTAATCCAGTGTTGGCAGAAGTATGGGAGAAAAGAGTCCTCCTCCTCCAGCGCTAACAAGAGCTAAGTAGGGTATAAACCTTTTAGCGAAAAATTTGACATTATCTACCAAAATTGCAAAAGTCCTAATATTTTATGTACTTTTGTTTTATAATGATGTAAAATATCTACATGGTTCCAGAATCAAATCTACAAAATAGGTACAGACAGAAGTCCAGCTTTTACTCATGTCCCCTCCACCTGGCTTCCCTCCTTTCCCCATAGGCAGCTTTAAAAAAAAAAAAAGAAGAAGAAGAAGAAAAAATAAGAGTATGGTTTTTAAAAGGCAGACACAAACACATATATATATTCCTATTCTCCCTTTTTAAAACAGTAGTATATCACACATACGTATCTCCACGTTTGCTTTCTCATTTAATTCCCTATTCTGCGTACCTCTCCTTAGCAACACGGAGCATTTCCTTGCTGTTTCTTCTTATAGCTGCAACAGAGCTCCCTGGACAGAAGCACCAAAATCTATTCAACCAGGTCCCTATTAATAGAAATTTACCTTGTTGAAAATCCTTTTCTATCTCCAACAGTGCCGCAATGAGCAGCCTTTTCACTGACCTCATATGCTTCCCAGTGTATGTGGGGGAGAAGTTCCTAGAAGCAGAACCACCCTGACAAAGAGTAAGCTCGTGTCATTTTGCTGCCAAACTCCCTCCCCAGGGCTTGTGCATTGCAACCAGCGGTGTCAGGAAAATACCTGCTTCTCAAGGATTCGCCTATAAAACATGTTACTTAACTTTTGGATTTCTGCCCATCTTATAGCTTTAATTTAAAATTAGCAACACCCAGTTTAAATTATTAGATGAGGGATCCCTGGGTGGCACAGTGGTTTAGCGCCTGCCTTTGGCCCAGGGCACGATCCTGGAGACCCGGGATCGAATCCCACGTCGGGCTCCCGGTGCATGGAGCCTGCTTCTCCCTCTGCCTATGTCTCTGCCTCTCTCTCTCTCTCTCTCTCTCTCTCTCTCTCTCTCTGTGTGTGTGTGTGTGTGTGTGTGTGACTATCATAAATAAATAAAAATTTAAAAAAATAAAAAAAAATAAATTATTAGATGATGTTTCTGGTTCAGAAATATTAGAAATGGTGTTTTATAAACTATCTCTAGTGATTTCTACGACCACCTATAAAGCTTAATCACAGAAGGGGATAATTAGAACTGGGTCACAAATGCATAGTTCATTTTCTCATGTCACCAGGATAACCACACATAGGGGCCAGATTGGGGAAGGAGGGGGGCAGGAGGAGGCTGGAGGACAGATGACAGAAGATGGGAGAAGCTCGATGCCCTCATGAGGGTGGGGGTACAGGGGGCAGCCACTCTCCTTTATACATGGAGAGTACCAAGAATAGCCCATATCCCAGCATCTGCCCAGCAAGCCCATGCTGAGTGTCTGCTCTAGACCTGAGATTCCAAGACTATGACAGGCAAGGTTCCTACTCACATACAACTTACAGTGGGGAGAGGCAGAAAAACAAGAAAACAATTTCAGACACTGACAAGGCCCTGAAAACAAAGTGGGCACGTGAATGGGGCTGGTGGGTGCTTTGTACAGTCAGGGAAGCCCATGGGAGAGCTGGCCACTGCCAATGGCCTGGGGTCTGTACTTTAAGAAATTTTCATCTGTAACTGTCTATAAAATCTCAGCAAACATTTATTTATTATTCATCCTGGGGTGAGTTTTAATATTAAATAAAAATTTAAAAATTCAAATTTTTATCAATGTAATAAATACAGTTCAAGAACTCAGGGTTCTGAGTTAAGAGTTATGCAATATGATAGTTAACAGAAGAGAACAATGACATTTTTTATGTCCATTCTATTTTAGGTCTTGTTTCTGCTGCTCCTGTGACAACCGTTACAAGATGAAGCGCCCACGTTATTCCAGAATTCAGCTATGCTGTCCGAGAAGATGGATCTTTGGGCCCATCATCTTCTACATGCCAAAGGAGAGGGGTTTCATGGAATAGCTTCGTGAGTACTGGGCACCACAGGGCGGCAAGTTATACACAAAACTGTTGTGTTTAAAGGGAGCTAATATGAAACAAATGATAGATGACCTCACTTCCTCAATCTGTGTGATTGTTTACAGGGAGGAAACATGGACAGATAAATGTCCAAGAACCTGATTTAAGTCGTTTTTAAAAAATTCTTACTTGTGTAGCAGGTTTGAAGAAGCCTCAGACAGACTCAGAGCTGACAGCTGACCCCTACCCCACCACCGAGTGGCCAGGATACGTGGGCAGACTGTCCGTGTTTCCATTCTGGAAATCGAGGATGACAGGAGTTCACTACCTGAGTTGTCAGGAGACTGAAAGGGACCAGTGTGCACAGGACTTGCACAGACAGACACGTGGCTTCTAGGATACTCCTCCAGGTCTGAAGCCCTGACGGGCTGTGTAACTGGGAGCAGCTACATCCCCTCCCTGTGCCTCCACGTGCCCCTCTGAAGGCTGGGGCTGTAACATCGATGCCACACCCCAGCGTCACACTAGCACGGAAGCATGCTCTCACACACAGCAGCCACCCTGACTCTCCGGGCTACTTCAGTTTCTAGGGCCTGATCTTAGGGCACTATCTCTTTGATAGGGCCATGTGACACTTCCCCACCCCTCCAGACTATCCTAGTACCAACAGTCCATGTCCCAGATCATGAGAATTGTCACAGAAGACTCCCACAGAGGACTCCCACCATGTTCTGTCATCTTTGAGACAGAATCCATATTTCTTAGCAGTCCACAAGACTGGTCATGACTCCAACTCCTTGAAAGACTCCTCTTCACCCTGGTCTCCCCGGCAAGGTCCTCAATAGCCTCTGGCCCTGAGGAAGCTTCCAAACACCAACCAGCAGTATCTCACACCCCAACAAAGGCTTCTTTGTTTCCTTAACACCAGCCTGGGGCCAACGGATGAGAGACGTGAGGACAAAAGGGCCTCCTCAGAAGAAAAGGAAAACGAGTGGGTGCTAATAAAAGAGCAGTCTTGGATAGGGCTTATTATTCAATTCCTTGATTTTGGAGACAGAGTGGGCAGGACAGGCCCCAGGACAGAAGCAGGTACTGGATGAGACCGCTCTTGGCTGCTCATGCAGCTCACCAGGACAGGAAGAAGGCAGGAAGAGATATTCCTAGAAATAATAAAACTGTCTCTCTGGACTGCAGCCAAGACCATAACTCTTAGACACCAAGGAATGATGCAAAAAAGGTGAAACTGTTCCCAAAATCCAGCCTTTACACCGCAAAGACTTTAGAGACCAAAATGCTCTGTATTTTTCAAGCAAAGAAATGACTCACATAACTAAATCAACGAAATGGTAAATGCAAATTAAAAGTAAGGTCATACATGAATCAGTGACATCACAGATTCAGTGGGCGGGGATCCATGACTGGAATAAGCAGACTTGGTACCAAGGGAGACTAATACTACAGAGCAAGATGACAGACCACGACACAGAAACCCACTAACTGGAAAGTGAGAGCACACTACAGACCTTGGAGCCGGCAAGACAAGAGAGACTAAAAGATAAAGGGTATCACAGAGAACATGGCAGAAGCAGTTCTCTCCTAATCTGCAGAGGCAGGCCACGAAAGCAATAAACAAAGGTGAATCTTCAGACACTTACTGAAATTCTCCTGAGGGTAAGAGAACTTAAAAACCACCAAGAAAAGGGGTACCTGGGTGGCTCAGTAAGTTACCAAGGGGTGCTTGGTTTTGGCTCAGGTCATGATCTTCAGGGTCATGGGATCAGGCCTCGCATCAGGCTGCCGGCTCAGCATGGAATTTGCTTGAGATCTGGTTGCTTTCTCTCTCTCTCTCTCTCTCTCTCTGTCTCTCTCTTTCCCCTGCCACTACCCCCACGTTCTCTAATAACTAAAATCTTTTTAAAAAACTAATTAAAAAATAAAAACAATCAGTAAGAAAATAGACCAACTAATCAAAAAATGGACAAAAGACTCAAATACCTATTACACAAATGACCAATAAGGCACATGAAAATGGACCCAATCTTGTTAGTGATCTGGGAAGTGGGCATTAAAATCCCAGCATGGGGATCCCAGGGTGGCTCAGCGGTTAAGTGTCTGCCTTTGGCCCAGGCCGTGATCCTGGAGACCTGGAATCGAGTCCCACGTTGGGCTCCCTGCATGGAGCCTGCTTCTCCCTCTGCCTGTGTCTCCAC